GTGACGGTCATGTGTGTTTCATACGTCTTTCTTTGCGGGCAGGAGGGCTTCTGTCCGCCGTCCCCTGGCTGCCCGGCGTGCTTTGTGTCCAAGGCCAGCTGCCCTCAGCATCTCTCGGGACGCGGGCTATCAGAGGCAGGACCCTCGGCATGCGGGCTCCCTGAGTGGACCCCCGCAGGACCCCGGATTCAAGGGCACCCTCCCGCCCAGGACACGGCGCCCCTGCTCCGGGGCTGGTTGCCCCGTGTTTGTCCTGTTGGTCACTTGGGAGTGATGCTGTCCCCCTCACCCCCGCGTCTTGCCTCGTGGATCAAGGTGCTTGTTTTTCAGCTGTCCTTCCCGACCCTTCTGCTCTATGCCCCGACGGCGTGGGTTCCTGCCTGCTGGGCCTTCCCGACTGTCCCTCGGGTCCCCGAGCCCAGCTTCCCTTCCCCTCCTCCCTGTCTCGCAGTCGGGTGAGAGGTCAGCTTCCCTCGGCTCTGCGCCCTGGCCTACGCCCTGCACTGCTGCGCAGGCCACTCCGGGACGTTTGTAGCTCTGGGCTGTTGTGTTGCTTCGTTCCAATGTGTCCGTCCATTCCTTTTCATTCCTTTGCTGAGGGTTCCTTTGGCTGCTGCAGCAGCTTCGGAGTCCTCCGATGGTTCTGCGAGGTGTGTTAGAACCATATCCCAAATGCTCCGTGTGCTCCCGGGGCGGCTCCAGACTCTCCTCGGACGAGGCTTCCTGTGTCCCCCACCCCGTCCGCACCCCAGCTTGGGCTGGTTAGCCTGGTTAGATACGGCCCACCGGCCATCGTGTGGCCTGCAGTGGCAGCTCACGGGTTGGCATGGCCATGTGCTATGTGCTCAGGGCTCAAACTCCAGCCTGGGGCAGATAGCAGGGTGCAGTTTGCACCCCAACTTTTCTCTGGGCCCGCCCCTTGGACTGTACAAGCTGGCGAGGCCACAGTTTCTGCCAGAGCTGCAGTGACCACTGCCCGTCTGTGCCCCACGTGTATGCAAAACCCACTGCATTCCCGCGCTCTCCAGGGGCTTCAGGAAAGCGCTTCAGATTCATGTGGGGCTGCGGTTTGGGTTTTATGCAGCCTTTATAGCTGACCTCCAGCCTCAAGTTCTGTACCCGGCCAGTGCACCAGCAAGGGAGTGGCTCGATCCACCGCCGGGCAGGCAGACAGAGGCGGGCTGCAACGGTGAAGGAGAGGCTGGCAGCGGGGGCGGGGGGAAGTGTTAAACCAAGAGGCCCATTTCTGGGGTCGGGGACCCTGGCCCAGGGTGGAGGGCCCTGAGGGGCACCGCTGGGGTGGCACAGGCCCCAGCTGCCCACACTCCATGGGGAGAGACCCCTGTGTTGTTGACGTTCTACACGGAGATGGGCGTCACGGGGGACGTGTTTGGCAGTCACGTGCCTCAGAAATTAAGCCAGTAAACACAAGAGTGCCCTGCTCAGGACGGACAGGGCACAGACGGAGCCATGTGGGCACTGTCCACAGTTGTGACAGGACCCTGGGCGTGGGCTGGCCTGAACTTGAGTGGGTTATAGAGGGTGAGGGAGGCACCGCACAGCCCCTCGGAGCCTGCCGTGGCCCTTGCTGGGCACACTCTAAGGGGCATGCACTGCCAGGACGAGATCGGGCGGACCTGCCACTCAGGGTGTCGCTGCCGGAGGGATGGACCGTCACAGCTGTGTATCCACAGACAGCATCTGGCCTGAGACCCGAGTCGGGGCGGGAGCAGGTGCTTGGTGACGGAAGACATGGGGAAGAGCAATGGACCTGACCCTGCTCTCACCGAGGCCCTCTGCCTGGCAGGGGCCCCTTCCCACCGTGTGGCAGAGGGTGGGCAGAGTGGCCTGTTGCTGTGCCTTACCCCCGGACCCACACCCTCTGGTGGTCACACACCAGAACTGCAGGCTGGCCGGGAGGAACCTCACCACCCCAAGTTCTCCATGTCGGCTGTCCCTGCTGCCAGCAAAGTGGAGGAAGGTGGCAGTGGGGCCCCCTCCAGCCCTGTGTGCCCCTACCCTGGCCCAGCGTCTCTGTGGGAGTGGGTGTCCCTGCACACTCAGGGCAGGCTCCACTGCTGGCACTGTTGACAGCAGCTGGCAACCCAGGAGAACCTAGGACCCGGCAGCCCCTGGCTCTGCCCTCCATGGGTGCCACATGAAGTGGCGTTTGGAGCAGGATGGGGGCGGTCAGACCACCACCGCACGGGGCTGTGGCTGTGCACTGACACGGAGCTGAGGAAGGTCCATCAGACATGAGGCCTCACGCCGTGGGCAGGGTCAGGCAGTGGTGGGTCCCTTGCCCTCTGCAGGTACCAGTGGGCAGAGGTCACCACCCCCAAGACACACACCGGGTCTTGGAAACCAAGACCACTCACCTACTAACCTGCCAGGTGCATCAGAATCCATTTCATAGAATGTTCTGGATGGATTTGGAGAGTGGGTGGGGCACCATGCCGTCCGGTCCTCTCCCAGACTCCAAAACCAGTGGTGAACCACGGAGTCACAGGTGTGGTGAGGTGACACTGGGCCCAGGCTCCAGCAGGGGAGGCTGCTCAGCTCCCAGCTGGCACTGCCCTGCAGAAGTCAGAGTCCCCAGGTCGCTGGAAGCCCTGCCGTACATGGCGAAGCCCTGTGGGCAGGGCCCGTGCCTTGGCAGTCCTGGGTGTGCCCAGGTAGGGACCAGGAGGGCATCCTGGGCGTGTGGGGCTGTGCCACCCTGCTGGCACGGTGCCCTCCTCCCAGCTTAGCAGCGACAGGGCAGGCTGCTCATGGGACTGCCGTTGATCAGGCAGACATCCTGTCCAAGGGTCCCTGGGGCGCTGTCCACAGGCGTGGGCGCTGTGTGGGCTGGAGAGGCTCAGCAAGTACCGTCTGTGTCCTGGGACGAGGGCATCGCTGAGCCCCTGGATGGGCACATGATGGACTCCCCCAAGGCTGCTGGGAGAGGGAGGAACGTCCGGGGACCCCGACCTATGGGAGCCGGGCTAGGCACACTGCAGGGGTTAAAGCAGCCGCAGCCACAGCGCGGCTCCTCGGGGCCTCCTGGTCTGCAGGGAAGCCCAGCCACCTAGCTGTCTCCAGTTCTCACGTGTGGACCTGCAGTGGCCTCCATCTGCCAGGCCGTGTGGCTGGAAGGACAGGCTGGGCCCTATACCTGGAGGGTACGGGCTGGGGCCATGGGTCCTGAAGGACATGGGCGGGACTGTGTCCATGGAGGGCAGAGCCAGGGGCTGAGGCCGTGGAGGGCATGGGCAGGGCTGAGGCCGTGGACTCGTCTGTGGGGTGTGTCCAGGCCCAGGTTCACCTTCAGCGTGTAAATCGCACGCCGGAGCACCCCAGACAGCCGCAGGGTAGGCCTGGGACCCTCCAGCCTGACACACCCAGCCAAGGGCTGCGACCAGGAGCGCGTGGGCACAGGAGGCTCTGGGGGTGAAGGCACTAGGGGGCTGTGTCAGGGCTGGGTGGCTCAGCGGGCAGCTGGACTTTCAGGGACTGGAGTGGCAGTGTGAGGCCCAGCCCTGACCCCCTTCACTAAGCAGCCTGTGCCAGCCACACGGTCTCCCTGCGTGCCCCACTGCAGCCCCGAAGGTGAGCAGCAGGGAAGGGGTACCTACTGTGCTGCCTGTGCCTGGCTGTGATTGTCCCCAGCAGGGCGGGGCTGGCCCGGCCTGGGCAATGGCCCACGGCACACAGCAGCTGTGTCCGGGCGGTGCTGCCCCACCTGGGGTGGCGCCTGCATTCAAGGCTGCTCAGAGCAGACTCAGTGCCCAGCGCCCCAGTCCTGCCTGCCCTCCCCGTGGGTCCTTCCTCTCCTGTCCTGCCTTCAGGCCACAGCCCCATCTCGTGGCACTGCTGCCCGTCTCCCGCCCCCGCTGCCCTCTGCTGCCACTCCTGCTCCCCGCCTCCCCCTGCCTCCCCCTGCCTCCCCCTGCCTCCCCCTGCCCTGCCCCACCAGGTCAAATGGAGATCAGACTCCTCCCATTCCACGGCTCCCCAAGGCTCTGGCACCTGAACCCCGGTCCTTGAAGGGGTTTCCATTCTCACCCACTCGTGGCTCAGGACTGCCCCCAGAGCCGGATGCTGTGGTCCTGCCACAGACCCAGCCCCTCCCCCTCACTACCACTACATCTGTGCACATACGTGCCCTGGCACCCCTCCCCACGCCCCACCCCGTGAGAACACACGCTCGGGAAGATGGACAGACGGCCTGCCCACAGCTCCAGACACGGGAGGAGTGGGCAGTGAAGCTAAACTCGCCATCCACGGGGCTGCAGGGGGACTGAACCGAGAGAGGTGCTGCCCAGGGTCCCGTGGCACCCCGTGTCTGTGACAGGTCACCAAGGCCTGCTTCCCTGCTTGGAAGCTGGTAGAAGGTCCCACACAGAAGGCAGTGGTCCGGCCCCATGGCGGCCTCTGTGGGCACGGGAGGGGTACCAGGTGCTAACGAGACACCATGGGAAGCAGCCTCGGGCTGTACCAGCAGAAGACCATGGTGGGCACGGGCAAGGATGGATGCGTCCCTCGGAGTGTGGCCAGGGCGGTCCCCGTTGCTCCCAGCAGCGTGGCTGGACACGGAAAGTCAGGGCCCAACCGTGTGCTGTGAGTCTGCACCTACTGTCAGCAGGGCAGGGAGCAGGCTCCACGGGCCCGCGTGCTCTGGGCATGGGGAGAGTCCGTGGGGAGGCAGCCCCAGGGTCACAGACCGGAGGGCAAGGCACCCATCCCCCGGAGGCCCTGGCCCACCACGCTTCATGCCTCCTGGGGCCTCAGGCGGAGGCACGGGTCCCGAAGCAGGGCCGCTTGAAGGTGCCGTGTGTTCCCAAAGCCGAGCAGCAGGTCAGTGCCGGTGACACTGGGCAGCGCATGGCTGCCTGTTGCGCATGGCTGGTGACTCGGGCCATCTCCAGGCGCCCAAGAGGGTCCTGGGACCCTCCGGTTCCCCGAGGCCGGCCTGCCCTGGTTTCCGGTCACGGACGCCCCGCACCGTGTCCCCGCAGGTCAACAATGAGAACGTGGTCAAGGTCGGCCACAGGCAGGTGGTGAACATGATCCGCCAGGGAGGGAACCACCTGGTCCTCAAGGTGGTCACGGTCAGCCGGAGCCTGGACCCCGACGACACGGCCAGGAAGAAAGGTGGGACCACGGAGGGTGGGAGGGGCTCCTCTCAGCTCGCGCCCTTGGGGAAGCCCCCCGGCCCCGGGGCCGCCCGTGGCTGGCCTCTCACCCGAGCCCCATCCGTCCACTCTGCAGCGCCCCCGCCTCCAAAGCGAGCCCCGACCACGGCCCTCACCCTGCGTTCCAAGTCCATGACCTCGGAGCTAGAGGAGCTCGGTAAGAGTCGCCAGTCTCGCCCACCCCAGCCCACGCACAGTCCCGGGCTGCCCCGCATGCTGGGAGACCCCCGTGTCTGATGCCTCCAGTGGGAGCCCCCCCGGGGTGCGAGTCCTTTCTGTGCATCTAACATTGTTTTGTTTTGCATTTTTGGGCCTCTCGCTAGTGGACAAAGGTAAGCCTCCCCACGGGGCCCCGCAGCGGCTCCCCCTGCTCTCCAGCCCCCTCCCCAGCGACTCTGCCTCGGGGCCCTGCACCCTCGGGGACTCCGCCCACAGCCCTGTGAACCCCTAGAACCCACACCTTGACCAGAGGTCTGTAAGAACCGGGAGGCTCCAGCTGCCTGTGTCTCACAGCTGGGGGTGGGTGGCTGTGATGGGGGTGCTGGCCGGGGAGCCCCAGGTCTGCCAAGGACAGCCCCGAGCTGCCAGGCTGGGAGCAGCCTGGATGCCGCTGCCACGGAGCAAGCCGACCATCGGGCCACAGGCCAGGTCCACGGACAGCCCTGGAGGGACGGTGCTGGTGGTGCTCTGACCAGCACCACACACAGCCCAGCGCTGCCTTCCCTGGGGACCCCTGGGTGCCCCTTTCGTCACCTCCTCACCCTGCTGGGTACCAGGCAGCCCTGGGCAAGGGGTGGGGAACACCAGGACAGAGCCCCACGTGGTGCCAGGGCTGAGGCCAGCCTGCCTGCACGCGGGTTGCAGGACCCACCCACGGCCCGTAGTGTCCCCAGGCCCTTCTGCTCTGCCCTGCCAGCCCTGCATCCCCAGTCCAGCCCCCTGTCCACCCAACCCGCATGTCGAGGGCAGGGAGAGTGTGTGAACTACCACACACACACACACACACACACACACACACACACGACACAGCAGGGCGCTGGTCGCCGGGCACACCGGGCCCGCTGCCGCTGGGGAGCCCACTTCCTCCTCTGCAGGGCACTGGGGTTGCACGGAAGGCCTGAGGCCCCCAGACAGCCGGAAGCAGTCACCAGAGGGCAGAGGGCCAGGAGACCGGCTGGGGAGCCAGGGGTGCTGCCGCTGTAGCCGCCTTGAGCCCAGCCCGTGAGCCACGCCGAGCAGTGCCCTGGAGGAGGCTGGGGGCCCCTCTGCCCGTGGCTCATGCTGCCCTTTCTGTTTGCAAGCCTCAGTTCGGAAGAAGAAGGGTAAGGGGAGCCAGTGTCTGTCTCCAGCCCCCTGCGCCCCCACCCTGGGGGGAGGAAGCCCCTTTTGTGGCCGTCCCGTGGCGTCCCGATTGTAGGTCGTGTCATCTCCCTGCCCGGTTCTGCCCGAGGGCTGTGTTCCCCCTCAGTCCGTCCTGTCTGCCTGGCCTGTCCTGTGTGTCCGTGTGGCTGTCCGGCGCCCGCCTGGTCCCCGCTCGGGGGCAGCCAGGCCTGCCTCGGCCCGGCGAGGTCCAGCTGCGTGAGCCTAGGAGAGCGCTGAGTGTGTGGGGCTGTTACTGTGGTGCTTCAGTGGGAGCTCTGACTGCCTTCCTCCTGTGGTCCCCTCTGCTGGGGACGCACCGCTCCACAGCGCGCCACGTGTGTGGGGGGGTCTCAGGTGCCTCACAGTGCTGGAAGCACCCTCGGCTGCAGCCAGGAGAGCCTGGTGCCACTGGAACCCCGGTCGCCCCCCTGCTGCCTTCGCTTGGCCAGGGCCTCTCTCACACCTGTGTGGTGGGCAGGTGGGGGCCAGGCCCTGATCGCCAGCCCTGGGCTGGTGAGGCCTCGGTGGGCACTGCTCCCCTCTCCCTCAGAGCGGAGGCCGGACGCCACGATGTGGGGCCCGGGCACTGGCTGGGGCAGGGGACCAGAGGGCCACGTCTCATCGGAGCTTCTGGACGGGACGTGGGGCTGTGGGCCACAGATTCCAGAAGGCAGCTGGCTAGCCCGTTCTGTGGGAGGCTCCGGCGGGGCCAGAGGGGGCGGGAGTCATCTGTGGGCAGCCGCCGTCGGACACAGTGGAGTGGGGCCTTAGCCCCTCATCCTTTTGGGGTTGCCGCAGTGCCAGCCTCCCACACTGCGAGTCCCACGTGGGCCTGGGCCTGCCAGGGCTTGCCCACAGCAGGTGCATGGTGAAGGCTCTGTCCCGCAGCCCAGTACTGCCCCCTGCCGGCCGTGGAGAGGCCTCTTGTGGGGAGCCGTGACATCCGAGACAGACCACGTCTCCACGCTGTACCCCTAATCTTTTCTAAGATTTATTTATTTTTATTGGAAAGTCAGATATATATAGAGGAGGAGAGACAGAGAGGAAGATCTTCCGTCGGCCTCAGCGGCCGAAGCTGAGCTGATCTGAAGCCAGGAACTTCTTCTGGGTCTCCCGTGCAGGTGCAGGGACCTAAGGCTTTGGGCCGTCCTCAACTGCTTTCCCAGGCCACAAACAGGGAGCTGGAAAGGAAGTGGGCTGCCGGATTTAGAACCAGCGCCCATATGGGATCCCAGAGCGTGCAAGGCAAGGACTTGAGCAATTAGGCTATTGTGCCAGGCCCATTGCCAAATCTTGTCTTCCTGGAACCCATGGGTCCCAGCCTGGCTCCACCTGCCATGCACCCTGGGACACTGGGAAGGGGGGCTCAGGCGTCCATGGGGTCCACACAGAGTAGCACATCCTCAGGGTCCTGCTGGGTCCTACCAGCCACACCCAGTGGGTGCAGGCTGGCCAGGGCAGCCCAGAAGAAGGTGCACAGAGAACAAACAGGGCAGAGGTGGGACCAGCGTCTGCCCCAGACCCCGTGGACCCCCCTTTTGAATTCTGCTGGCGCCTCTGTCCACCCCCTCAGACCTGTCTTTTGAGAATATGGAAGCTGTCCACCAGGACCCAGCCACACCGGCCAGGCCTCCTGGGAGCCGACATGTGGTGGCCTGGTATGCAGTGCTGCCAGCACAGAGCCCCTGCCTCTGCCACCCGGTGGCGGGCATGGTACACCAGGCCACATGGCCTGGAGAGTAACAGCCCCTAACCAGGGCCCCTGGAGCAGCGTGGGTCACGGTAAGTGCTCGGCCATGGTTGCTAGTTGCTGTGCCAGCAAGGTTTCAGAAGGCCAGGCGGGAGCTCCCTGCCGAGACCTGCCCAGCAGGCTGTGGGCAGCCGCCAGCGCCTTGCAGAGCCCATGGGCATGGGGGCTGGAGCCAGGACCACCGCCACGGGCTCCTCGTCTTGACATTGGCCGGCAGGCTTCACCATGGCTGAGCAGTGGCTGTGTCAGCCAGGACCCCTCTGCCCCTGAGCCGGAGTCTTGGGGGTCTTTCCACACCACACTTTGCCAGCATGCCATCCCGCAAAGCTCCTCTGTGTGCTCAGCGGTGGAGTGTGCCAGTCTCTGCCTGCCCTCTGGCAGCTCAGGGCTGGGGCCTCGCGCCTCGACGTGGCCGCCCCTGCCCTCCGAGGCTTGTTCTCTCCGCGCCGGCGAGCTGACAACACGCTGGTCTTCGAAGTGTGGGAGTCTGCTTCGGGAATGAGCCCCAGGTCACTGCCAGAGCCAACGCCTGGCTCGTCTGCCCCGCAGGTCCCCCCGGGTTGGCTGGTGGAACGTGAAAGCTTTCAGAGGACTCTGCCAGCCTCCACCAGCCCAGCGGGGGCCAGTTCATGGTTCCCCTTTATCCGAGCCTTGGAATGGACCCAGTCCTGCCGTTGCACGTGAAGCACAGCTCCTGGCAGCCTTGAACCAGAAACAGGAAGGACAGCTCCCAGCGCCTCTGAAAGCCTGCCTGTCCGGGACGTGAGCTGGGAGCCAGCGGCCCCGCTCACCGGGCGCCAGACGGGCAGCACTCCCAGACAGGCCACGTGTGGCCCGGCCTCGCCGCCCCAAGACGCCAAGTGGCTCACGCACGTTCTGAATGAAAACACACTTGGGGCTGGAGGAAGAACAGAGGAGGACCCCTAAAGCCAAGGCCAGCACACCACAGCCAGGGCAGCTGTGTGGCCCAACAGGGATGCAGGCCTTCCCACGGCCTGACTCTATGCTGCTTTTCTTGCCTTCCTTTAAAAAAAAAAAAAAAGATTTCTTTTTATTGCCAAATCAGATATGCAGAGAGGAGGAGAGACAGAGAGGAAGATCTTCCATCTGTTGATTCACTCCCAAAGCGAGCGCAATGGCTGGAGCTGAGCTGGTCCAAAGCCAGGAGTCTCTTCTGGGTCTCCCGTGCAGGTGCAGGTCCCCGGGCTTTGGGCCGTCCTCGACTGCTTTCCCAGGCCACAAGCAGGATGGGAAGTGAGGCCTCCAGGACACGAACAAGTACCCATGGGATCCCAGCACGTGCAAGACAAAGACTCCAGCCACTAGGCTACTGTGCCGGGCCCTCTTCTTGCTCTTCAGTCCACTGGAACAGGTTACTGGGCACCCTGTGGACAGTGGGCACAGGCCCCCGGTGTGAGCTCCAGCTCTCACCTGCAGATCCTCCAGTCATTCTCAATCCCCCCCGGGCTCAGGGACTGTGGTCACCTGTCCATGACGCCTTGGCCTCAGTGCCAGCACAGCCATCGTGTCCAGGGCACGGCTAATGTGATGTCCAGGGTGAGACAGCTCGGCCGGCAGCCCCGTGAGCCCTGGCCTCAGGAAGACCCACAGGGCCACCTGTCGGCCCCTGGCACGGTCCTCCTCCACTCCTGCATCCTGCACCCCTGACATGCCCAGCCACGATCGCCATCCTGGCAGGGCACCCGCTGGTACTGGGAGCGCTCTCCACACAACTGCTTATCCAGCACAGCTGCCCAGCAACCTCTGGGCTTCGAAGCCCAGTGGCCATGAGGACAGCACGCGGGCATGCCCCCTGGCTCTCGGAGACAGCTGCATCTCAGCACATGGCCCGCGCTCGCAGGACGAGCGGCTAGTGGACGGCGGCCATACCAGCAGCCGGTCTCTGATTCCTCCCGACCCCAGATGCCCCATGGCCACTGAGCGGGGCTGGCCAGTCTTCCACAGGGCTGTAGGCCAGTGTGGCCCGTTGGCTCGGTGTGCCCCGCAGAGCTGGAAAGGGGCCTTTGTTGTCTTCCCTGGGGGAGAGCATCCGGTGCTACCAGCAGCCCCCTGTAAGAGGGGACAAAGCCTGACCACCCTGCAGCAGGACCCAGTGTCCACTGGAGCACCAGCAGAGGCCCGACCACAAGAGGACCAAGAGGGGCGGGGCAGGGCGGGCATCCCAGCCCAGGCGTGTGTGGCACTGCACACAGCATGTGAAGAGGAGGGCCCGACACGGCGGGCGGAGCCAGGAGAGCAGAGGCTGCAGCAGGCTGGGGCTGCTGGGAGCGGGGCCAAGGAGCAGACCAGGGAGCTGGTGCTTCTCGGGGCTGATGACCCCACCCTGCTCCAGGAGGGCCCGGGCTGCAGGCCATGGGCTCGCTTCTCCTGGATCCCTCGGGTTCACTGGCAAAATGGGTTCCCACTTGGCCCTGGCAGGTCCTGGGGTTTCTGCTACAAGCTGTCCTTATTTACGACACTGCACACACACACAGCTGCACAGCAGGGAACCCAGCTCCAGGACTGCCTGGACCATTGGCTACTCCCTAAGGTCCCTGTCCCTTCCTGTCCCCTGCCTTGCCCTGCCATGTGGGCCTCCAGTGGCCCCAGGCTGGAGGAGACAGAGGCAGGCTGTGGCTCAGGGCCTTGGCTGGCAGGCCAGTTCCTCCTGAGAAGCCCCATTGCAAGACACCCAGGACCATGTCCTTTCTCAGGGCCTTGCATCGTCATGGGCCTGGGTCCCTGGGCGCTGTGCACATCACAGGCACGCCCGGCCCAGGAAAGGGTGAGTGTTCCCTAACTCCAGACCTGGGCTCATGGACGGAACCTGCTGGTCACTCCGCTTCCGGAGGGCAAGGGCAGTGCCGTGTCTTGGAGGGCAGCAGGCCTTGGCCTCTGCCAGGGGCCCAGGGGCCCTCAGGACAGATGCTGCTGGCTTCCATGGACAGGGCCCTGTGTCCTGGCAGCCCGAGACCCTCAGGGACAAAGCCAGGGCTCCCAGACGGCTCTGGGGGTTAAAATGATTTCTTGGTCTCTGAGGAGCAAATAGCTTACCGCTTTCTGCTGTGAGTGAGCCCCAGGGCTCCAGCATGGCTCAGCGCTGCCTCTCTGTGGCTTGCACTTAGTAAGTGGGCCAGTGGAAGCAAGCATGTACTCTTCCTGTGTGTGTGTGTGTCTGTGTATGTGTGTGTATGTGTGTTTTACACTGCCTTTCAAGTACTCTTTAAACTCCAAACTGACTTCAGGAGTCCCAGCATCCCCACCGCCACCGACCTCTGTCATTGGGCACTTTGGGGTCAGTACGCGGCAGGCCGGTACCCCCCGCTGCCCTGGGTGACCAGTGCCTTTCAGCACTGTTCAGGGGTTGAGCCATTGGCACCCCAGGGCCTCTCTAACCACCATGCTTGTATTGCAGATAAACCTGACGAGATCCTGCCGGTGGCCAAGCCCTCCCGGACCGCCGAGAGTGTGGCTGTGGAGTCGAGGGTGGCCACCATCAAACAGCGGCCCACCAGCCGGTGCTTCCCAGCGACCTCGGACATGAACGTGAGCGACACCCCCGGGACAGGACGAGCGGTGGCGGGGGTGGCGGGGGTGGCAGGGCTGGGGCCACCCGGGAGGGTTGGCTGGGTGGGATAGCCAGTGCTGAAACTCAGCTCCCCAAACGGTCTAGGGGCCCGAGGGTCAGCGCCCAGCTCCGTTTCCCCACCTCACAGTGTCTGTGCCCGGACCCGAGCTCACTCATACAGGGACCCCTTCCCACCAAGGATCCAGCACCTCCCTGTGGCTGCCCGATGCCAGCCAGTGCCTGTGATTCTGCACAAAGCAGCTGCCTGGGGCAGCCTAGGGCCCAGGTGGCCCCCGGAGCCATCGGTCTGCCCCACCCAGGTTGGTCCGGGGCTTGCCTGAGCTGACCAGCTAGCATGCCCACGCCCTCAGCAGCCAGCACCTGTCCCAGCCCTGCCTCTGGGCCACGCATTCAGAGTGTGGGGTGTCCACACTGCCAGAGTGCAGCGGGACCCCAGGGAGTGCCAGGAGCTGCTGAGCGCCCTCAAGCAGGGCTAGCCTCCCTGGATGTCCGTGGGCCCCGGGGAGCAGGCGTGGAGTGGGGCTAGCCTCCCTGGATGTCCGTGGGCCCGGGAGAGCCCCAGCAGCACGTGACAGAAGTACCAAGCCCCTCCTCACCCCCTCTCGGGGTCCCAGCACTGTGGCGCCCCATGCCGTGCCTCACCCCCTCTGGGTCCCTGCACTGTGGCGCCCCATGCCGTGCCTCACCGAGGCTCTCGGGGTCCCAGCTCTGTGGCAGCCCCATGCCTCACCCCCTCTCTGGGTCCCAGCACTTGGGGGCACCCCGTGCCGTGCCTCACCCCCCTCTCGGGGTCCCTGCACTGTGGGGCCCCATGCCTCACCCCCTCTCTAGGTCCCAACACTGTGGCGCCCCATGCTGTGCCTCACCCCCCTCTCGGGGTCCCTGCACTGTGGGGCCCCATGCCTCACCCCCTCTCTAGGTCCCAACACTGTGGCGCCCCATGCCGTGCCTCACCCCATCTCGGGGTCCCTGCACTGTGGGGCCCCATGCCTCACCCCCTCTCTGGGTCCCAGCACTTGGGGGCACCCCGTGCCGTGCCTCACCAAGGCTCTCTGCTTTACAGTCCGTGTACGAACGCCAAGGCATTGCTGTGATGACACCCACTGTTCCCGGGAGCCCTAAAGGCCCGTTTCTGGGTCTCCCTCGAGGTACGATGCGAAGGCAGAAGTCCATAGGTAAGACGGCCTCGCCCGCACAGTCGCTCTTGGCTCGGCAGCCCAGGGCCCTGGGAGTGCTGGCCGCCGGGCCCACGTGCTAGCGCCTGCCCGTTCCCCAGGGGGCAGGGACCTGGCCTGGCCCACCAGGTGAGGCGGTAGGATGCTCTTCCACCAACAGTGACGTCTCCCATTCCGAAGGCAGTGCCTGCGGTAGAGCAGGCCCAGCTGAGGGGCTGCGGAAGAGGTGGGCCCCCGCACACTCACAACCGGTCAGGAGGTGGGTCCCTTGCCAACGGGCTGCTGCCCAGAGACTGGCGAAGGGCCAGTGCACTGTGGGTGGTAGAAAGCTGCTTCCCCACCCGTGAGCGTCCCAGACAGCCCCACTGACGGGCACAAAGGAGCGCTGGACCCTCAGGAAGAGGAGCCAGCGCCACCTGTAGCAGGGAGAGCAGCCGGCAGCCAGACGCTGGCCGGCCTGCCGCTTACAGAGCGGATGTGCCAGAGTGTGAGAGGAGGAAAGTGCGTGTGTGTGTGCGTGTGCGTGTGCGTGTGCAGGCACGCGTGTCTACGCCAGAGTGTGCGTGTGGAGAGCAGGGGTGCCCTGCAGCCGGCTCTGGGAGCCCTCAGTGCTGTTGGGGTGCTGCCTGTGGCCCCCGCGCAGCCACGGCCAGCAGGGCCCAGCAGAGGCCCGCGTTGCGTCACATGCGTCGTGTTGTATCGCTGCTGTTGTCCTGGTTAATAATGCCTTGTCTCTCCTATCAGACAGCAGAATCTTTCTCTCAGGTTAGTGACGCTTGCCTCGGACTGCCCTGACACTGTGACCCCATAAGGCGTATTCTAAATCACTACTCCTTGGGAGCCACCCTGTCCGGCAGCTGGCATGCGGCCGGTGGCCCGGGAGGCGCCCGGTGGCAGGCCAGTGCCCTCTCTCCCCCCGGAGTACAGTAAATTTGGAATACCCTTATTGGATGCAAGTTCCCATGCAGTGCATCCCGTGGTTTGTCCTGGCATCGAGTTCAAGTTCATGCTGCTTGACGCCCCTGCATGCCCCAAGTCAGGACCCCCTCCCTGGGTCCCTGAGCACGCGCAGGCACCGCCCCCTTGGGGGTGCTGTGGCCAATCTACACCTGCTCTCCTGGGCAACGCGGTGGCCTCTGGCACCCGGCCCGGACCATGTGGACCCCAGCCCTGACAGGCTCCCCGACTCCTCAGTGTGGCACCGTGGGGGATGTCTCCCCTCCTGGGTGTGTGCCATGGCCAGAGTGCCCACCTCCTGGCTGGCCCGTGCAGCCCTCTCCCACTCAGCTGTTTGCAGAGTCGAGAGGAGCTGGCAGGGAACACAGCTGTGCCCGCGGGGTCAGAGCCGGCAGACGGCCCCCTGCAAGGGCCTCCAGGCTCCCCTAAGTCCTCGGGGCACGGGGCCTGGTGCTGCACGCTGCCCGTGCCACGCAAGCAGATTCAGTGCTGTGTACCTTCATTCCAGTGGGGCAACCCTGGCAAGCCCAGGAGGGACAAGGTGGACGGTTGCTGATGCAGCCAGCCCAGCCCCCAGCAGACATGTGTGCACACAGGTGCGCAGGGACAGCCCCTGGGCTCAATCAGGCTGTGCCCAGAGAGAACAGCCCAGGGGCCAGGACCCACGGGCCTGCCTGGATGGCACCTGTGCCCCGGAAGAAGCTGCCGGCAGCATGCGCCTGACACGCCCCCACATCCGTCTTGTCTGGAGTTTTTTTTTTTTTTTTTTTTTTTATCTTTGTTTGGCTCCGCAGCACCGCATGGGCTAAGCTGGTGGCCTCATGCTTTGTCGGTGTGTGTCTGTGGGGACTGGGGTACTGCACCACCCAGGAACCGACTGGGGTTTGGTCATGGCCGTGGCCTACAACGAGCCCTGTCTTCCGCCTGCAGGAATAACTGAGGAAGAGAGACAGTTCCTGGCCCCTCCGATGCTCAAGTTCACGAGAAGCTTGTCCATGCCGGACACGTCGGAGGACATCCCCCCACCTCCCCAGGCGGTGCCCCCGTCTCCACCGCCACCTTCCCCGACCACCTACAACTGCCCCAAGTCCCCGGCTCCCAGGCTCTACGGGACAATCAAGCCCGCGTTCAGTCAGAATCCCGCCGCCAAGGTGTCCCCGGCCACCAGGTCGGACACGGTGGCCGCCGTGATGCGTGACAAGGGCATGTTCTATCGCAGAGAGCTGGACCGCTACTCCCTGGACTCGGAGGACCTGTACAATCGCAGCGCCGCCCCCCAGGCCACCTTCCGCAGCAAGCGGGGCCAGATGCCCGAGAACCCCTACTCGGAGGTGGGCAAGATCGCCAGCAAGGCCGTCTACGTGCCCGCCAAGCCGGCTCGACGGAAGGGCATGCTGGTGAAGCAGTCCAATGTGGAGGACAGCCCGGAGAAGACCTGCTCCATCCCCATCCCCACCATCATCGTCAAGGAGCCCTCCACCAGCAGCAGCGGCAAGAGCAGCCAGGGCAGCAGCGTGGAGATCGACCCGCAGGCCGCAGAGCCTCCGGGCCCGCTGCGGCCCGACGACACCCTCACGGTCAGCAGCCCCTTCGCCGCCGCCATCGCCGGTGCCGTCCGGGACCGGGAGAAGCGGCTGGAGGCCAAGAGGAACTCCCCCGCCTTCCTCTCCACGGACCTGGGGGACGAGGATGTGGGCCTGGGGCCCCCCGCCCCCAGGATACGGCCCCCCGACTTCCCGGAGGAGGGCGACTTCGGCGACGAGGAGGGCGCAGAGCAGCTGGCTCCCCCGACGCCGGGAGCTGTGTCCAGGGAGCTGGAGGATCACTTCGCAGGTGGAGGCGAGGCCGGCGCCCAGGGCGAGGCTGGGAGGCCCCTCAACCCCCCACCCACAGCCAAGGGGCCCGAGGGCAGCCCCACGGCCGAGAGCTACGTGCACCCGCTCACCGGCCGGCTGCTGGACCCCAGCTCCCCACTGGCCCTGGCCCTCTCGGCCAGGGACCGAGCCATGAAGGAGTCGCAACAGGGTCCCAAGGGGGAGGCCCCCAAAGCTGACCTCAACAAACCTCTCTACATCGATACCAAAATGCGGCCCAGCGTGGAAGCCGGCTTCCCTCCGGTCACCAGGCAGAACACCCGGGGGCCCCTGCGGCGCCAGGAGACGGAGAACAAATACGAGAGCGGCGCGGGCAAGGAGCGGCCCGCGCTCATCGACATCCTGGACGCTTCTCAGCGCAAGCCGGCCGGCCTGCTCATGGTGCACACGGTGGACGCCAAGGCGGACGGCGCCCTGGAGGAGGAGGACGAGAGCGCGGACCTGGAGCCGGACGACTCGCCGCCCGAGGTGCCGGAAGGCGTTTCCGAAACCGGAGGTGCTTTACAGGTCGCCGCCGCGCCCGAGCCCCCCGCCACGCCCGGCAGGACCATCGTGACGGCAGGCTCCGTGGAAGAGGCGGTGGTCTTACCATTCCGCATCCCTCCTCCCCCTCTGGCGTCCCTGGATCTGGACGAGGATTTTGTTTTTACAGAGCCATTGCCCCCTCCCCTGGAATTTGCAAATAGTTTTGATATCCCTGACGACCGCGTGGCCTCCGTCCCTGCGCTCACGGACTTGGGCAAGCAGAAGAGAAACGACATGGCCCCGACCCCTTCGGTCAGCTCGGCCGACGGCAAGAAGCAGGCCGGCCTTTCCAACTGCCTGCCCGCCTCGCTCCTGCCGCCCCCGGAGAGCTTCGACGCCGTGGCCGACTCCGGCATCGAGGAGGTGGACAGCAGGAGCAGCAGCGACCACCACCTGGAGACGACCAGCACCATCTCCACCGTGTCCAGCATCTCCACGCTGTCATCGGAAGGCGGGGACAACGCTGACACCTGCACGGTCTATGCAGACGGGCAAGCGTTTGTGGTGGACAAGCCCCCGGTACCGCCGAAGCCGAAAGTGAAACCCCTCATCCACAAAAGTAACGCCCTCTACCAGGACGCGCTCCTGGAGGAGGACGCGGACGGCTGCGGGGTCCCCCCACCCGCGCCCGCGCCCCCGCCGCCCCCGGGAGGGATCCCGCCGGCCATAGCCAAGGTCCTCCAGCCGCGAACCTCCAAGCTGTGGGGCGACGTCACGGAGGTCAAGGGCCCCATCCTCTCCGGCCCCAAGGCCAATGTTATTAGTGAATTGAACTCAATCCTGCAGCAAATGAACCGAGAGAAGGCGGTGAAGCCCGGGGAGGGCCTGGACTCGCCGGCCGGAGCCAAGTCCGCCAGCCTCGCTGCCAGGTAAGTCCCGCCGCGGCCCAGGTGCCCGCGCTTGGTGCTGGCCAGGCAGACGTGACGGGGGCACGCGCGACGCCCTCGTGCTGGCCACACGCACCGCTCCAGGAACCCGGGACAGCACAGGCAAGGCCACGTCCGCCTCGGCAGGTGCAGCACGGCCTGCAGACTCTGCCAGCACCACCTCAGAGGCCGCTAGGGCCTTGCCAAGGCCCGGGCAACTGGGAGCTGTTGAGGAGGCAGCGGCCACACAGCTGGGGTACGGGGCGTGGCCGGCACGGGCTGAGGGCTCTCTTCTGCATGGGGGGCAGGGGCGGCCCGGCTGGAATTGCTGCCCGTTGGCCTGCTCTACCGCAGGGGCGGATGGGAAGGGAACTCCTGCGCCGGTCCGAGCGGGCCAGCAGCAGGACCACGCAGGCTGTGGGCTACCTGTGCGGCCTTGAAGGACTGACCGTGACACCCAGCTGGGGCTTGGGGGAGGGAGTCCCCTCCGAGACGGCCCCCCAGTGTCTGCCCCCCAGCACGGGGGGTACTTGCGGGGGCCCTCGGCTTCCCCATGGATGCCGAGTGGACAGTGGGCATGGGAAGCAGGTGCCGGCAACCCTTTCACGAATAGGCTGGGGTCACCCACAGGCCTGGCCAGCGCGGCCCACGGCCGGGACAGCTCACTTCCTCGTTGGCGAGATCTCACACAGGAGCTGAAAAGATCTCACACACACGGTCCCACGGCTCACAGGACACTTTCCCATCCATGCTGTGGGACGGCCCACGTGGGCCACGGCCTGCTGTGTGTGCTCCCAGCAAGTCCTGGGGCCCCGTCCGTGGGGTCTCTGGGAACAGCAGCTGGCAGCCTTCTGTCGCCTTAGGGGTGGAGCTTCCGCAGAGCGGTGTCCTGTGGTCCACCTGCCTGTCCCAGGCGGGGCTGAAGGGCATTGCCTGGCACGCTCTGGTGGGTCCCTAAGAGCAGCTCTGGCCAGTACTTGGCTGTTCGGTTGTCCATAACCAGACCGTTCACACCCAGTGTGGCCCAGGCTTCCCAGGTACCCTGAGGCAGGGCCCGTACCTGCCCCACGCTTAGCCTGGCTGGAGACGGGCCGCAGTGGGCAGACAGCCGAGCCAGGGCCCAGCTCCTGGGGCCAGGGACGGCCGCCAGCACGGCTGGGGTGGCCAGAGGTGCCACAGGGCTGCCCGGGGCCTTGGAATGGCTCAGGCAGGTTCTGGTCCTGCACGCTCCCCACTCCGCTGGGCACCGAGAGCCCGCCTTCTTCAGCCTTGCTCCTGCCCAGGGGGACACACAGAGCTGGGCCAGTAGCAGAGGGGCCGAGGTCCAGGACAAGGTCCAGGCACAGAGCAGGGAGTTCAGGTCTCCGTCACCAATCAGGTAGAGTGTTGGGGGCAGGCCGGGGCTTGGGGGCGGGACAGCTGCCTAGCACAGGGGCGAGGGCCGCAGTCCCCGGGAGCCAGGGCTGACCGAGCTCTGCCCCTCCCCAGCACTCCACACCATGGCAGCGTGCTCGGGCCGGTTCTGCCCTGCCAGGGCCCTTCACCCACAGGGCTCATCAACATGCAAATGTTTCAAAAACGTTAAAGACTGTGACTGACCCTGAGCAAAATGAGGCACGAAATTGGATGAAGGGAATTCCTACTGAGGAGAAAGAAATGAGTTTTTCTAAGGAAAATTGAAAACCAGTCATGCTTTTTGAAATGACAGGCCAAGCAGTGCGGCAACCCCTCTCCACGGCAGGCCCTCAAGGGGACCCTCTCTGGGGCCCACCGCCCCTTGCTCACTCACTGCAGGGCACCAACCTCAGCTGAACTTGACCCTGGAAGTTCCTGTGCCCCTGTATAAGGCTGTCTTGTACCACTTCCTGCTGGTGGCCAGCGGAGTCCAGGGGCAAGGCTGGACCCCGGGTGTGTCTGCTGAACTCTGGCAGTCACACGGATGGAAACACCATATCCGGGACGGGCGTTTCACACAGCCCCGAGGCCACGGCCCATTGTCACGGTGCCAGGATCAAGCCCTGGCCCCGCTTCCCTTCTGGCTTCTTGCTGACTGTGCGCTGGGAGAGAGCCGTGGTTCTGGGAGTACACAGCGTGCCCCCCCAGAGCAGACCAGGGGACACACGGGGGCTGGCAGCTCGTCCTCTGTCGTCTCCTTTCAAAAGGAGTTACACGAAGCTCATGACACTAATAAAGACGCAACTGGCATTCTGTCCAGAGCAGCCAGTAACTGCTGACCACAGAAAAAGTATCGCCAAAGCAAAGGCAGGAAGTGACCGTGGGACGGGAGGAGGTGACGGTGGGAGGAGGAGGTGACCGTGGGACGGGAGGAGGTGACTGTGGGACGGGAGGAGGAGGTGATGGTGGTAGGAGGAGGTGACGGTGGGACGGGAGGAGGTGACGGTGGGACGGGAGGAGGTGACGGTGGGGCGGGAGGAGGTGACTGTGGGGCGGGAGGAGGTGACTGTGGGATGGGAGGAGGTGACGGTGGGACGGGAGGAAGAGGTGACCGTGAGACGGGAGGAGGTGATGGTGGTAGGAGGAGGTGACCGTGGGACGGGAGGAGGTGACCGTGGGACGGGAGGAGGAGGTGACCGTGGGACGGGAGGAGGTGACTGTGGGATGGGAGGAGGTGACCATGGGATGGGAGGAGGTGACGGTGGGACGGGAGGAGGAGGTGACCGTGGGGTGGGAGGAGGTGACTGTGGGACGGGAGGAGGTGACCGTGGGGCGGGAGGAGGTGACCGTGGGACGGGAGGAGGTGACTGTGGGATGGGAGGAGGTGACCGTGGGACGGGAGGAGGTGACTGTGGGATGGGAGGAGGTGACGGTGGTAGGAGGAGGTGACCGTGGGACGGGAGGAGGTGACCGTGGGACAGGAGGAGGTGACTGTGGGGCGGGAGGAGGTGACTGTGGGATGGGAGGAGGTGACGGTGGGACGGGAGGAGGTGACCGTGGGACGGGAGGAGGAGGTGACTGTGGGACGGGAGGAGGAGGTGACTGTGGGGCGGGAGGAGGTGACCGTGGGGTGGGAGGAGGTGACGGTGGGACGGGAGGAGGTGACCATGGGACGGGAGGAGGTGACGGTGGGACGGGAGGAGGTGACCGTGGGACGGGAGGAGGTGACGGTGGGACGGGAGGAGGTGACCGTGGGACGGGAGGAGGAGGTGACTGTGGGACGGGAGGAGGTGATGGTGGGACGGGAGGAGGTGACCGTGGGATGGGAGGAGGTGATGGTGGGACGGGAGGAGGTGACCGTGGGATGGGAGGAGGTGACGGTGGGACGGGAGGAGGTGACGGTGGGACGGGAGGAGGTGACCATGGGACGGGAGGAGGTGACCGTGGGGCGGGAGGAGGTGACGGTGGGAGGAGGAGGTGACCATGGGATGGGAGGAGGAGGTGACAGTGGGGTGGGAGGAGGTGACGGTGGGACGGGAGGAGGTGACCGTGGGACGGGAGGAGGTGACCGTGGGGCGGGAGGAGGTGACGGTGGGAGGAGGAGGTGACCGTGGGATGGGAGGAGGTGACGGTGGGAGGAGGAGGTGACCGTGGGATGGGAGGAGGTGACGGTGGGAGGAGGAGGTGACCGTGGGATGGGAGGAGGTGACGGTGGGACGGGAGGAGGTGACCGTGGGACGGGAGGAGGAGGTGACTGTGGGACGGGAGGAGGAGGTGACAGTGGGGTGGGAGGAGGTGACTGTGGGATGGGAGGAGGTGACCATGGGACGGGAGGTGACCGTGGGACGGAAGGAGGTGACGGTGGGACGGGAGGTGACGGTGGGACGGGAGGAGGAGACCGTGGGACGGGAGGAGACCGTGGGACGGGAGGTGACCGCAGGGCAGGAAGTGACCGCGGGGCAGGAAGGGCCCGAGGGACAGGAAGTGGGCCTTGGTTTCCTTACCTGCCCGCTGGTGCCGACAGGGACCCTGCAGCCCCCGTTGCCTTCACAGGCCAGCAGTGAGCGGCCAGCGGAAGTGCTGGGTATTCACAGCAGGGGGTGTGCCTGCGCCACATTGTCACCGCGTGGTGGGCCAAGGCCGTTCTGGGGAAGTCCTGGGGTACCACGTGGGCGCGATGGGGGCCACCACAGTGCTGAGCCCTTGGTGAACGCCAGCCGGGGAGCTGGAGGGTGCACCTGCAGGACCCAGCACTCACGGGCGGCCAAGGCAGGCCTCACCCCTTCCCTTGGGAGCTTGTTGGCTGGGAGCGAGGTGGACCACAGTTAACACACAGGGTGACAGTTTCTGGGAGTGAACCCGCCCACACGCCGAGTGCACGCAGGGGAGCAGCCACTGAGCCACTTCAAAGCCTGGGGCACCGCGCCCGTCTGCAGGGTCAGCGAGCACCAAGCCGAGGCCAGGCCCCGGAGACCAGCCCAGCGACAAGGGCCGGGCAGGGCCCCAGGAACAAGGGGATCGCTTTCCAAATGGTGGCAGCCACGGGAGAGGCATGGTCAGCCTTCTGTCTCCTGGCATCAGCACAGAGCTGTGTGCTCGGAGCGGCTGGGAGGTACAGGCTGGGACAAGGGGGCCTGCGCCGTGGAGCCAGGCAGGTGGATGGGTCAGGCATGGCCTGTGTGCTCGGAGCAGCTGGGACGAGGGGGCTGGGACGAGGGGGCCTGCGCCGTGGAGCCAAGCAGGTGGATGGGTCAGGCATGGTCTGTGTGCTCGGAGCAGCTGGGACGAGGGGGCTGGGACGAGGGGGCCTGCGCTGTGGAGCCAAGCAGGTGGATGGGTCAGGCATGGTCTGTGTGCTCGGAGCGGCTGGGACGAGGGGGCCTGCGCCGTGGAGATGGGCAGGTGGATGGGTCAGGCATCATCAGAAGCCGCCCGCCTGCTGGATCCACGTGCCAGGGGATGTAGGCGGCCGCGCTCCCAGTTACATCCTGAAGGATAAACAGCAGGAGCCGCTTTTAAACAAGAAGGCATGCTGCTGTGGGAAGGTGGGTTGTGCTGCCCTCCCCTGCGCCTGGGACAGTAGGCACGACGCCTGCTGGCTCCCAGGACTCTCGGAAGCCACCGTCTGCGGGGTTCAGACCCGGAGACCCCCCAGAGCCTTCGGACCCTTCCAGGGCCCCCGCCCACCCACTTGTAGTGTCTGCCTCCCCGCCGGGCCGGCTGAGTGCTTCTTGCTTTCCAGTTGGTCTGGGTTGTTAAAACTCTCCTCTGCCCAGCTGGTCAGGAGCAGACTTCGGGCCTGCCAGGGAGAGCTGCTGGCGTGCCCACAGCCTGGGCAGTACCAGGCTGCTTTCTGAGCTCTGACGGTGGTGTGAGCGAGCAGGGTAGGAAAGGCCAGGCTGGTCCACGGAGACACCTCAGCTCCCATCAGCCAGCAGGTGCCAACAGTGTGGGGAGGCGAGTTCCTGAAAGGCGAGTGGCTGCTCAGGGCTCGCAGCAGGAAGGCCTGGAGCCCTGGCGGGTGGCTGCAGAACCCAAGGCAGCCGACCCCATGCCCAGGTCTGCTTCCTCAGCCGTTCTCTGGGGCCAGGCGGGGAAATGGCACTCCGTGCAACCCCACACGTTGGGCCTGGGCTTAGCTGGCCTCCACCTGGGTGCCCTCCCGCTCTCAGCGGACTGCGGGCAGTAATGTGGTGAGACTGGCTTGGAAGGGGCTGGTGGGAGGCACGGTTGCAGCGTGGCCAACATTAAGATGTGGAGGTGTGACCACGCTGCAGGAACAAATTTCAAACCGGAAGCAGGCAGCTGTGAGGGGCAGCGAGCGGCCTCTGGCCCACGTGTACTTGCTGCTCAAGAGCGCAGCTGGAAGCACCGGGGGCTGCTTGCATGACACCACAGTGCGTCCCGGCGTCTCGCCGACACCCGGGTTCCTGCTGGATTCTCCTGTTTCTGTCTGGATGTGGTTCACAAGCAAAGGGCGAGAGGGTATGAGTGCACTGGGTCTGCTCCTGCAGGAGCGGGTGGATCCCAGGGCTCTGCCCATCACGGAAGGCGCTATGCGAGGGACGGCCCTGTGCGTGGCAGTGCGAGTGACCAGGCAGGGACTGGTGAGGCCAGGCCAGACACCCTGGGGTCTTCACTCGGGGTGGGCTGGAGTGGCCCACCAGGCAGGCTGGATGTCTCAGTGCTGGCTGCCGGGCTGTGTCATCCCTCTGGGTGGGCCAGTAGAGCTGGGCTGGGGTGGCCGTTCCCACCTGCAGCTGTGAGGGCCTCTGGCTCGGGAGCCCCAATTGGGGCGCCAGGCAGCAGCTGACACGTCCACTGCTGCATCTCTCCGTGTCTCCCTTTTCCAAAGATTCATTGATTTGAAAAATGAGTGACAGAGGGAGACCTCCCATCTGCTGGTCTGCTCCCCAGATGGCCACGAGAGCCAGGGCTGGGCCAGGAGCCAGGGGCTCCCTCCAGGCCTCCTGCGGGGCAGCAGGGCCCACGTCCGGAGCCCACACCTGCTGGCTCCCAGGCGCATCCGCGGGGAGCGGGGCGGGAAGTGGAGCAGCTGGCACCCACGCAGCCATCAGGAAACGCTGGCCTTGAGAGCAGCAGGCCACTAGCCTGAGCCACAGCGCTGCCCACAGCTTCCTCCTCGGTCCTTTTGTTGAGAACTGACTCACACTGTCCCGAGGAGCGAGGCTGCGGGCAGTGCGCTCGTTTCATCCCCAGAAGCAGCTGTCCCCTCCTCCGCCCGGCAGTCCTGTCTCAGTCGCCTGTTTTGTCATTTGCATGTGCTCCATGACGGTGTTAACAGAAGAGGGTCATGCTGAACGGAAGTAAGTGCTGCCTGCAGAGACCGCGTGACCTCGTGTGCCTCTCCGCTCTCTCTCTCTCTCCCATGCCTGCCAGGGCCCTGGGCAGCGCCCCTCCACTTCCTGCTCGCCTCCCTTCCCCGGCCAGGCCAGCGTGGGCACTGGGTTCTGGCCTGGGTGCACTCCCCAGCAGGAGGCACCCCTGCCCGGCAGCCCGGCCGGGTCCAGCTGTGCTGCGTTGGGAGGCACAGCCACCCAGGTGCTCCTGTTCCCTTCCTTCCCTCTTCCTGGTCCCAGCTCAGACCCCACATGGCTCCTGGTAGACACGTTGCTAGCTGCCTAGCTGGCACGCCTCAGGACTCAGGCTGCACTGCAGGGCCTCTTCCAGACCAAGGGGACCCACGGGTCCTCCCTGTGGCCACAGCCCCCCTCACTCAAGAACGGAAGCCTTGACCCTGGGGCCAGCTTGTGGGTTCTGAGTGGCCACGTGTGACACTATTGGGTCGGGTCCCCTTGAGCTGTGCACCCTGAGGAAGCCCAGTACCACAGATGGCTCGGGGCATGACAGTCAAGCCCCACGCGGGACTGAGCTGAGTCCGTGGCAGACCTCCCCGTCGCATGCCTGCCCCGTGCTACAGCCACCGTCAGCGACCTCAGCAGGACCTGCCACAGGTCCACAGGTGCCTGGGTGCTGGGCAGGCAGGCAGCAGCCAGAGGGGCAGAGCGGGGAAGTGGCTGTGTGACTCCCCGCAGTCCCCGGAAGGAATCCCAGGGCCTGGCCAGCTGCTCTCGGGGGTGCTGTGGGGATGGCCGTGGGGCCGATCCCACCCCTTGCAGACATGTTCCCCGAGCAGGAGCCTCGCTGGTCAGCTGGAGCCCTCCCACGATTCCCCATGCATGCAGATTGGCCAGCAGGAGAAGCAGGGTCACGGTCTTTCCTCCCACCCACGACTCCTTCCCAAGGACAGGACGGTCAGCTGCTGCCATCCAGGGCCTTGGGGTCACCTCCATGCCAGTGCGTTTCTCTGGGGCTCACTCAGCCCGCTGTCCCCTGATGGCAGGGAGAGGGCTCAAATCGCACCTCAGACACTAGGCCGCACCTGAGGGCAGGGCCTAACGAGCAAGGATCGTTCCAGAAAGGGGCAGTGCCCCCCCATGAGGTGGGTGAGCACGGAAGGCAGGAGGCACAGAGTTCTGGCACCTCTGCAAGGGCCAGCAGGGCATGGCCTGGGCCCGAGGGCAGCTCTAACTTCCTGTGTGTGTTGGGAGGGATGTCTGGACCATCTCAAACAGGTGGGATGGGCACCCCTCCTTGTGGGCAGTCACCCACCTTCCAGGGCCAGGGAGGCCAGGGCCAGGGAGGCTGGGGAGTCCATGCAGGCATGCCAGTCTCCGATCACTGTCTATGGCAAGGCCTGCATCCTGCCAGAGTCGTCGCGGAGGGGTGAGGGGTGCTCACAGCCGATGCACCCACCTACCTCACAGCGACATAACCTTGCTATAACCTGCAGCTCCCTGTGTCCTGGGCTGGATACAGGCCTGCACTCGCTGAGATGGGCCAGCCGGGCACGGGGCCGCCAGGGGCCTGGGACAGGAGCCCCCCGGCACGGGGTCAGCTGAGTGGCTGGCGTGCTGTGCTGAACGCCCTCCTTGCTGCTCCTCTCTTCCACCCTGTCCTGGCATGGCCGCTGGTGCCCATTGCCAGCGCGTGGGCCTCTGGTGTGGTCTGGGTGTGTGTGTCCCCTTCCTGAGTGGCCGGCAGGTGACGGTTGTCTGTTGTTGCCCTTTCAGAAGCCCAGAGGTCATGAGCACTGTCTCAGGTACACGGAGCACGACGGTCACCTTCACCGTCCGCCCCGGCACCTCCCAGCCCATCACCCTGCAGAGCCGGCCCCCCGACTACGAAAGCAGGACCTCAGGGCCGAGACGTGCCCCAAGCCCTGTGGTCTCGCCGACAGAGCTGAGCAAAGAGCTCCTGCCCGCCCCGCTCTCTGCCTCCGCGGCGTCTCCCTCCCCTGCCCTCTCGGAGGTCTTTAGCCTTCCGAGCCAGCCTCCTTCCGGGGACCTGTTTGGCTTGAACCCAGCGGGGCGCAGCAGGTCACCGTCCCCCTCGGTACTGCAACAGCCAATCTCAAATAAGCCTTTCACGACTAAGCCTGTGCACCTGTGGACTAAACCCGACGTGGCCGACTGGCTGGAGAGCCTGAACCTGGGCGAGCACAAGGAGACCTTCCTGGACAACGAGATCGACGGCAGCCACCTGCCCAACCTGCAGAAGGAGGACCTCATTGACCTGGGCGTGACGCGCGTCGGCCACAGGATGAACATAGAAAGGGCTTTGAGACAGCTGCTAGACAGATAAGGGTGGCTGTGCCTCCCCCAGACTGCTTCTTGTTTGAGTAGAGATGGGCTGACTCGGAGAGGGCAGAGCCTGTGAGCGCCAACCCCGTCCCATGGGTCTGTCTCCTGGTACCCAAAGAAACGCTGACAATGTCCACCGCGCGGCCGAGCCGAGGCCTGGCAACGCCCCGGCTCTCTGTGGGTCTCTTGGCCAGTTCCTGCCAACAGGGGACAAGAGGAGACATGCCCAGCCTGCCTGGCTCTGCTGCCGAGAGGCCCGTGGGGTCTGCGCGGCCCCCGATCTTGCACTGCACATACCTCCTGAGGCCTCCCTCCTCTGCACTCGGCAGCTGCCCGTCACCCCAGGCCCCCAGGCCTCGTCTCTCAGAGGATGCGCGATGCCCGCGCGGCCCCTTCTCTGTCCTGAACTGAGGTGCTCCCAGCAGCCTCTGCCGGCCCTGGTCTTGCGCCCTGCCGCCTCCTGCGCAGCCGCGGCTCTCTGGCCGAGGTTCCTGGCGGTGGCGGGGGTGTAACGGGATCGTGTTCAGCTTTGCTTGCCTTGCTTGCTTTCTGCACACCTACTAGCATAATTCCAAGGTGGCCAGATGGCATGTGGAGTTAGCCAAAGCACAAAGTCACGATTCCGGGCAGGAGGAGGGCTTGGCCACAGGACCCAAGGCCCCAGAGGGAGCTGTCGTCTGGCGGAGGGGCCGTCGCGGGTGGAGGGAGGGCTGCTGAGGCGGGCCAGGACCCGAGTGAGGGGAGCTTCCACTCTGACTGCAAGGGCAGGAGACCCTGGCACAGTGAGCCTGCCCGCCACCGTCTCCCGGAGCTGGGTGGGCTCGCAGAGGCAAGGGGAGATGGTCCTTCCTCCCTGGGTGTCCAGGAATCCCACCAGCTTGTCTTAACCGTCCAACAGAGTCTCTCCCGGAGGCCCCTCGGGCACGGAGTGTAGACCCGACGCAGCCCCAGGCTGCGGGCTCACGGTGAGTGCAGATCCGGCTGCGGGCCCCTCGTGCCCGCGGGCCCCTCGTGCCCACGTGCTTCCTCCAGTGTCCACAGGAGGTCATCAGTTGCACCTCGGCCGCAGAGCGTCCAGTCAGGCTTTCAGCACATTCTCCCACGCTCGGAGAAGACCCGAATGTCAGGTTTGGGGGTTCGTTTTTTCTTTTTCTTTTTCTTTTTTAATGATTTCAGAACTAGCCTAGCCCATCTCTTCTTATAAAACATCTTTCTGTTTTTTTTCATGCTCACGGCCAAGTGTCTGGTCAGGTCTGGAACTGCTCTAGAACGAATACGTAAAATTTAGCAATTTAAAATCTTTCTTTACTGCAAGTTTAAATAGTTGTACAGATAGTTTATAAGCACAATATTTTAAGAAAAAAAAAGTGGCTGGTCTACTAGGAGCCTTTGTGCCACTTCAGTGCTAGAAAGTTAAAGAAAAAAAAAAAAACCTTTTGTGATTTAATACTGCTATTTCTGTGGAATAATTACACAAGGGTGACCTTTTTACCAACCTTGTCTGGACGCGTCGGGACCAGCGGCGCTGTGTTAATTTTCTATCTTTGCTAGAACTTTGCCATTGAAGGACGATTCTTTCTTCATATGTGGTCACAGTTCATATCACGGCAGTCTCCCCCCCAACACACACACATACACACACACACACACCTCCTAGCCTCAGGCCTGAGACCAAGCCTCTAAGCCTCTCCCCCCAGCGTCAGTCCCACCTGGAATGAAGCCAGTGCCAGAGCCGCCCACCGTGCTCCTGACACATAGCCAGGTCACGCGTGGCCGCCGGGGCCGCCAGCAGCAGCCGCACCCACCCCAGAGGAGCTGCCCTCGGTTCGGCCGTTAAAGTGTCTTCCATCCAGCCCACCACCTTCCTCCCCCTCTCTTCTTTCCATGGTCAGGCAGGTGGGCTGAGCCTCTGTGCCAGGCAAGAGGTGGGACCCACGCGGGGGCAGCGGGAGGACCCTGGGCTTGCTAGTCGGTCCACACGCCACTGCCCGGCCGCGAGCCAGTGCTGCCTCTGCGGAGGGGGCGGCAGCCGAGCCTGCACTGGCCGCCCCTCACACACACACTGCCCAGCCGAGCCGCCTTGGCCTCTGCCGGATGGCCAGGGCAGTAGGTCCTCCCGCCGCAGGACACGCCACGCCACGCCCTGCCCCCATGACAACTGCTCCCCCGATGATTCTGTTACGATTACACCAGGTCTTAAGATCACCTTTTGTTCTATACTGTAATTTAATAAACTGCATTTCCATGCCTAGTTTCTGTAATATTGTGTATACAAAACCAGAAGCTCTCAGATGTAAGCGCCGTGCCCTGCCAGGACCCCCTCCTTCTCCGGGGTGCGGACGCACACCCTCAGTCCATTCACACACCGACAGGAATGCGACGTGACTGTTGCCTTCCTGTCTCACCAAGTGGATTACCTGCGGCTGCAGACCCTGCGACGGCGACCTCCCTGACTTACACAAAGCATTACCCAGTCGATGGCAGACTGTGTAGGCCACAAAGATTGATTTTCTCATTAATGATTTTTTTTTTTTTGGTTTTTAAATATTAACGTTCCCCACTCTGGTTTGTGTAACGTGTTCGCAATCTCTTTATTCTCGTTACTTTCGACTTTTGTGCTTTTATTCTTTTTAGACTTTATTAAAAACAAAAAAAAAAGCTCCTGTAATTTGCACTTTCTCCCAATCCTTAAATCTCTTGTATGGCAACCAAAATTACTGTAAAAAATAAATCTTCTATTGCACTAAGGGTGTGGCTCTGATTGCGAACAGTGACCACTGTAAGGATGGGGCAGGGCTCGCCCGGGCCACCTGCGACCCCACACAGGCTGCGTGACAGGGCACGCACAGGGAAGCCCTGGCCCCTTCCACCCGAGACAGCTGCTTCAGCCCCACCCCCTTCAGGCCTCTCACTGGGGATTGGCTCGGGACCGCGAGGGGACAGGATCGCAAACTTCCACCCTCAGAACCTGGCCCCCACCCCCGCTGGGCATCTTGGGCTGGCCAGTGACCCCACGTGCAGAGCTGGTGTCTGGCTGCCACGTGCAGAGGCATGGCTGTCCCCTGCACCCTGGACGCCGGAGCCCATTGCATGGCCTCCAGTGGAAGCCTGTGGGCTCCAGTCCCTGCGTGTCTCCACACTCGTGTAGGATCCTCCCCGTCCCGAGCCTTCCCGCCTCACCGCGACTCTGGGAAGCATGGCAGGAGAACTCGCCGGCACTTGAACTTGGAGGCGCCGGGCAGCAGGCAAGCCAGAAGGCATCTGAGTCCACGCAGGGGAGAGGCCCATGTGGGCGCGGGCAGGCAGGGGACTCGGCTCGGACTCCACAGATGTGACCAGCCCAGCCCTGCGGGCGACTGCTTCTCTGCTGTCCCTCTGTGCCCACACGACGCTCTCTCACCATCGCCGTCCACTGCCTCTGCTCCCCTACTCTGTCACAGCAATTCAGAAATTTTAATACAAGCCTCCAAATCCACACACAAAAGAACAAAAGGAAAGAAAAATAAAGTGTGTGCCTCGGGGGTTCTGAGCCTGGTCTGCATAAAGCACGCTGTCTTCCGAGCCGAGGACCGACGCCGCCACACACGTCATACAGTCCCACTGCCTTGTTCTCTGAGCTGGGAGGCCCACGTCCACGCATGGCGCACAGTGGGACTCGAGCAGGAGGCATGGCCCCAGGCCCAGCCGCCACACGGGACCTGGCTCGCCCCAAGACTGTCAGACTCAGCCATTGAAGTTAAAAAATAAATAACAAGTTAAAATGAGATTGCGTGCTCACTGCTTGTTGCACCCCCAGAGCCCTGTCACCGCGGGGAGGGGGAGCCCCGCCAGGGCCCTGGGCCGGGCTGCCGTTGGTGTGGTCCCTGCAGGACGCCCATCCCAGCACTGCAGAGGCACAGGGCAAGGGCAGCTGGAACCCAGGAACCCAGGGCGGACAGACTGGCTTGGCATGTGATGGGACCTGTGCGCCCCCCCTTTCTCCTGCCAGGTCAGGGCCAGGCCTTGGGTCCTGTACCCCCGTCTACATATCAAAAGTCCCGGCCCCGCCCCCACAGAGGCCTAGAAAATTCCAGACTCGCCCCTCCCCCTCAGCGATAAGACTTGAGGTTACTAACCCATCTCCAACCTGCTCTCAGCCATGTCCCCAGGTGGACCCCAGCCCTCAGAGCAAGCACAAGGCTCCCTGATCCTGGGGACCCTGCCCCTCAAGGGGTACCCCGCAACCGGGCCCTGTGCGCCAACCCAGCTGGCAGTGCCCACAGTGCCCCCTCACGGCTTTCCGCTAAAGCCCCCCAAAACAAGACCAGCTGAGGACCCAGGACTCCATCCTTATCCTCCTGCTGGCCTTGTCTGTCAGGGCAGTGGGCTGGAGCTGGGGCACAGCTCTCATCAGGCCCAGGCTCAGGTCACCAGGCCCAGTCCCAGCCCCAGGACCTGGTGACCGGTCTGTGCTCATTTTCCTGGCTGCCACCTCAGGGGACGCTGGCCCCGGCTCACCTACCCCGAGCAGACCCATCCCTGGCCAACAGCGCCGATTCACAGGAGGACAGGGCATCTTTCAGCCAATCCTGGCGATGCTAGGTCCGCCCGACCCACAGCCCACACAGCAGGTGTGAGTGCAGAGCACCCTGGGCCCCCTGGGGGCCCGGTCCTGCCCTCAGCCCCAGGCAGAGTCCTCCGTCCTTCCCACCTGAGAGTCTTGGAGTTGTTGTTGTAGTCTGCTCGGTGAACCCCCGTCAGTGCCTCCTGGGAGCCCCACTCCTGGCTCAGGTGTGGGAAGGTGCTGTCTCAGCCAGCAGCAGCCACGGGCAGGTGGCTGACCTCAGGGGACGCTGGGCAGGTGGCTGACCTCAGGGGACGCTGGGCAGGTGGCTGACCTCAGGGGACGCTGGGCAGGTGGCTGACCTCAGGGGACGCTGGGCAGGTGGCTGACCTCAGGGGACGCTGGGCAGGTGGCTGACCTCAGGGGACGCTGGGCAGGTGGCTGACCTCAGGGCACCGGCCCACCCAGGCTCTGGCTCCCGGGCTCTCCCTCCTCGGGCCCCTCCTGACCTTGGTGTCCCCGCAGCGTGGACATGCCTCACTGCACCTCCTGGCGGACGGATGCCAGAGCCTGCTGCCACTATCCTGCGGGCACTTTTGTGTGAGCCCCCATTTTCAGTTCCTGGGGGGGGCACATGGTTCACTATCCCCAAACATTCCGGTTCCTGGCACAGCATCTTTCCCTGGGGCCGGGAGAGGGGATGTGTGTGAGCCTCGGAGGGTGGGAGCTCCGAGACGTGGGCCGAGGCCACACACCCTCTTCCTGAGCCCACAGGCCCCATCCCAGCGTTCAGGCCCCAGGTAGCGCCAACCCATAGTCACCCATGGAAAGGCCAGCGACAGACTCCTTCAGAGACCCCCGGGGGACACCGGGGTGGGCATATCATGTGCATGCCCTGGCTCGGGGTCCCCAGCACGCTTCGCAGGCCCCCCAGCTGCTGGCTCGGGGTCCCCAGCACGCCTCGCAGGCCCCCCAGCTGCTGGCTCGGGGTCTCCAGCACGCCTCGCAGGCCCCTGCAGCTGCCTCGGCCTGGCCCAGCTGTCACAGCCTGAGCCAGAGAAGCAAGGCATGGACGTCTGACCCGTTCCCGTCTCCCCACTCCCGCCCACTCTGTGCCTCTGACGTTCAAACAAACGAATCTCAATAAAGCACCCAGGAGTCGGGCGGGCGCCTTAGGGTGGTCTGCACCCTCCGCAGGGCACAGCCGTGGGCCCAGCCACGGCCCAGCACCCTGGCGGTCAGGACTGCGTGGGGAGTGGACAGTCGGCAGGAAGCCCTCTCTCCTCCTCTCTCTGCTTCTCTGCTGCCAAAGAGTGCAGCACATGACAAAAGCGGGTGTTGAGACAAATGACTGCGAACTTGTACCAATGCAGATTCCAGGGAAGTGAAGCCAGCACTGGACGGAGCCACAAAGCTCTTCCACCCGCTGACTCACTCCCCAAGTGACTGTAATGGCCGGAGCTGAGCCGATCCGAAGCCAGGAGCCGGGAGCCTCCTCCAGCTCTCCTACGCAGGTGCAGGGTCCTAAGGCTTTGGGCCGTCCTCGACTGCCTTCCCAGCTGGATGGGAAGTAGAGCTGCCAGGATACGAACCGGCGCCCATATGGGATCCTGGGACACGCAAGGCAAGGACTTTAGCTGCTAGGCTACCTCACCAGGCCCCAGGATACAATTTTTAAGGTCATGTCAGAACAAGGCTGACCCAGCAGAGGAGCCCACCTCCTGCAATGCCGGCATCCCACAGCTCACCCTGCACCCAGCACCGCCCTGCTCTGCAGGGACAGAACCCCAGGAGGCCCGCACGCTCAGGCCCTGCCACCGTGGGAGTCTGTGTGGAGCGCTTGGCTTCAGCCTCTGCTGTGGCTTGTGGAGCAAATCAGTGACCTGTGGATCTGTCTCCCCCTCTCTGCCACTCGGCCCTCCAAAGAAAGAAAGTACTGAGACGAGTAACTCAGTATATAGAAGACCATTGTCAAGAGACACAGAAAAACAGGCACAGTGTCACAGGCTGTGTGCGGGAGGGGACCAGGTCAGGACAGCATGGCGCTGCCAAGTGACCTGACCGGACACCACTGACCCACGGCAGGCCAAGTGTGCATGTGCCGTGTGCTGGGGACAGGGTGACCGCTCTCCTCGGCGACACAGGACAGGGTGACCACTCTCCTCGGCGACACAGGACAGGGTGACCGCTCTCCTCGGCGACACAGGACACAGGACACAGGACAGGGTGGCTGCTCTCCTCGGCGACACAGGACACAGGACAGGACAGGGTGACCGCTCTCCTCGGCGACACAGGACAGGACAGTACAGGGTGACCGCTCTCCTCGGCGACACAGGACACAGGACAGGACAGGGTGACCGCTCTCCTCGGTGACACAGGACACAGGACAGGACAGGGTGACCGCTCTCCTCGGCGACACAGGACACAGGGCAGGGTGACCGCTCTCCCCAGTGACACAGGACACAGCACAGGACAGGGTGACCGCAGTGCCGACAGCATATACGGACACTTTATGTCTGGCGGCCCCACTTCCCATCCAGCTCCCTGCCTGTGGCCTGGGAAAGCAACAGAGGACGGCCCAAAGCCTGGGGACCCTGCACCCGCCTGGGAGACCCAGAAAAGGCTCCTGGCTCCTGATCGGCTCAGCTCCGGCACCTGGGCAGTGGACCATCAGACGGAAGATCTTTCTCTCTGCTCTCCATACATCTGCCTTTGCAGTAAAACGAACAAATCTTCTAAAAAAGAGAAGCATAGCTCGCAGGCACACAGCTCCGCGCTGACTCGACACAGACCGTACGCGGCCGACCCTGCTCCGGGCTGCAGGCATCTGGGGAATGAGTTGGCAGATGGACTTTCTTTCTGTCTCTCCTTCTCTCTGGAAGTGCCTTTCAGAAAGAAATAACAAAAGAAGAGAAAGAAAAGGAAGGGAGGGAGGGAGGGAGGAGAGGGGAGAGAGAGAAAAACAAAGAAAGAAAGAAAAAGAAAAAAAGAAAGGAGGGAGAAAGAGAGAAAGAAAGAAAAAAGCAGAGGGGAAGGAGGGAAGGAACAGCCCCGTGGGGTGGAGGGCACGCATGTCCCAGTGCCCTGCCACACTCGCTGCCTGGTGGACAACAAGCCCAAGCTGGAGAGCCGCCCAGGGTGGCTCTGCTATGGTCACGGGCACAGCCAGGCAGGCGCCCCTTGGGCCTTGGCCCCACCTCCCTGTCAGGCCCGCTTCCCAGCCCTGCCCACTGCTCCTCTGGCGGTGCTGACCTCAGCTGCAAACTGGCCGTCCCCCCACGGGAAGGGGGACTGCACGCCTGCTGGGCCTGGCAGCCCCACCACAGAGCAGCCACCAGCACAGGGCCTGTCGAGTCTGAACCCTGGAGTAGAAGTGGGAGCTCACGGGATCAGACAACACCTGGGCGCAGGGGCCAGAGGGCCAACTCTGCACGGCCGTGGGAGTGGCAGCGGACACCCCTGGGCAGCCCCCACATGATGGAGCCCCACGGGATCCTGGGGTGGGGGGTGGGGGGCGCGGCTGGCACGGCAGGTGCCACCTTCTCTTCTCCATCTGCAGGGCAAGGCAGACACTACACCTGGGGTGTAGCAGATCCCCAGAACCACTGAAAAAGCCAAGGCCCCAACTAGCAGCCTGCAGAGAAGGGCTAAGGGGCGCAGACAGGGCTGCGAAGGGGCGAGAGGAAACCTGGGGAGGCACCAGGTCCCCGTCAGTCCAGGACCCTGGCACTCAGGGTCTGACCGCGTCCCAGTGACAGCCGGGCAGCTGAGGGCATGCACAGGCCCGTCACACGAGAAAGCAGGGCCAGTGGCTCGCTCTGCTTTGTCCTGCACACAGGGTCTGGGAGCTGCCACCTTAGAGACAGGCCAGGGCAAGCCACCCCGGGGGGTCTCCCCTGCCAAGAGCTGACTTAGCCTGGCTGTCCCACCACGCCCATGTGGCTGGCTGCTTTCTCACTGACCCTGGTCAGCCAAGGGTGGGTCCAGGGGACTCTGGAACATTTCCTTTAGACCAGGACTCGGAGGCTCAGCTAGCCACCCCAGGACACGCCAGAGCCAGCCTAGGCCTGACTCAGATCGATTTCACACGTGGCACTCTAGCTAGGAATCCAGGAAGAGCTGGTGCTGCAAAGAGAGGACCAGAGCCCCTCCCAGGACCAGAGCCTCTCCCAGGACCAGAGCCTCTCCCAGGACCAGAGCCTCTCCCAGGAGCAGCCTCTCCCAGAACCAGCCTCTCCCAGGACCAGAGCCTCTCCCAGGACCAGCCTCTCCCAGCCTCTCGGGGCTCACGATGCTCTAAAGCCAAGATGGAGCACACGGGGTGTGCAGGGACGGTGGCAGCATGCCTTCCCCCAGAACAAAGAACCAGACCACACAGCAAGAAGATCAAAAAAATGTATTCTGGCTATTTAATTTAAAAAAATCAGACTGTGAGGTGCGCCTCAGACCCCGACACAGAAGTTGCATATAAAACCTAGCCTCCCCAGGAACGCAAGGATTAGGCGGAACCACACCCTCAGGAAGATGAGGCACGGAGGGGTTTCCGGGAGCCGTGCGGCCTCCTAACCTCTGGGACAGCCATACCCTCTGAGCACAGAGTGGCTGGCAGTGCCCGGGGCCAGCAGCTCTGGGCCCCTGGCAGTCCGTCCACCTGTGCGCGGGACCCTCAGCAGGGCCGGCAGCCACAGTTCACCAGAATTCAACGGGTTATTTGGCAACAACAGTATGACTTCAAGGCAGAACAGCGCGCTGGGCGGTCCACGATCGGGTAGGGCCCTGCCTCCCACAGCCACGTGGCCACACACACAGACCACGCCTGCGGGGCCCATGGAGCCCTGAGCCAGCGCCAACCCGACCCGGAGCGCCAGGCTATGGTGCAGCGACACCTGGAGACAAGCAGAGGAGGGGCAACAAAGCAACGGGGCGACACCTGGCAGGGGTGAGACAGGACGGGCCCAGCAGCCTGCTGGGCATCGAGGAGGGGCGAGCGTGGAGGCTGAGGAGTGGGGCCAGGGCCTCGGCTGCATGCCTGCTCTGCAGCGGCCACAGCAAGTCCTGAGTCGTGGCGTGAGCTGAGCTCTCCGGCGAGCCTCCTTCTCCCACGCACAGAGCCACAGGCCTCCCTCTGGGGACAGCACCCTGGCGGGGACAGAGGACCCCAACAGGCACAGGACAACAAGCACAACCAAGCCGGGGAGGACCGAGGACCCACACAGCCGCACAGGACGGTCCATTTGGCAAAAGAACCAAAAAGAAAACACCTCAAATGCCTAAGAACAAGGTCAAGTGCGCTGAAGGAACGTGATCACAATATATTAGCAGATCTCGCGGCGTGCACTGGAGTCAGCCACCAGAGCACACGTACAGAAGCGACACGAGCACCCCTCCTCACCGTCACCGGGCCGCACGGGGGGCCGCACGGGGGGCCGCACGGGGCTACTGCCGCAGCTCCACGTAGTTGGCGGGGAAGAGCCCGTACCTGCCCCTGCACACCCCGCGCCACCAGCCGTCATCAATCATCTCGATGTTGGTGATGATGTCATCAGGGTCGAACGAGATTTCGTCATCGCCCGCTGCGGGAGAGCACGCAAGGAGACGCTGAGACGCCTGCGGCCCCGTGTCCTGCTCGGCCACCCACACCCTGCCCCTTCCCAGCGCAGGCCCCGGGTGGCTCTGCTTCCTCAGCCAAGGCCCCATCTACACGGGCCAAGGTCATTACAGAGCGGGGGGCTAGAGAGGGCGCCACGCTGTGTGGGCGGCCACGGGCAGGAGCCATGGCAGGGCGCTGCCTCAGCGTGGCTGAAACGACAGCGGTCGCAAGGCAATAGGCCCTAGTGACAGTGGAAGGCGGGCCTTGGTCGAATCCCGCCACTTCAGCCCACAGAATGGCTGAGGTGACAGTGTGCAATGCCACCACAGTGAAACACATGAACCCCAGGGGTCCCAGAGTCTTCCTGCCACAGAGGACAGGCTGGGCCTGGCCCTGAAGGAGGGGGGCCGGGTCAGGCCACGGGGCTGCTGTCCGCGGACACAGTGTTGGGGGGAGACTGTTCCCTAGTTCTTGGAAGCACACACACACAGGAGGCCATGGGGGATGCGCGTGGACACACACGACAGTGTGTGTGTGTGTGTGTTACACACTGGATTCTTTGAGTCTGGATGACTTTCCTCTAACCCCAGACCACACCAAGTGTCACTCGGGTTCCACAGACGCGCCTGCCCCTGCACCTACCGGCCTGGTAGTCGTAGAGGGCCGTGGCCGTGATCCCGAGCGAGTTCTCGTACTCGTCATAGGTGTTGTCCTCTGCAACGAAGCACAGGGAGCTGAGCAGGCGCCAAGGCCCAGTGCACGTGGCCACGGCGGCAGCAGGTGCCCGCAGACACGCGTGGGACCGGCCAGACCCCAGGGCACAGCAGGCGCCCCGCAGACACGTGCCCGCGGCACCTGCCAGGTCCCACAGCGACAGTAGGCGCCCTGCAAACATGCAGCAGGAGAGCACGGTGAGGGGTCTCCCCAGGAGTCCTCCCACGGAAGGCACGCACCTGACTGGTAGTGGCCCTCCGAGCTCTCGTCGACTGTGTCCGGGCCCACGAGGCTGTCACAGGCCGGCTCTGCTCGCAGTGATGCAGCATCCTGGAAGGACGAGGGGACACTCTGCAGCCAGGGCTGGCTTCACAAGGGCAGTGGCCACCCAGCCACACCGCCCCTGCTCCCTGTGGAGCGGCTGTGCCCACTCCAGGTAAAGCCACAGGGACAGTGAAGGCGGGAGGCCAACCCAGAGCCACACTCGGGCATCAGGGTCCCCTCCGAGCCACTCAGCATCAGCGGCTCGCTCTGGCAACCAGTGTCCGCCTGCAGAAAGAGCAAGCCCGGAGAAGCTGGGGTCACACGCTCACCCCAGCGGACAGCAGCACCCACCTCATAGATGGGACTGGACGGCAGCCTCTCCTCCACGGGCTGAGGACCAGGAGACGCTGGAGGACTCTGTTGGGCTCGGGCTTGTTCCTGCAATCAAAATCACTCTGGCTGGACATCCCAAAGAGCAGGGACAGGTCAGTTGTCACCGACCAGCGGCGACACTAACGACGAGGCACACTCTTGAGGGTCTGGGAAAAGCCGGAACCACAACCGGACCCCTTATTGCCAAAGCGGCTGCGTTTCTACCCTTCTCTCCGCTGCCTTTTCCCCGTTGGTCTTAGCTTTTCTCGCTGCTTCTCTAGCCCTCTCTCCGCTGCTTTCCTTCCCGCTCTCCTCATCCTTTCTGCTTTTGTCCCCCTCTCTGCCGCTTCTCCCCGTTCTGGTTCCCCTGCTTTTCCTCCCCGTAAGCCTTAGCTTTTCTAACCCTCTCTGCTGCCCCGTTCTTCTCGTTCTGTCCATCGCTCTTTTCCCCATCTTTCTCCTCCTCGTCCGTCCTATAGCTTTTAGCGGCTGCTTTTACACCGTTCTCCACCAATCACTTCTCCCCGTAGTCCACTTGGCGCTACCTGATAGGCCAGTAGCAATGACATAATCACAGCGAGGGCATCAGCCTATCCTGTGACTTCCTGTTTACCTGCTGGCGAGACCAACCCCGCCTCCTGGCCCTGGGCCAGCCGCCATCCTGCGATGGCCTTTCCTATTTCTGGGAGCGTCTTCGGCACCCCACTCCCCACAGTCAGCGGCTGTGAGGCAAGGTGGCATGTGGCTCACGCATTCCCCAGGCCTCACTGCCAGGACCACGGGACCTGGTTGTCACACCGAAGTGGTGGCAGCATGGTGGCTGATGTGGCTGCCAACACCGGGACCGCGAGCAGATGCTCCCGCCAGGAGACCCAGGACCTGGAGGGGTCAGTCTATGCTTGTGGGACAACATGGCACTTTGGGCTACAGTGAACAAAGTGACGGGCCCCAGAGCTGCTGCTATCAACCCATAGATCCTGTGTGTGCGCAATCCCATGAGGCAATGGGACTGCACTTGACCCAAGGGGTCTGTGATAGGGCCTGGAGTGCCCGGATGGGCTCTGCCATCGGGGCAGGCGCTGGGCACAGTGGGTGAGCCACCAGCTGGGACATCATCACACCACCCCACAGTCCAGGTCCTCTGTGTCTGAGCCAGCTTCCTGCTACCACTCCCTGGGAGGCAGCGGGTGACAGCTCATGCCAGGGCTCCTGCCACAAGCCGGAGGACAGGCAGAGCTCCTGCCCCTGGGCTTCTGCCGGGACCAGCTCCAACTGCTGTGGCCTCGGGAGTAACCCAGGGGTCTGCTCACCTCTCCAGCTTCCAAATAAACATGCTTTCTACAAGCTGGTGGAGGCATGCAGGAGCTGTGATGGAGAAAGGGGCAGGGGCGGCCGGGAGACGGGCGCTGGCAAGGGCCGCTGACCTTCGCGCCTGAGGGCACAAGCGCATGCATGGGTTTTGGCTGGGGGGTTCAGCCATGCACCCCACACATGGCACAGGACCCAGTAGTCCTCACCAACCCTCTCGCCAGTCCACCCTGGCCCGGCACTGGCCTCCTGGGTGCCCAGAGGCACAGGGCATAGGCCTCCACTCAAGAGTCCCCTCTCACCAGAAGCCCCACGCACACCTGGCTTCTGGGGCACACCTCTCCCGCCCGGGGAGCCCCAGCAAAATTGTGCCCTGGCAGCAGGGAGGGGAAGAGGCAGACAGCAGCCCCAGACCTTTTCGCCCCACGCTGCTCTAAGCTCCCGAGCTGGCAGTATCCCACAGCGGGCATCAGAAGTCCCAGCCAGAACACGGGGCAGGCACAGGGAAGGGCCGAGAGAACGCTTCGCAGCTCGGGAAAGCAGCCCCGTGCCAGGGGCTGCAGCAGCAGAACTATTCAATTACTTGTCCAACTCTGGGTGCTGGTGCCAACAGGGGCGCTCCCGGCCGCAGTTTCACCTGCCTCCTTCCCAGCCACACTGTGCACGCCTCCTCTTGGGGTCCACGCAGCTCCACTGCCGCTGAGGCAGGGACCACCAGACGGACACGGAGCTTCCCAGTCTGTCAGATGGCCTCCAGGGCGGCACCCAGATGCCACTGCCCCATGGCTCCCAAGAGCCTTGGCAGAAGCCCTGGCCACTCTGCAGAGCCCCCAAGGCTGCCCCATGGGCTGCAGCACGGCAGGTGTGCCTGGAGCACTCCTGGGGAGCCCCGACCCCGAGCACCCTCCACTCACCTCCGACCTCCGTGCAGCTTCTTCCCGCTCCCGCTGCTCCCTGGCCAGGCGCTGGGCTCGCTCTGCCTCTGCCTTCCGCCTGTCCTGCTGCTCCTGCTCCTTTGCCAGGTTCTCAAAGTTAGCTCTGATGTTACTTGTCTTGCTGGTCACTGCAGAGGAAGAAGAGGGCACCTAGGACACCGGGCCACTTCCCTGCAACCCCGTGCTGGCAAGCCCTCACCCAGACGCCACACCCACCGCTCACTCAGGCTGAAAGGTGCCCAGGCCACTTCTGCATGGCACGTCTGTCCCTGGAAAAGCAGTCAGTCACTCACGCTGACACACATCACTCACACACACCAGTCTCACATGGTCACACTCGCAGGGAGCTGTCCCTCAGCCCTGAGGACACACTGCTGCCGCGCCTTAAGGAGCAAACGCTCGGACAATTACTTGATCTACCAACAAGCCGCTGTGACCGGAGCGCGAGGCGTGGCCTTGGGGAAGTGCCCAACAGGCTTCCCATCAAGGGGTCACTACACTCTGCCAAAACTGGGGCTGGCAAAGCTGCCGCCTGTGAGCAGCTTCCCACACGAGCACTGCCTCTCGTCTCCAGGGCTCCACTCCCCCCCAGTTCCCTGCTCTGGCCTGGGAACGCAGTCAAGGATGGCCCAAGCCTTGGGACCCTGCACCCAGGGGCCACACTGCTGCCCCCCAGGCACAGGGCAGGCTCCTCTCGCCCCCCAGCGGTGTCCTGGGAGCTGCGCACCCCCAGGCACAGGGCAGGCCCCTCTGGGGCCCCATCCCCAGGTGCCTGTGGCTCACCAACTTCCACTGGCACAGTCTTCTGGTAGGCAGAGGACACCTTGGTGATATCTTCAAAGCTCGAGGCATTCTGCAAAATAGGGCAGGGTTCAGGAAGGCTCCTCTCTCCACACTTCCAGCCATGGCTCCCGCATGCATATTCCACCCAAGTCCTCCCCAGGACCCCAGCTCTCCCACAGGCTCCCCGACACACATCAGAACAGACCAGGCACAGCACCTCCAGTGCTCAGGCACCGCCCTGGGGCCCTGCGTGCCTCCTCACCTGGCCCGGAGGGAGCTCGCGTGCGCAGCCCTGCTGGCCCGGGGCTCAGAGGCACGTCCAGCCCACCCGTGTGTGAACAGTGACGGCCACTCGCATCCCGGAGGAGCCCCGGCAGTGGTGGTCCCGGCATCACCTCAGTCTGAGCTCTCTGGCTGTACAGGCACGAGCAGTGGGCGGCACCCTAGTTCCTCTGCTGTGTTCTGGACAAGCTGTACTGGGACTTCCCTGATAAGCACCTCTGAGCAGTCAGGTGTGGCCCACGTTACCTGCCAGCGGTGTGTGTACGTGACCCACTACGTGACTGGAGGGTCCAAAGAGACAGACATGCCTTCCAGCCAATCGTCAGTGCTGGGTGGGAGCAGTGTGCCCTCCCCCTGTCTACGCAAGTCTGTGCTTGCTTTACAGTAAAGAGACACACCCCATCAGATGTGGTTCCTGCTGCTGAACAAAGTCGTCTCACGCCCTGGGTGGGCATGGGGGCTGTGGTCAGGAACCCCCGAGAACTCCTCAGTGGGCATGGAGGGCTGTGGTCAGGAACTCCTCGGTGGGCATGGGGGCGTCAGGAACCCCCGAGAGCTCTGGGCTCTTCAATGCAGCCCTGCAGCTGGCATCACCCACCAGCCAGGAGGCAGGGCAGAAGCGACAGGTAACCAGGTGGGCTCCCTGAAGTCCAAGCAAAACCAAACCCTTCCCTAGCCCGGGCAGAGTGGCCCTGACCACCAGAGCTGGGCTCAGCACTCCCGGGGTTGGCCCTGCCACCCCGATCAAAGCTTTGCCCTTCCCAGGCCTGATCCTGTGGTGGGGGAAGGGCTGGAGAAGGGAGACGCGCTCAGGACCTTGCACAGCCTGCCCCACCCCCGTGCCCTCCCAGGGGCTCCCACCTCCGCAGGAAGTTCTCCAGGCTGGCTACCCAACTGCACAAGGCTGGTAACAAAATCTTTCAGCAGGAATTTGACCTATTCAGCAATCCCCGTCCACAGGGGGCAGGGCCAGTGCAACAGGCCGCCCACCCGCTTGCCCGCAGGCTTCCCTCCTCACACTCACTTCCTGCCTCTAGGGAGGCTGGGTGTGCTCCACTGCATCTACAGGGATGCCCGCCTCCCTCCCCCGGTCAACCTTGCTGCCGCTCTTCCTCACGCCCGAATCCTTTGTCACACCAAGACCCTCTGCTCCCCTGTGCCAGCACCCTCATACCCTGCCACGTGTCCTCAATCTTGCCTGGGTGGCAGGACAGGCCCCCTCCTGTGGGCCAGCAGGCCTTCTGTCCCAGACCCCAAGTTTCTGCCCATTCCAGGTCAGCCCTTGGGCTGCCTCCCCCCAGGAGGAACCCATGATCTCAGCCTCCGCCTCTGCCTCCAGCTGGCCTCCATCTCACGGCACTCCCGGTTCGCTCAGGCCTGGGCAGGCTGGCACCTCGGCCAATGCCAAGCCACACTCTTCACGTCAGCCAGGACCTGCTGGCTCTCTCCCTGGTCTCCACCACCACAGGGACCACAGAGGACCCCATCCCTCATCCCAGGACCCCACCAGTCACCCTGTCAGTAAAAGTGTGGCCACAGCCCAGGCAAGAGCCACGGCCTTGGTAGGGCCGGCAGACGGCACAGGGCAGCACCCCACATGTGGCCCTCCCCGGCATCAACGTGGCTAGACTGACCACGGACACCGGGTGTAGGAACCTCCACAGCTGCGGCCTCAAGGCACAGTGTCTGACCTGATTCTCCTGCCCTGGCCACGCAACCCACAGATTACACAGCCCACGCAGTCCACACAGATGACACGGCCCACGCAGTCCACACAGATTACACGGCCCACACAGACCACACAGATGACACGGCCCACGCAGTCCACACAGATGACACGGCCCACGCAGTCCACACAGATGACACGGCCCACGCAGTCCACACAGATGACACGGCCCACGCAGTCCACACAGGTGACACGGCCCACGCAGACCACACAGATGACACGGCCCACACAGTCCACACAGATGACACGGCCCACACAGACCACAGGCCCACACAGCCCACACAGCCCACACGGCCCACACACCTCACAGAGACTACACAGCCCACACGGTCCATGAACTCAGTGACTGGGGCCAGTGTGGTGGCAACAGGCTAATCCTCCACCTGCCGCATCTACCTCTCCTGCGGTGAAGGCTGAGACAGACCCCTGGGGGCAGGGCGGCCAGCTGAGAGCTACCGGCTAAGCCACTGATTGGGCTTCCTGGCTGCTCTGCTCCTCACCCAGCTCCTGGAAAGGCACTGCCATCACTCGGAACAGCAACATGGAGCACGTGGCTTCCACTGGCCCAGCCCTGGTCCTCGGGGGCATTTTTGGGGAGTGTTCTGTGTCCCTGCAGGGGCCGTGCCTTCAGAGTCCATCTTGCGTGCAAGCAGCAGCCTCGGACCCCTGCAGCCAGGACCGCTGCCTAAGCTAACGTCACTGTAGTCCCACACTCCCACAGTGGCCACTGAGCGTGCCTGGGCTCTGGCCTGCAGGCCTGCAGCACCCGAGCTGCATGGTGGCGAGCCACGCCTGGCCTTGGGAGCATGCCCAGCACACATCCGGAAAAGCCTGGGAGGCCTGGGCCGGCACTGCTCACCTTATCCATCCGATCCTTCTGCACACCGTATTTTCCGCCAAATCCTTTGGAGTAGTCTGAAAGGGGTCCAAACACAGGGTCAGTGCAAGCCAGAGCCGGCTGCAGGCTGGCACACGCATGCCGACAGGCCCGCAGCAGCCAGCAGCAAGGAAGCAGGAGCCACCGGATGGCAAGTTCTGCGGCAGCCGCACCCTCAGCGCACAGGCAGGCAGGCAGGGGCCGTGGGCATGCGGCCATGCTTCCGGCACTCTCCAGGGCAGCAGGGGGCGAGCGGGAGGGGCACGGGGCAGGCCTGGGCCATGCAGCACTCAGCTGGCACACCAGCAGGGCCCACTCTCATCTGCTTCCTGGGTGCTGTAGTACTGGGCACTGAGAGGCTCGGTCACGGATTGGTTCAGAAACAAAGAACGCTATGTGGATCGTCTCCCAGCCACACATCCACGCAGGCGTCCCGCCCACCCCACACCTGTGCTACAAGCTGCCTGCACAGGCCCAGGCCTGCAGGGACCCTATTCAGGACAACGAGCTCAGGAGGAACTCTGGAAAGGGTGTGCCATGAGGACACCACGCGGGGCTTCACAAATTCTCGGAATTAAAATAAACGTCTTTTCGTTCTGTTCTCCATGAACTTCATGAACTTTTCAAAGAACCTGCACACCTGCACAACAGGAAAACAGCCTCCGCACACCCAACACAGACAACTAGTAACCTCCCCGCACACCGCCTGACACGCACACAGCAAGCCTACAGCCAGGCCTGCAGGCCGACAGCACCCGGACACGGCCATGGCCACGCCTTGCGCTCCAGGCCTGCAGACAGCACCCGGACACAGCCATGGCCACCCCTGGGGCTCCAGGCCTGCAGACAGCACCCGGACACAGCCATGGCCACCCCTGGGGCTCCAGGCCTGCAGACAGCACCCGGACACAGCCATGGCCACCCCTGGGGCTCCAGGCCGACAGCACCCAGACACGGCCATGGCCACCCCTGGGGCTCCAGGCCTGTTGTGCCTTGGCCACTGGGATGGCGCAGCTAGATGTCTGTCTCCCTCTTGAAGGCAGTGGGACCTGGCCTGGTCACAGTGACATAACCAACAGTAACCCATGCTTGCACAGCAAGCTGCTGCGAGACCAGGGTCCCCAACCCCAGAACTGGCCACGTTATGGGAGCTGGGATGACAACCAGCAACACGTCACCCCAGCACAAATCCCAAGGTCACAACGGCATTCCAGTTCCAAGTTCACCTCTCTCAAGCATAAACTGGGTTTAAAATACCCCAGCTGGGTCGGCTCTCTGACTACGGGTAAGCCTCTAACTATGGGTGCCAATCCGAGCCCTGGCTGTTCCACTTCCTGTCTAGCTTCCTAGTAAGGTCCTGGGAGAACATGAAGAGGTGGCCTGTGTCAGCAAGCCCTGCAGCCACATGGGAGACCCTCAGGCGGCTCCTGGCTCCTGCTCAGCCCAGCTCTGGCTGTCGTGGCCACCTGGGGAGTGAACCAGCAGACGGAGGGTGTGTGTGTGCGTCTCCTCCTCCCTGGGACTCTACTTTTCAAATATAAATTGTAAAAATCTTTAAAAAAAAAATTGCCCAGGGCCTGGTGCGATGGCGCAGTGGTTAAGGTCCTCGCCTTGCACGCCCGGGATCCCATATGGGCACCAGTTCTAATCCCAGCGGCCCTGCTTCCCATCTAGCTCCCTGCCTGTGGCCCGGGAAAGCAGTCAAGGACGGCCCAAAAGGCTTTGGGACCCTGCACCCACGTGGGAGACCCGGAAGAGGCTCCTGGCTTCGGATCGGCACAGCATTGGCCACTGCGCTCACTTGGGGAGTGAATCATTGGACAGAAGATCTTCCTCTCTGTCTCTCCTCTGTATATCCGCCTTTCCAATAAAAATAAAATAAATCTTTTAAAAAAAAAATTGCCCAGAGCCCTGGCCGCGGCAGCTGGCTGGCCAAGGACACTGCACCACGGTGGCCCCCGAGTCTGTGCTCGAAGTGGCTGCACCGAAGGAGGTGGGGCGGGCGGGGACCGAGCTTGACCGCAGAGGAGTCCTGCCTCAGACTGAACACCAGACCCGCCTCTGAAGCCAGGCTTGTAATCTGAAACTCCGCACGCGACAGCGGGGACGAAAACCAACACAGGAAACACGCGTCGGGTTAGACTCGTACAAGCAGGTGGGGTGACCAAGTCTGTCCTTCCAGAAAGCGGGGCTGGCGGACCCCACCCCGACTCAGACACACACTGGACGCCGCATCCTGAACAGCTCAGCCAAGCCACTCCATGCTGCAAGGCTGCTCGGGGGCCTACCCACGCTGCAGACGACAGCGGGCGTCTCTGTGTGTGGAGAGAATCTCGTGAGGCGCAAAGGGGCCTGCGTGGCCCGGCCCCACCCCGCCGGAGGCCACGGTCACGCGGCCTGGTCAGCAGTCCCAAGGATCGCCCAGGAGGCCCTTGGTCTCGGTGCAGCCCTCACATGGTGCATCACTGGCACAGGGCTGTGAGACCACAGGAGGCACGGGACAACTTGGAATGGTGAGGACAAAACAGCCCAACGCATCACGTGACGCAGGAGCCACCTCGACAGCCGGGACGTACCTCGCTGGGATTCGTGCAGCTGCAACTTCTCCTGGTGATCCCAACCCAGGGCGCATTTGTCTTGTCTGTCTGTCTGCACGCCGAACTTTCCCCCGAAGCCTTTCACATAGTCTGCAGACACGAGGATAACCAGCGTCACGGGGCGCCGAGTCCCAGCGCGGTGCGTGTCGGATGCAGTTAAACACACACAGTTCACCCAGCCCTGCCCTGCCAGGCCTCTGCGGACACTGTGCCCAGGAAGATGCCCTCAGCTGCACCCTCAGAGTGGACCCTGCAGGGCCTCTGCCTGCGCTCGGGGCACACGGCCTCAGCACCGGCAGACAAGGCCATCTGGGGCACACCCCAGGGCAGGGGCCAAGCTCCGACCTCACCCCCTGTGCACGCCTGCCCCGCAGGTACCTGTCTGTGACTCGTGCTTCTCTGTCTTGCCTTGGTACTCGAAGCCCACGGCACTCTTGTCCACCTTGTCCTTGTCAATACCGTATTTGCCACCAAAACCTTTGGAGTAATCTGAAAACAAGAAGGTGGTATTTCAAAATCACCCATGAACGGGGCCAGTGGCTCAACTGGCTTCTCCTCCGCCAGCAGCCCCTGTGGGCTGCAGTTCGTGTCCAGCTGCTCCACTTCCCGTCCAGCTCCCTGCTCGTGGCCTGGGAGAGCAGCCGAGGATGGCCTAGGTGCTTGCGACCCTGCACCTTTGTGGGGGACCTGGCAGAGGCTCCTGGCTTCGGATCAGCTGAGTTCCAGCCATTGCATATATTTGGGGAGTGAACCTGCTGATGTCTTCCTACTTTGCTATAAATCTGTCTTTCCTATAAAAATAAATCTTAAATAAAAGATCAGCCTTGAAGCCAGCGTGGAGGCTGAGGGTCTCTCGGCCTTGAAGGAGACGCACTGCTCAAGGTACGACAGGGGCTGCCCAGGCCTGCCCTAAGACACACGAGAGACAACATCTCCCAGGACAACACAGAGACAGGCGGACGCAGGAGCTCAGCCACTGCAGGCAAACATGCAGAGGGGGCAAGGCCCCTCCAGCAAACAGCACACACTGGGGAATCTTCTAGAATATGCCAGCTCTATTCTCTCAAAGAACCAGCCTCTCATGGATACGGCAATGGAGCGAGACACACAAAGCAGAGCCTGTGAGAGGGCGTGGAGCCCCGCCGGCCACGCCCCGGTGCTGTGTGCTGCCAGAGCCGAGGCATCCCCGGAGCCCCATGCACCCTCACAGTGGGGTCTGTGCTCGGCCAGGGGAGGGCCAAGCCAAGCGGGCAGCCCAGTAGGCAGCACAGGTGGGCTCCACGGCAAGCCAGCCAAGGCCTCGGGGTGGGGTTAGAAATTATTTCCAAATGATGGTAATTACTTTTAAGATCTGAAACACATGGGTGAGAGCCAATGCATTCTAATCAAGCTGGTATCCCACACGGGCACCAGTTCAAGTCCTAGAGACCCCACTTCCCGTCCAGCTCCCCGCTGACATGCCTGGGAAGGCAGCAGAGGACGGGCCCAGCGCCCAGGCTCCTGCACCTGCACGGAGAGCCCAGCTCCTGCTCTGCCCAGCCTGGACTACTGTCATTTAGGGAGTGAACCAGCGGGCAGAAGGTCTCTGTCTCTGCTCTCTAACTTGACTTTCAAATACAAATAAATACATCTTTAAAGCAAAAATGGAAACATGCCAACAATGCAAGCCAAGGGATGGCAACCCACAGCACGACCTGTGCCCTCCGGGACAGCTCAGGAGACCCAGCCAGCAGGCGCAGCGGGATTTTAGAGCCAACACACAGGGACCCAGCAACTCCACATACACGCACGGATTCCTCCAGCCACGGCTGTGTGAGGGCCGATTGAAAGCAGCGAGTGTCCACTTGAGCAGCAATGTGGGGCAGACAGAAACCTCCTACAGCACAGCGGGTCCTCCTTTTGCACGGGAGGCCCCACAGCCTCGACGTGCAGGGGTCTGCCCACGAGGAGGGCGGCAGCGGGGCTGTGCAGGGGTCTGCCCGCAGGGAGGGAGGCAGCGGGGCCGTGCAGGGGTCTGCCCACAAGGAGGGCGGCAGCGGGGCTGTGCAGGCAGGGGTCTGCCCGCAGGGAGGGAGGCAGCGGGGCCATGCAGGGGTCTGCCCACGAGGAGGGCAGCAGCAGGGCCGTGCAGGGAGCTGCCCACGAGGAGGGCGGCAGCAGGGCTGTGCAGGGGTCTGCCCGCAGGGAGGGAGGCAGCGGGGCCGTGCAGGGGTCTGCCCACAGGGAGGGAGGCAGCAGGGCCGTGCAGGCGTCTGCCCGCAGGGAGGGAGGCAGCGGGGCCGTGCAGGGGTCTGCCTGCAGCGAGGGCGGCAGCAGGGCCGTGCAGGGGTCTGCCTGCAGGGAGGGAGGCAGCGGGGCCGTGCAGGGGTCTGCCAGCAGGGAGGGAGGCAGCGGGGCCGTGCAGGGGTCTGCCCGCAGGGAGGGAGGCAGCAGGGCCCACCCTCACCTTTCTGTGACTCGTGCTTCTCCGTCTTGCCCTGGTAGTCAAACCCCACGGCACTCTTGTCCACACGGTCGGCCTGCACGCCATACTTGCCTCCAAAGCCGCTGGAGTAGTCTGAGGAGACAGCAGGCGGTCAGCCCGGGTAAGGACGCACGCACAGCAACTCTGGTGTCCCCGAGCTGTGGCTGCTGAGGCCTGGCACCCAGGCACACCGTGAGGTGGCAGGCAGTGGGCCAGGAGCCACGGGGCAGACCTGCCAGGCGAGGAGCCACTGCTCCAGTCACGAGGCCGGCTCATCGCCCCTGCGCTGCTGCCCCGCACGCGGCACCTGAGTGCAGCTGGTCTCCTGAGCACAAAGCACGTGCCAGGACACCTCCCCTCGCAGAAAGGCTCAGACCCCAAGGTCACCGCCAAGGTCAAGGCCATGCTTGTAACACAGGATGAGAATGCAGCCAGCCTGGCTTCTACCCTTGGGGAGCGGGCTCCGGTCAGCAGACAGAGAACTGACTGCTCCGGTGGCAGCGTCAGCGCGCCCAGTACCCCGTAGGTGCCCCGCAGGTGCAGGCCTCCTGCTCCCCTCCGGGCAGGCCGGCTGCGGCCACCAGCTCCTGCCCGTGCCCGCTCACCTTTCTGGGAGGCATGCTTCTCCGTTTTCCCCTGGTATTCGAAGCCGACAGCAGACTGCAAGGGACGAAGAGAGAAGCCCACGTTTTGGTTTTTATTGATGTCTTTAAGCAGTAAACCAGACAGCAAGAGGCAAGCATGGACGCTGTCACCCAGCGATGCTACCGCAGCCAGGGCTCCCGCGCAGGGGCAGCAAGGGGCCCGAGCCCGCCACCCCAACACGGGGCGAGGCAGCCCCAGCAGCACTTTCCCCACGACACACACTCCCGCCACAGAAACGCAGCCTCACACGCCTCCAAAGCCATCTCTGAATCCAGAAAAATGTGACATTTTTGAAAACATGAACCCTGCTAGTTTGGGGGGTTCCCCAAGCCAATTGCAGGTCAAAGGAAAGCACTGCAGCCCTGAAGTGCTGTGACTACACAGGCCGCACTGTGCCGTGGCGACCTGCCGTCCCAGCACAAGGCTGGCTGCGGGTGACGCAGCTGACGCACTGCGGCCATAGCACGCCACACTGGATCTGCTATCTCAGGGACAGCCACGTCAGCCGCGTCATGTTCTGTAGGATGGACTCGCCCGTGGCCTAGCTCCCCACATTTGCACAGAGAATGCGACCGCCCTCGCTGCCCCGTCCTGCTGACCTGGACCACCTGAGGAGTGGCCAGCAACATGCAGGCCCCCGGGCAGTCCCAGCGTGGGGACACAGCCGCCAGCTGCCACGAGGGCCCAGGGGCAGCTGTGGGGTGGCCACGGTCAGCACAGGAGGCACCAGGCTCCACAGGCAGCCCCCTGCCAACCACTCACCTGATCCACGCGGTCCATCTGCACCCCAAACTTGCCCCCGAAGCCCCGGACCGAGTCAACTTGCGAGCAGTGTTTTGACAGCTTTGCCTGGTACTCGTGGCCGACGGCGGACTGCAACAAGGCCAAACACACTGCACTGGGCGTGCACTCCACGGGCACGGCCACCCCAAGGGTCCCGGGCACTGCCCCTCAGAGTGGCTGCCAGCCCTGGTGCCCCAAAGGTTGCCCCTGCCAGACACCCTGAATGCGCAAGCAGCCCAACCAAGGCTGATGCGCAGAGGTCGGCAACACTGCCTAGGGAGAGAGCGCCACCCTGTGATGGTCAGCACACACAGCACCCTGCACACCCTGACAGAGTCAGCACACAGCACCCTGCACACTGTGACACAGTCAGCTCACAGCACCCTGCAGACACAGCACCCTGCACACACAGCACCCTGCACACTGTGACAGTCAGCTCACAGCACCCTGCACACTGTGACAGTCAGCACACAGCACCCTGCGCTCACAGCACCCTGCACACTGTGACACAGTCAGCACACAGCACCCTGCACACACAGCACCCTGCACACTGTGACAGTCAGCTCACAGCACCCTGCACACTGTGACACAGTCAGCACACAGCACCCTGCGCTCACAGCACCCTGCACACTGTGACCCCAGTTGTCAGCCACTCCAACACACGTACCACAGTGCCACGGCACCTCTGCCGAGCAGGCACACCAAGCAGGTAGGGTGTGCTCACTCTAGGGTCACTAGCACCTTGCCCTCCGTAAGCACACAGGCCTGGGGCCCTTCTGCTCACTGCGTGGCCCTGAGGCAGGAAGGAGGCCAACCCAGAGAGGCCAGCAGAGCCCCACCATGAGGTCAGCAGAGCACGGCCACTGTCCAGGGCCTTCCACAAGGAAGTTCTCCAGCCACGGCACGGCTGTGTCACCACGGCATCTCCGGCTGCCTTTGTGTCTTAGCCACCCAGCTCTCTGCTGGCCACAGACCCTCTACCCCTCGAGCCCTGATGCCCTTGTGCTGGTGCCCATGTGGTCAATGAGGGCAAGAAGCAGTCCACCTGGCAGGTGCCCCAGCTGTGGCTGCCTGCACAGCGAGAGCCGGTCCTGGCCCAGGCCATCACGGAGGTCGGCCCCAGCCCAGCCCAGCAGGCCCTGCAGGGTCTGTTCAGCCCTAACGGGCCAGCAGGTGCCACTCCACACTCGGGGGCTGAGGTCCTTCTTCCCTGTGCCCCACCCTGGCGCTGAGGGCACCAGTGGACGACCAAGTCACATTCGCCCACGGAACACTCAGTGACAGAGCCAGCCAGCCACAGCCTCCAGCGCCTAAGCCAAACCCCAGCGAGAAGGAGCAGTGAGAGGCGGCCCTGACAAAGGTCCTCCTGGAGGCTTTCCAGTGGAAAGAAGCCACAAGCATTCCAGAGCCACGGCCAGAGTCAGCTTGCCAACGTTTCCAGCAATAAACTGGATTCATCTGCCTCGGACCTTACACTAATAAAACGACCCGGAATTGGAGACGCTCCGGCCCAGGCTGGAAGCTGAGGGCGTCGGGGCTGTACTGTGGATGCCGTGGAAACAGCCAGAGAGGCCAGCAGGGCAGCCCTGGCCACCTCCAGCCCAGGACACCCGGGACACCGTGCTCCGAGCTCGGAAGCCAGCACCAGGGCTGGACCCCGGGCTCTCTCACACCATCCCAGGGGTCTCCTGCACGGTGCAGGCCTGCCGTCCTGAGCAGCGTATGGTTCTGGTGAGCCCAAGACCCTGACTGCGTGGCAAGGGCCCCACCTCTCAGTTCCCCTCCTGCCCTAAACACGCAGGGATCTGCCCGCCCACCCCCCCCAAGCTGGCATTCCAGAGGCCAGGGCTCATCTTTCCCTGTCAGCCCTCAGCATCAGGATGTCTCTATGGAGACGGTTCAAGGGATATAGGAAGGTTTTTCTGGGGTTCGGGACATGCCCAGGTCCTCTCTGCCAGCCTGCTCTATTGGGGAACAGGGCGAGGCAAGGTGTTGGCTCACTGTGACACACAGGGTCCCGGCAGGTCCAGCTCAGACATTCGATCTGACCCACATACGAGGGCAGAGGTTTGAAATTACCAACCAAAACCCAACACCATCAGCCCATCGCTCCCATCCACAGGCAAGGCGATGCGGTCAGGCCCGCAGGACTGCACGTGGCTCAGACCCGGGGCAATAGCCTGCCAGGCTGGGAGAGCTGCGCTGGGCAAAGCCAGTCCCCAGCCTTTGCCACCAGAACACATGCGTCCCATCTGGGCCTTGGATCAGTCGGCCTGGGAGTCAGGCTCCAGCTGGCCTGGCCTGAGAGGCCGACCCGTGCCCACAGACCCTCAGGGGGCACAGGAAGCAAGCCTGGCACAGCCTCAGCACCAGCGCTACACTCGGTGACGGCTGATGATGCTGAAGGTGTCAGCACTTCCCCTGTGAGGGGACGAGCGGGCAGGCACGTCTCTCAGGTACAGTCTGGCACAACCTGGGCTGCCAGCTGGCACTGTGGGCAGTGGGACAAGACCAGCAGTAGCCAAGGTGCTTCTGCCCCACAAAGCCGGGAGCCGCCCCCAGGGTCTCCCTACACTCATGACGTAGGCAGATCTCATCCCAGTCACCTGGACTTGCACCTGCTCTGTGCCAGCAGACCGTCCTGCCTGCCACGCACCCCGGCCCTGCTGGCCCGCCCACCCTGCCTGCCACGCACCCCGGCCCTGCTGGCCCGCCCACCCTGCCTGCCACGCACCCCGGCCCAGCTGGCCCAGCCCACCCTGCCTGCCACGCACCCCAGCCCAACCTGCCCGCCCTACTCTGCCCATTGTGCACCCCAGCCTGTCCCGCCCACTGCTCACTCTGCCCACCGTGCACCCAGCCTGTCCTGTCCACTGCTCACCCTGCCCGCCATGCACCCCAGCCTGCCCTGCCCACTGCTCACTCTGCCCGCCGTGCACCCCAGCCTGCCCTGCCCACTGCTCACTCTGCCCGCCGTGCACCCCAGCCTGCCCTGCCCACTGCTCACTCTGCCCGCCGTGCACCCCAGCCTGCCCTGCCCACTGCTCACTCTGCCCGCCGTGCACCCCAGCCTGCCCTGCCCACTGCTCACTCTGCCCGCCGTGCACCCAGCCTGCCCTGCCCACTGCTCACTCTGCCCGCCGTGCACTCCAGCCTGCCCTGCCCACTGCTCACTCTGCCCGCCGTGCACCCAGCCTGCCCTGCCCACTGCTCACTCTGCCCGCCGTGCACCCCAGCCTGCCCTGCCCACTGCTCACTCTGCCCGCCGTGCACCCAGCCTGCCCTGCCCACTGCTCACTCTGCCCGCCGTGCACCCCAGCCTGCCCTGCCCACTGCTCACCCTGCCCGCCGTGCACCCAGCCTGCCCTGCCCACTGCTCACCCTGCCCGCCGTGCACCCAGCCTGCCCTGCCCACTGCTCACCCTGCCCGCCGTGCACCCCAGCCTGCCCTGGGCAGAAACGGTTGCCAGCACCCACCTTGTCCATCCGATCCTGTTCCACGCCAAACTTGCCTCCGTAGCCGTGGGAGGCCTTCGGCCCCGTCTCCAGCTCCTTCTCCTTGAGGGTCTGATGCTCTTGGAACACGTTCTCTCTCAGCTTGTGGATGCTGCAGGGGAGAGGCCGAGGGACGTCAGGGATAGGCCCGTCCCCGGCCTGCCTCAGGGGTAGGACGGGCTGGATCTGCGGCCACCTGCAGGGTCTCCCAACCTGGCGCCCAGCAGGTCAGCAGCAGGGGACAGCAGGTCAGCCGCTGCTGGGGACGCAGCACCCCTTGTGCAAGTGCCAGGGTTTGAGTTTTGGTCTCATTCCCTGCCATGGAAGGCAGCAGTGACGGTTCAGACACCCAAGGGGGACTCGGAGGGAGCCGCAGGCCCCCAGCTTCGGCCTGCCCAGCCCTGCCCGCTGTAGGTGTCTGGGGAGTAAGCAGCTGGGACACCTCCTCCCATGTGTTTCAAACAGGCAGAACTAATCAATGGAACAACACCCGAGAACCACCCAACACCCCCAAGGCAGCTCCACTGAGACATGAACCGGGCGCCCAGTGGAGGAGGTCTTCTGTCCCTCCCAATAAACGGCTCAGGAAACTGCTGGCATGATTGAAGGCCTACCCCAGGGGACACGGGGACACAGCCTGGAGCCCAGCAACGCCCAGAGGCCCTACCCCAGGGGACATGGGGACACAGCCAGGAGCCCAGGGGACACGGGACACAGCCAGGACCCCAGCAACGCCCAGAGGCCCTACCCCAGGGGACATGGGGACACAGCCAGGAGCCCAGCAACGCCCAGAGGCCCTACCCCAGGGGACATGGGGACACAGCCAGGACCCCAGCAACGCCCAGAGGCCCTACCCCAGGGGACATGGGGACACAGCCAGGACCCCAACAACGCCCAGAGGCCACAAGTCACCTACTAAAACTCTCTTCCCTTCCACACCCACACAGCCAGTGGGACACATCATGAGACAAGGTCACGACACGCCAGGTCTGGGAACAGCAGTCACCATGCCAGCTTGGCACGCAGCTGCCCCGTCCAAGGCCACCAGGTCCACACCTTCAACACCACACAACTACAGGAAAGCAGCCTGGAAATCACCCAGCTCCCCAGAGAGAAGGGAAAGGCCCCACGTTAGCGGCCAGGGAGAAGCACATGGCCGGCACGGCAGCGCATACCACCGCGGCCCACTCTCCTTGTCCCACCATACGCCGGCCCGAAGCCTACCCCCTGCCCAGCAGAGCAAAAAACAGCCAGGCACCCGGCTCCCACTTGCTGGTTCACTCTTCCAATCGTCCCCATAGTCAGGCCGGGCCCAGGCAGGAGACACAAGTAACTCCACTTGCACCTCCCATGTGGACCCTCCCTGCCGCCTCCCAGGGCCTCAGGAGCAGGAAGCCGGAGCCAGAGCCTGAAACAGTCTGACTCTGTATCAGCAGGTGCTGAAGCCGTGGGCAAGGGGAGAGCTGAGAAGTCCTGCTGGGCGGCCTGCCAAACCCTCGGCGGGCACCCCAGGGCCCCACCAGTACTGGTTCCCGTCTCCAGATGCTCTTAGCAACCTGCCTGTCCAGTGGCTTCTGGGGGCCCTGGGCTCACCAGAAGGGAGCCACCCTCACACCTGAGCAGCACGGGATGTCCACAGGGACCCCTCTCATAGGGAACTTGGTTGCTCAGCAAAGCCCCAGGGCGGGAGGCAGATGTTTCCAGAACACACACAGCTGCCAAGAGGTCACGGAACACACGGCAGCTACTCCCTCGACTTCACAGTGCGCGTGCAAACGGGCCTACATCAACTCCCCGTGGCCTTCAAACCGCGTCTGCGCCAAATGGCTGTATGTGGGACCGGCGTGTGGAAGAGCCGCTGCTTAAGCCCTCCCGGCAGGGAAGGCCAGCTGGGGTCCCATTCCCGCCCGGCAGGCGGGGACGACAGCTCGAGCACTTGGGCCTGCAGGCTCACGGGGCCCCGGACGGAGCTGCCGCCTGTCACCCCAGCCTCCCGAGGCGCAGCCAGAGCATGGAAGGGCCTGGTCTCCTCCTGTCCCCTCTGTCATGCTTTCAAACAACACACGTCTCCAATAACACATGTATCCTTTCATTCCGTTTTCCCCAAACCTGCTCAAGTACCAGAAACAGCGTCAGGAGCGCGCCCACTCCACTCCCGGCCTCACTAACCGCTCCCGTGTGGCACGGCCCACGTCGACCCCACAAGGTCACAGCACGTGACAGCCCACCCGGGCCCACCCCCACAGGCTGCTTACTCGATGTGCTCCTGGTGTCCGGAGCCCTGCACGGTCTTGGCGCCCCATCTTTGCTCTTTTTCACTCACGTCATTCTGAAAAGGAACCCGTGACTGTCAGACACCCAATCCTAAAATGAAGCAAACACCCAGAACACCCCCGAGACCCAGCCAGCCAGTCCTACCACAAAGTCGGGGTCTGTCTCCCAGTCGTCAGCACCCGAGTCTTCCTGGGCGAGGGGCACAGTGTGGCCTGCCGACGCCTTCCACATCTGAAAGACAAGCACCAGTGTGTTCCGTGCACCTGCCGGAGCCGCGGCCAGGGCATCCGTGTGGGGGAAGGGGGACAGACCCAGCACTCAGCCGCCCAGGCCCGGAGGACAGACAAGCCCTGAGCGCTGCCATCAGCGCCCGACACCCAAGTTCTCTGTGGGACATCCCGGCACTGCGCCCAGTCCCTGACCACGGCACCTCCCCGCACTGCACCCAGTGGGTATCCTGTCTCCGCCCAGTCCCTGACCACGGCACCTCCCCGCACTGCACCCAGTGGGCGTCCCGCCTCCGCCCAGTCCCTGACCACAGCACCTCCCCGCACTGCACCCAGTGGGCGTCCCGCCTCCGCCCAGTCCCTGACCATGGCACCTCCCTGGCACTGCACCCAGTGGGCGTCCCGCCTCCGCCCAGTCCCTGACCACGGCACCTCCCCGCACTGCACCCAGTGGGCGTCCCGCCTCCGCCCAGTCCCTGACCACAGCACCTCCCCGCACTGCACCCAGTGGGCGTCCCGCCTCCGCCCAGTCCCTGACCACGGCACCTCCCCGGCACTGCACCCAGTGGGTGTCCCGCCTCCGCCCAGTCCCTGACCACAGCACCTCCCCGGCACTGCACCCAGTGGGCGTCCCGCCTCTGCCCAGTCCCTGACCATGGCACCTCCATGGCACTGCACCCAGTGGGCGTCCCGCCTCTGCCCAGTCCCTGACCATGGCACCTCCGTGGCACTGCACCCAGTGGGCGTCCCGCCTCTGCCCAGTCCCTGACCACGGCACCTCCCCGCACTGCACCCAGTGGGCGTCCCGCCTCTGCCCAGTCCCTGACCACAGCACCTCCCCGCACTGCACCCAGTGGGCGTCCCGCCTCTGCCCAGTCCCTGACCACGGCACCTCCCCGCACTGCACCCAGTGGGCGTCCCGCCTCTGCCCAGTCCCTGACCACAGCACCTCCCTGGCACTGCACCCAGTGGGCGTCCCGCCTCTGCCCAGTCCCTGACCACGGCACCTCCCCGCACTGCACCCAGTGGGCGTCGCGCCTCCGCCCAGTCCCTGACCACGGCACCTCCCCGCACTGCACCCAGTGGGTGTCCCGCCTCCGCCCAGTCCCTGACCACGGCACCTCCAGCCAAACAAGCCCAGCCGCTGGGGCGCCGGTGTCCTAACAGAGCCATTTCGTGGTGCCCTGTGTCATCCCAGAGCGTCCATTCTGAGCCGAGTGTGCAGTGACGACTTAGCCAAATGGAGGCTCTGCGGCTCTGCGGTTGATTCGAGAGCTTGCCTGCAAAGGTCAAATCTAACCTTTCAGGGGTTTTAAGGAAACCATGTATGAAAAGTTGGCTCACCTGCCAGGGAGATAACAACAACATCCCCAGAGCCCAGGAGGCCTCAGGAAGCTGGAAGTGCGACACTGCCAGCGGCACTGCCAGCGGCACCACGCTCCCCTCCATCTCGGGGGCACTGGAGCACGGTGCCCAAGGCTCGCCACAACGGAACAAAGGTGCTCTCAGGCCCACGACCCCACTTCAGGTCTCCTGGCCTCAAGTCTCAAGGCCAGGTTCAAGGGGGACGGGAGGTGAACCGAGAGCATTAGGGCTCCCATTCAAGATGTGCCTCCTGCCTCGGCACCCCAGCGAGGAACCTGCCACAGGTGGGGCAGCAGTGACCATGCCCCTGGCCCGAGGGCCACCTCATTGCCCACTGTCCCCCACACAGGACCTGACAACAGCCTGGACGGGCACAACCTGTCAGCCGAGCCCCGCTGTGCTCCTCGCACGTGGGTCCCGCAGCACCCCGGCCCAGCCACAGAGGAGGGACCTGCAGGGGCCACTCCCCACTCCAGGTGGGTGCAGGTCTCTGCCAGCTACTTGTCCACACTCACACGATGTAACGCACCCCAATCCTGCTGTCAGCACGTGGCATGCTCCCCACACACACTTGTGCCCTTTCAGCCTGCACAGGGCCGGACTGAGGCCGAGGGTGGGGGCAGCTGCCCTCCAGCCCAGGGCTCTCGACCATGCCTCCTCTTTCCAAGCCACAGGCAACACATCTTGCGTGGAAAGGCAGCGCCCTTCCCTGTCCCCCACCCCGCCAGGAGAGCACAGCACAGCCCGACAGCAGGCGGGCAGCAGGAAGAGGAAGGCATCCCACCCACAGGACAGTGCGGAGCGGCAGACCCAGAGGGCCACCTGCTGCCCACGGGCACTCCGGCGCGAGGGCCTTTCCGGAAGGCCTCGGAGACCAGCCATGCCTAACAGGACTACACGGCACAGACCGGCTCCACGCGGCGAGTAAGTAGGCCGGCTCTCCTGCACGAGCCCCACCCTTCTGACTAACCCACTAACCTCGCCTGCTGCCGGTGCCCGCCTCGCCTCCTGGGTCCTTTGTTCTCGCTGTGTGCTGTAATTTCACGAGGCTACTAAGGACAATAAAATCCTATTACCGTGCAATGAAAAAGTGTAAGAAACCCCCTCACAGGGCCACGGTGCAGCTCCAGGGACACGGAGCAGACAGCAGGACGGCGCCCGTTCCCGGCCGGAGCACCCCACCGCTGCCTTCCGCCCGCGGGGCCGCCTGGACGGGAGAGCCCCTGGCCTCGTATGCACGCGTGGGAGGCCATCCTGCCCCACACCCCTCTTCTGCTGTCCAGTCCCTGGCCCAGCTCTCTGCCGCCCCTGCCCGCCCAACTGCCGTAGCTTCCACCGGGGACGTGGCCCAGCAGTTACTTGGTGTAACCAGTCCACGCCTATGAAAACTCACTCAGGCAGCTGGGCTAGGCTCAAATCTATGCTAACTCACTATTAGACCCTCTCTGTAGTCTAAGTCTTAAAAATAAATAAATAAATATCCGACTGAGAAATAAGTGTATTTCCTGGGCACAATCGTTACTTCCGGTGGGGCACTGGGGAGGGGGCTCCCGTCTAAACCGGCAACAACAGGCCGTGATGGCAGGCCCTGGGCATCTAACCCCTCGTAGTGCTGGTGGAATGCCTGGGACAGTGCCCACACCCCTGCCCCATGAGCCAGCAGTTCCACTCCTAAGCCCGTGCCCCACAGTGGTCGGGACAGCCCCATGGCATCAGCCAAAACCACAGACTCAGCCCCCTGCCCACGAGGTCCAGCACGTGACTCCGCACACAGAGGCCGGGGGTGGGGACCAGGCACCCCACCCCGTGCCACGCCACGCACAAGGGGCCAACAGGGACGGCAAGGACACAAGTGGCTACCCCGGGCTGGCTCCCAGGCCGCTCACGGCAGCCACACGACTCAGTGGGTAACAGGAACAACAGGACGCGTAGACGCTGCCATCTGTGACTTATTAGCTCAGTGAGCTCCCAGCAAAAAGCCCTACGCCTCTCTCCCCACCAGGCGTGTCCCGGGCCACGCTGCACAGCCCGCCCCACGGCAGGAAGCGGCCAAGCCCCCGCGCCTGGCGCCTGCTGCAGACGTGCCCTGTAAGCCAGCTGCGGCCCAGGCCCCACAGCCCCTGCACCCCGGGCATGCTGGCAAACACTTCTCCAAACAGGACTGACTCAAGGCCCTGCAGCCAGTGACTCAGGCACACAGCAGGCTGAGCTGGGGCAATGCCCGCCCCCTGCCCCTGCAGAGAGCCACGTTGAAGGGTCCGGCTGGAGGCTACGGGCACCCCAGGGTGCAGGGGCCTAGCCCTGTGGAGGGCTCGGGCCACTGCAGCGCGTGCTCAGGCCAGTCCCCTCGGGGAGACCCTCCCGTGCACCTTGCCCGGCCTTTCCAACACCCTCAGGAAGCAGCATGCTTCCAAATTTAGCACTCCCCAACCAGCCCGCAGTTGGGTCTACACTGACCTGGTTGCAAAGCCCGCCTCATGCGCAGCCCCACGCCAAACCCTGTGGCAGCAGACCCCTCCCCTTGGACCCTCGCCCGGGGCCCTACCCAGCCCTGACCCCTCTGCCAGGACCCATGCTCAGGGCCCTACCTGACCCTGTGACAGCAGACCACTCCTCTCGGACCCAGGCCGCTCTCTCTGCCCTCCCAGGCCACAGACCACTCTGCACAAGCCCCCATTCTCACTCAGGCCCTCTCTCCTTGAACGGCCAACCCTCCCCTGGCGCCCTCAGACAACTGACTTCTTCCCAGGATCACTGCCCCTTTGCCAGCACCCTTGGGGCACCGACCCTCCTCCCACCAGACCCTGAACCCTGAACCCCACCAGGCTCCTCACACACCCTCATTGACAAACCTCATCGCAACGCTGCTAGGCTGCAGCCACTACCCATAGCCCCCCAGGACCCTCAGACCGGCTCCCCAGTCCCAGACCCCTCAGGACTCCTTCAGCATTCCAGGGGTGGTTCCCCTCAGTGCCCAGCACCCCCAGATCTCACCCAGCACTCCTAGCACCCTCAGCACCCCCAGATTTCACCCAGCACCCCGGATCTCCCCCAGCACCCCTGGATCTCACCCTCAGCACTCCCAGCACCCCCTGGGTCTCCCTCAGCACCCCCAGGCCTCCCCCAGCACCCCTGGATCTCACCTTCAGCACCCCCAGCACCTCCAGGTCTCCCCCAGCACCCCCAGGCCTCCCCCAGCACCCCGGATCTCCCCCAGCACTCCCAGGCCTCCCCCAGCACCCCCAGGCCTCCCCAACACCCCCGGGCCTCCCCCAGCACCCCTGGATCGCACCTTCAGCACCCCCAGCATCCCCAGGTCTCCCCCAGCACCCCGGATCTCCCCCAGCACCCCGGATCTCCCCCAGCACCCCTAGGCCTCCCCCAGCACCCCCAGGCCTCCCCCAGCACCCCCGGGGTCTCCCCCAGCACCCCTAGGCCTCCCCCAGCACCCCCGGGGTCTCCCCCAGCACCCCTAGGCCTCCCCCAGCACCCCCGGGGTCTCCCCCAGCACCCCTAGGCCTCCCCCAGCACCCCCGGGGTCTCCCCCAGCACCCCTAGGCCTCCCCCAGCACCCCCGGGGTCTCCCCCAGCACCCCTAGGCCTCCCCCAGCACCCCCGGGGTCTCCCCCAGCACCCCTAGGCCTCCCCCAGCACCCCCGGGGTCTCCCCCAGCACCCCTAGGCCTCCCCCAGCACCCCCGGGGTCTCCCCCAGCACCCCTAGGCCTCCCCCAGCATCCCCGGATCTCCCCCCAGCACCCCGGATCTCCCCCCAGCACCCCGGATCTCCCCCAGCACCCCCGGGCCTCCCCCAGCACCCCCAGGCCTCCCCCAGCACCCCGGATCTCCCCCAGCACCCCCAGACCTCCCCCAGCACCCCGGATCTCCCCCAGCACCCCGGGGCCTCCCCCAGCACCCCCAGGCCTCCCCCAGCACCCCCGGGCCTCCCCCAGCACCCCCAGGCCTCCCCCAGCACCCCGGATCTCCCCCAGCACCCCCAGGCCTCCCCGAGCATCCCCAGCACCCCGGATCTCCCCCCAGCATCCCCGCCCCCGCCCGCCTCCCCCGCCCCGAAACCGCAAGCGGAAGAGCGGTGAGACCGCCGCTTCCTTCCCGTTTGGGGCCGGCGTGGCCCCGCGACCGCAGCCCAGGCCCGGCCTCGAGCCCGCCGCAGCTCACCGCGGTCCGAGGTCTCGTCGTCCGCCCGTCCGCCCGTCCGCCCGTCCGCCGCTCGGCCCTGCAACCGGTCCTGGACTCGCCGTCCGCCGCGCCCGGCCCCACTTCCGGCTCGGCGGGGGCGGGGCTCATCCGGGTCCCCGCGAGGCCCCGCCCCTGGGCAGCGCCGCGTGGGACCTGGGCGTGGGGGACCCCGGGAGTGGGGGACCCTGAGGGTGGGGGACCCCGGGAGTGGAGGACCCTGAGGGTGGGGGACCCCGGGAGTGGAGGACCCTGAGAGTGGGGGACCCTGAGGGTGGGGGACCCCGGGAGTGGAGGACCCTGAGGGTGGGGGCCCCGGGAGTGGAGGACCCCGGGAGTGGAGGACCCTGAGGGTGGGGACCCCGGGAGTGGAGGACCCCGGAAGTGGAGGACCCTAAGAGTGGGGGACCCCGGGAGTGGAGGACCCTGGGAGTGAGGAACCCCGATGTGGGAGTGAGGGACCCTGGGAATGGGGAACCTCGGGCATGGGGTTCTGGGGGGCGTGGAGGACCCTGGGCATGGGGCGCCCCAGGCATGGGGACCCCAGGAGGCGTGGGGGACCCCGGGCGGCCGGCCCCTCTCGCGCCCCACAGACTGCGGGGCTCAGCCGGTGGCGGGTCGCACACTGAAGGCGGTCAGGCGGCCTCACAGCTGTCACTAAGTGGATACTGAGAAGTGGGCCGCACGCCCCGAGACCCCCGAGACCCCCGAGACCCCCGAGCGTGTGTGAGGGGATCTTCCGTGAGGCGAGGGGAGTCACAGGAGATGGAGGACGGATTCCCCAGCCAGGAGGGCTCAGCGGAGGGACGGGGACAGGGCCGGCAGGGACCTTCAGCTGGTTTTTTTTCTTCTTTTTTTGTCTGTTTTGTAATCTGTTTGACAGGCTGATAGAGAGAAGCCAAGCTTCCGCGTGCTGGTCCACTCCCCGCGTGGCTGCAGCAGCCTGCCTCGGCTGGTCCAGACTGAGGCCAGACTGGCCCCTGGGGTCGCCCAGGGTGGGCGGCAGGTGTCCTAGGGGCCCACCTTCACTGCCTGGCCAGGTGCCTCAGTGGGTGTGAGTGGGAAGCTGGATGGGAGGTGAAGCAAGCGGGGTTCAACCCATGGCACTGCCAGGCAAAGCCCAAGCCGAGGTGTTTGTTACAAAATGTGTGGGAGGTGGGGCAGAGGGAGGCCTGTGCAAGGCCTGAGAGCTGCGTGGCACTGGCCTCATCCAGCTCCCAGCCAGGTGAGCAGGTGCACTCAACAAGGGGGATGGGCAGGACACCTGCGTGCAGGCAGGGAAGGAACTACCGAACTACCAAGGAATTTAAAGTCACGATGCTCACATACCCAGGCAAGTGTGCCTTACTTAGCTCGGGCCCAGCAGAGCACAGGCCAAAGGAATGCGGAAATGAACTTGCAAAAACTGGTCAGGCCAGGGCCGCAGTCCCCAGCTCTTTACTGGACACTGCTAATCTGCAATTCTCCGCACGGGGTTATTTACGTAGTTTTTATTCTTGCAGATTTGCTTCATTGTGGAATAGTGAGTTAAGCCACTCCCTGAATTGCCAGGCGCCTCGATGGGATGACGTTCTGGCCACTGGCCTTTCAGTCCAGCTCGCTGCTAACCCTTCTAGGAGAGCAGCAGAGACGGCCCACGGGAGACCCGACGAGCGCCCTCCTGGCTTCGGGTCAGCTCAGCTCTGGCCGTGGTGGCCACTCGGGGAGTGAGCCAGCGGATGGAATCTCTGCCTGGAATGGGAGACGCTGAGACAATCCCCCAGCCATCTACCGGCTCACTCCTCAAATGGCCGCAATGGTCGGAGCTGGGCTGGGCCGAAACCTGGAGCAAGGAAGTCCGCCTGGGGACAGGGACCCACGTCCTCGGGGCCATCACCTTCCAGGCATGTCAGCTGGGGCAGCTGACCGCAGTGCCAGGAGGTGCAGGGTCGGCACTCCGCAGGGCTGGCCTCGGGTTCTTTCCATTGCTTTCTGTTTTCCAGGAATGAATGTCACTTTTTAAAAAAAGTTTATTTTTATGTTTATTGTGAAAGTCAGAGAGGAGAACAGAGAGAAATATCTTCCGCCCACTGATTCACTTCCCAACTGGCCACAATAGCTGGAGCTGAGCCGATCTGAAGTCAGGAGCCAGGAGCCTCCTCCAGGTCTCCCACACAGGTGCAGAGTCCCAAGGCCCTGGGCTGTCCTCGACTGCTTTCTCAGGCCACAAGCAGGGAGCTGGATGCGAAGGGGGGCCGCCAGGATTAGGACCAGTGCCCATATGGGATTCTGGTATATGCAAAGGCGAGGATGTTAAGCTGCTAGGCTATGGCGCCGAGTCCTGTGAACATCCATTTCTAACAGAGGCAGCAACAGTCCAGACAAAAAGACTCCTGTCCCTAGGGAGTTGGTGGCTGCCGACGGCTGAGAATAACCCATGGTCACTGGGCACACGCTGAACCCTGAAACTTTTCCCTTACAAAAGGGTGACTCCTGCCATCATAGGTGCTCAGCCGTAAGAGTGAGGAAGGGGAGCCCGAGGTGGACGGGGCAGAAGAGGTACTGAGCTGTGTTTGAAGTGCCTGTGGCACATGACGGTGAAGCCCAAGAGTGGGCACAGGCGGGCAGCAGGCTGGGCTGCCACTCGAGACGCCCTGTGCACTGCCGTGCCTGGTCCAGGTCCTGGCTGCTTGAATCCGCTCACGGCTGTGTGCTGGGAGGCCCGTATTTGGAGATGGGGCTTTTAGAGATGTTAAGTTGAAGGGAGGTCGCAAGGCCGGGCCCTCGTCCACTCACCCATGCACGTACAACAGCACGGAAAGCAGGCAACTTGGTATCTTCTGCTGCCAGCATCCCCTATGGGCGCTGGTTCAGGTCCCGGCCGCTCTAGTTCCCATCCAGCTCCCTGCTTATGGCCTGGAAAAGCAGTGGGAGATGATTCAAGTGCTTGGACCCCTGCACTCACGTGGGAGACCCGGAGGAAGCTCCTGGCTTGACTGGCCCAGTTCTGGCCATTGAAGCCATTTAGGGAGTGAGCCAACACCCGCAGGATCAGGTGGTGCAGCCTCGAAGCTGTGTGTGGCCTGGGGCCGGGCCCTTGGAGGCCTCGAGGAAACCCAGGCAGGCCTCCTGGAGGGGAAGAAAGCAGCCAGTGGCGTGCAGACATCACAGGAGAGTGTTCGCTCCCACCGCTTTGAGGGACACTCCAAGGTTAGTGTCCCCTTAAAAGGCAGAATGGAGGCATTCCAGCTGCTCTTCCACACCCCAGTGACCACAACAGCCAAAGCTACACCCGGCTGAAGCTAGGAGCCAGGAGCCCGCATCTGGTCTCCACAGGCGACACAGAGCCACCACACCTGCGACCCCAGGATGCAGGAGGAGGAAGCGGGACCAGAAGCTGGCAGCTGGCACGGCAGCTGGCACGGCAGCTGGCACACACATGCCTGAATCCTAAGCAGCAGAACCCGCTCAACTCCAGACAGGACAGTGGTGGCCCATCTGACTCCAAGGGAGCCTGGGCTGGGGGCTCCCATGGGGCGAGATGACCGGAGCCAATGGGCTGTGGCCCCGGGCTTGTCCTCTCCTTCCTGTGCAGGGTGGGGGACGCCTGCTGTGTTCCCAGCAGCTGTGTTAGCAGTGTAGGCAGAGCTCCCTGGAGGCCCCAGGGCAAGGGTCGCCCGGCCCCTGGTCCAGTGCACTGCCACACGGGCAAGCCCAGGCCTGGGACCGCGGGCCGTGCAGACCCCAGCCAGGGCAGTACAACCGTGACTCACAAGAACAAGACCACCCGCCCGTCCCCTCGGCTCTGGGCATGCGTCTCGGCACCTCATGCTCCGGAGAGCACGGAATGTTGTGCTGAAGTGGTGGCTTAGGAATCCACCATGAACTGTTGCGGCTTTTCCCCTGCCTGGCGTTGCGCAGCTTGGGGAAGGCAGGAGGAACATGACCATTCCATATATTTAATCTTCTAAGATTTATCTGCTCGAAAGGCAAGTAACAGTGAGACCGGGAAAGGAAGGGGGAGGGACAGAGGGAGGCAGACCCCCCCCAGCTGCTGCACTGCCAAGGCTGGGCTGAGCCGCGTCCCTGAGCTGTTCCCTGCTGCCTTCCCCGCCCGGCTTGGTGCCAGGAAGCCAGATCGGGACACCCAGGACTCAGCGCTCCAAGCCGGGGACACAGCGCACCCTCAGACCTAAGAAACGCAGTGGCCCCCAAGTTGTTATCAGCTAGCACAGGCAGTCCACACGAGAACACGGTCCCTGGCGGCCACCCTCCCCGAAAGGAGCACGTGTTCTATAGGAGACAGAACAAAGAAGGAAATCAAGGGAACCTCACGGGGCTACCCAGACTGCCCAAGGAGGGGATGGCGGCCGGATCTGAGCAGCCCTGGCCTGCCACGACTCCCCTCCGTCCCACCGTGTGGGGTCATCAGTCACGGCAGAGCTGGAGCTCACTCGGGCTCTCTGCTGCCCGAGTCCAGCGGGACACACACTCACTCACACACACACACACACACACACACACACACACACACACACACACACACAGCTGAAGCTCACGCGGGCTCTGCTGCCCCGAGTCCAGCGGGACACACACTCACACACCGCACACACTCACACACACTCACACACACACGACACACAGCTGAAGCTCAGACACTCGGGCTCTCTGCTGCCCCAAGTCCACACACTCACACACTGCACACACTCACACACACACAGACACACAGCTGAAGCTCACGCGGGCTCTGCTGCCCGAGTCCAGCGGGACACACACACACACACACACTGCACACACACACACACACAGCTGAAGCTCACGCGGGCTCTGCTGCCCCGAGTCCAGCGGGACACACACACACACACACTGCACACACAGACACACAGCTGAAGCTCACGCGGGCTCTGCTGCCCGAGTCCAGCGGGACACACACACACACACACACACACACACACACACACAGCTGAAGCTCACGCGGGCTCTGCTGCCCGAGTCCAGCGGGACACACACTCACACACACACCACTCACGCTCCCTCCCTCGGCCCACACAGCTCTGTTCTCAGTCCCGGCTGACGATGCCGCAGGCCGCCCTGCAGCAGGTGGTGATGATGCCACAGGCCACCCTACAGCAGGTGGGATGCACCCGGAGCCTGCTGACACAGAATTGACACTGAGTCTCAGTTCTCTGTTGGCAGTGGAAAATGCTTCAGTACTTTATTGAAAGAAAGCAATAAATAATACTGTGATAAAAATAGTTCAAAAGTAGACTGTACATCCTCTGTTACAGAATCAGGAAATTCACAAAGGACCGAGCGACAGAGAGCTGTGCAAGTGAACGAGAAGCAGAGAGCCATCGCGGAAGGACAGGCGGCTGTGCACGGCGCCTCCCGTGACCTGACGCGGTTCTTGCTGGCTTTTTAGTATTCCATTTAAAAAGTCAAAGTCACATGTGCTACTGCCACAATCCTGAATGGCTGTAGCATCAAAATCTAAAAACGGAGGACGAGGTCCACTCCAACAAGTTTACAAACAGATGTAAAAGTGATTGACGAGAACGGTAAGGCCTTAGAGCTGCGCCGCGTGGTGCCCGCTCCTTCCCGGGGCGGGCACGCGGTGCTGGGGGATTGGTCCTTGGAGAGCGGCGCTGCGGGCGGCTGGCCCTGCCCGGACAGGGACCAGGGTGGACAGCCGCCGCAGCGCGCTCCTGGCTCATGAGCGGCTCCCGGCTTGGGGACGCCCGTAGTGTTCTGCAAACCCTTCAGTCCCTGCTGAGGTTAATGAGAAGCTGACAGTTAACACCACAGCTTTTACATTTGCTCAGGCTGCAGAACAAAGCATTCTCTTGCTAGAAAAAAAAACAGCACAGTTAGGATCAGTCATTAAAATACAACAGTAACTGCTTCTAATTAAGCCTGCTTGTTTCAAAATGATTGTGGTAGAGCTAGGGAAAGGAAAACGCACGATGCTTGTCACGATGATTTTATAAACGTAATAAAATCCCCTTCTCGGTCATGGTTTATCATTCAAAAATTAAACAGTGATAATTACAATGAACGCATAATTTACAAAAGCCCTATATTTGTTCATGGGATTTATACATACAAGCATTACAGTACATTCATTTCCAAGACCAACATTAGGTAGAACATGAAGTGATCTGACGCGAGTTCAGAGCCCGGATATACATGAAAAGGAAGGCGCTCTAGAAATGAAGGGCGGGAGTTTACATAAATATAAGAAACATCACATTCTAAAATATTTTCTCTATGATATTCATGAATTTTTCACTAATTAAAAACTCTGTAATAAAATATCTCAGGGTCCATGTAACAAGTATCAACAGGATAAAGATTCCATTGAATTCTAGAAGGTCGTCTGTTGGATCCCAAAGGCTGCATATCATCTATAGAAGTAGTGCGGGTAAACTGGAAAGCACAAACAGGAGGACGAGGTTAGCGCGCTGACAGCAGGTGCCCGTTCCCATCCAAGCAGCACCCGTAGCACCCGTTGCTGGCGGGAACACCTCAGCTGACTGCCTTTGGGCACGTGTGTAAAGTTACCACTAAAAAACAGCAAAATGCACCCCGTGGCCCTGCACAGAGCGGACGGCGCTGCCCCGTGGCCCTGCACAGAGCAGATAGCGCTGCCCCGTGGCCCTGCACAGAGCGGACGGAGCTGCCCCGTGGCCCTGCACAGAGCGGACGGCGCTGCCCCGTGGCCCTGCACAGAGCGGACGGCGCTGCCCCGTGGCCCTGCACAGAGCGGACGGAGCTGCAGTGGCGGCCCCCGCCCGTTCCTGCTCCCAGAGAGCTAGGGCTGTTGCAGCCAGTGTGCCAGGGCGGCGTGCGCTCCCCTTCCAATGGCTCGATTAGAGCAGCAGGGGCCCTGGAGCCCCGGAGCTGCGTGGACACACACATCCAGCCCGTCATTGTCACAGGCGGCACGCACACACACACACACACACACACACACACACAACCTGCCACTGTCACAGGCGGCACACACACAACCTGCCACTGTCACAGGCGGCACACACACAACCTGCCACTGTCACAGGCGGCACACACACACACACACGCCCAGCCCATCACTGTCACCTCTTTCTCACACACGTGTGTGCCTAACCCATCACTGTAACAGGCGTCTCTCTCTTGCTGTCACACACACACACACACACACGCCCAGCCCATCACTGTCACAGGTGGTGCACAGACGACCAGTCACAGACACCTGGGGTGTGTTCCCGGCACAGCCCAACGCCACTGTGATGCAGAAAGCACGAGGATGCCGTGTCGGCAGCTTTCTGCTGCTGGGGCCGTCGCTGGGCCTCGAGCGCCTGCTCGCTGCCACATGCTGGCACAGCACCGCCAGGGTCTTTAGCAGGCTCATAAAATGGGGCAGCACTTTCAGGTTAAGGAGAAAGTGGGAATATGTTTTCCCCTTAAAAAACATGAGGACACAGCAGCCACCTCTTCGGACCGTCATCCTGGTGGGTGCAGACAGCTCACGTGCTCCATGCTCACATCTGCCAGGCAACCGAGTTCACCTGTCGCAGTTCAAAGCCGGCCACCCCAGGTGCCCCGGCCAGCATGGGGACACGGTGCTCTCCACTCACCAGCAGGCGGCTTCAGCAGGAGTAAGTTCTCACCGCAGCCGAGTCCAGCCGCGGCGCTCCAGACGCACTGCCTGTCAGACAACCGCAGGCACGGGGCATGCAAACACAGCGTGCAGTTAGTCTCAGGGTCACACAGCGAGCACAAGGACACGGGGTTCCACACCCGCCAAGCACCGGGGGCCAGAAGCGGCACCCGGGAGCTGCATTACCAGTGCAGGAAAGTCCCTGCACCCCCGAGAGGACCTGCACCCATCTCCTGGCATCTGGGCAGTGAACCTGCAACCAATACTTGTCTCTCTCTAATCCTGCTTTTCGAATAAATTAATGGGCTGAGTGTACAGCTGCATACGAAGCCCAAGTCCTGTAGTGCCAGCCGGAAGCCTCCTGCCCACTGCTGGCCCCCGGCAGACCGCCTCCTGGGTCCTTGTAGTGGCCATGTCTGTGGCCCCGACCCTCACAGGGCCTGTGGCCCAACAGGCACTCCAGAAACACGTCTTATCAAGAATCTGCCGAGGGTCCAGAAACGGTACCAACAAGCTGGTGCCATGGCAAGCAGGGGTAATCCTTACACCCTTTTTGCTCTAGCAGCATTGGAGACCTGGTAGAGCTTGCTTTCTCTTACTTCCATTTCCCAGGATACGTCTTGGTTATTTTCCAAAACGTCCGGTCGTGTCCTGCGCCCTGCCTGGATTGATTTCTAACCGAGGTTCCCACTCCTGATACTGCTGCTAGCATCTAAAGGGAGAATGTGATTTAGGAAGAGAACAGAAACCAACACTCCTGGGGAATAAACTCATTCAGAAAACTCAGGGAGCTGGTTAAGGTACAGACCAAGTGCAAGGTGGGACCTGCTTTACCCGCGTCCAGTGCACTGCTGGGGCAAAACTGCTCCTTGTTTAAAGCTGCTCTTCAGAAGGCACACGTGCGCCCTCTGCAGGATGGAGGGAGCAGCCCTCGGTCACAGAACGTCTCCCCAGCTCCACCAGACAAAACTGGAGCAGCAGGAGGGACGCAGTGCTGCCTCAGGGCCTGGGGCAGGAGACACAGGACCCAGCACTCGGCTTCAGCAGCTGCCGGGACCACCACCAAGTTCCCACCAATACTCTTACAGCAAGGTGCTGCTGTGACGGCTGTCCAGATGGGGCCGGGACACGACACTGGCACGCCACTCACCGAGTGAGCGAGTGAGTGAGTGAGTGAGATGGGGCCGGGGCACGCCACTTGCCTGGAAGCAGAGCCCTATGGCAACCCAGGGGCCTGGCTCTGTCTACTCCACACTCCGCCTTCTGTTGTAAGAGAGCAGGTCGAGTGCCGGGGCCCAGCACCTCGCAGCTCTCGGGGGAGGACCCGATTGCCAGCACAGGCGGAACGGCCTCTGCTTGCAGCGCTGTCCACACAGCCGGGGACTGCGCGGCCCTCTCCTGTAGTGTGGGGTCCTGGTGCAGGTCACAGAGAGAAAGTGGGTGCATGCCGCAAGGGACACACTAAGACTCCTCTGACAAGAGCTGTCTAAGTGCTAACGCTGTGTAGCTTGCATAAACAACTGCCCGGCAGTCCCAGGAGGCCGTGCAACCACACTGCATGCGACCACACTGCAGGGCCTTCACGCTTGTTCAACAGCCATCAGGGACTCATCACTTCTGTCCTGCACAGAACAGGACACAGAACCTGCTGCTCAAGCTCCGGCCAGCAGGTACCTACCGTCCATCGGCATCTTCTTGGGCTGCAGAGAGGGCGAGGCCATGGAGGTCACACGGAAGTTGGCAGGGAGTGTCTCTGCCGAGCCGGTGGCCAGGCCACGAATGTCCTTTGGTCGAAACTTTTTCCTCCAGGAAGGTGCTCTCCGGAAGCTTTTGTCATCATCCTGGTAAGTTTGAGAACAGGAATTAAGACACACATCTCCACCTGGCCTGGCCCTCCATGGCGCCTGGGCTCGGTCCGGCTGCCCAGCCACTCACGCTCCTGACCAGGGCTGTCCCACGACCACCCTGACCTCTGCCAACATGTCCCCACGCTTCACAGCTCCTCTGCAGGGATCTGTTCCCTGTCAGGGAGGATGCGTCCGTCGGACGACTTTTCAACTTTTCAGCCTCTGTCAACAAGCGTCCCATTCCCACTGTGGAGCTCCAGCCCTGCCGGGCCCAGGGAAGAAGGGAGCGGAGCCGTGCTCAAAGCCGCCACGTGTCTCTAAGGCTCTGCCCAGCATGGCACAGGGCTCGGCCGCGGCAGGACGCCAGGCAGCCCGGGAGGTGCCTTCCTGGCCCGCCTCCGGCTGCTGCCACGCTGCCATGTATTATGGTATATTACAAGGCCACCACTGCACTACGGACTTGCTCCTTTCTTACTGGCTCATTTGTTGAAGATTTTGGGGAAGGCAAAAATAAACTCATAAAGTTTGTTTGCATCTTGAGAACAGGTGACCTTGCTACACGGCTGCTGCGGGACTGGCAAGGAGCTGATGTGGAGGACAAATTCAACAATCGTTAGACCAGCAACTTACCTCATCGAAGCGTCTGTCAGTCCCCATGACCAAGAGGTTGTTAAACTCTCTTTCCAGGACAGCCCGAGCCTGAAAGAACACAACCACCACCAAACTTCAATCATAATTGTTTTTGAAACGAAAATACTTGAAGAATTCGCTCTCTACAGGCACATACCGAACCATAACTGCACTTTAAATCAGTCTTTTAAAAATCCTGCTTTCACATGGGCCCCAAGGCAGAAAGAATGACATAACCCCCTTGCTGACAAAGTATGACACTTGAGAACACTCCTCCTTCGGGGAAGAACCCACTGGGAGATTCCCCTTGCTTCAAGGGGGCTGTGCTGGAGCCGCAGCCTGCCACAGCCACATCCCGCTGGAGCGCCGGTTCGGATCCCGGCTGCTGCTCCTGTACTTGGGCCCCTGCCACCCACGTGGGAGACCCTGAGACAGTGAACACACAGAAGACCTCATCTTCTCCAACTCCGCCTTGCATATGGAAAAGAAGACACAGACTCGAGCTCTGGCTCTGACACACGGCACTAGAGGCAGCTCAGAGCCAGCCTGCCGCACACGGGGCGCAGGCACCTGCGTGTTCTGGGTCGGGATCTGCAGCAGCAGGGCCAGCGCGCTGAAATCGAAGCTCTCGTCCAAGGCCAGCAGTGCGCCGTGGACGCCGCTCTCGGCGAGGTTGTTGGCATACTCCTTGAGGCCGATGGACAGGATCCAGCGGATGACACGGTCATTGCTCCAGACCAGCACGTCTGCGGAAGGAGACGAAGGATGACAACGAGGCCTTGGCTGGCTGTTGCCAGAACACACCCCAAGTGCAGGGGCACTCAGCAGAGCCCCAGTTTCCGGTTCCTGACAGCGGGCCCACCCCTCCACGTGCTGGGAGACGTGCTAAGTGGACGTCCTTCTGGGTCCCGGCCCTGCTCCTTTCCAGGCAAAGCTCACTCCTCACAACTCCTCTTTGCGCCTGCCTGTGGTACAGCACACCATGACAGCACTTTCAGGCCAGCAACCCTATTAGAACGCCAGGGGGACTCTTGGAGGCTCTGTTGCCCACCCAGCTCCCTGCCCATGCACCTGGGGAGGCAGCAGAGAATGGCCCAAGCACATGGGCCGTGCCACCCATGTGGGAGACCACGAGGCAGTTCTTGGAGCTAGAGACAGTATGATACAGCAAAGGGACTGCATCCTCTCTGTCTCCTGCTCTGCTTTTCAAATAAACCACTTTTTGAGGGGACGGGGGCTGGACTGGGCGCTCCAACAGGAGCACTGGAGCTCTAGGGCACCCTGTTCACCGAGTCTCGGGACTGTCGCGAGGAGGTCCATGACAGCCGTGCACAGCAGGCTGCTCCTCCCTCCCGGCACACGGCACCACCCTGGGGACACCTGCGTAGCTGCAGGCAAACCTCCCACATCCAACTGCAAGCCTCTGTCAACCACCACCAAGAGAGGAACACAGACCCTCTCCAGAGGAACAAAGGACACGCCAGGCAGCCTGACAGCCAGGCGACACCACTCGCCCTGGGATGCGAGAGAACACGGCCAACGCAGCCCTGCACACGCTGCATTCCCACTGCCCTTTGACACAGCGAGCCTATAACATCTGTGCGTGTGTGTGGTCTGTGGTTCTCATTATTCACATGAACTCAACGATGAGGAAACCACCCTTAGAAAGAACTGTCGGTCTCCCGGGCACACTGCAGACTTCCAACGGGCAGCCCCGGCATCATTACAGGCCAGGGAATGAACCAGGCCAATTAACCTACAACAGGGCCCAGCATGGGCTCACTGCAGTCCACTCCTCATCACCGCATCTCCCCGCTCTCTCTCCCCCTGCTCTCTCCCTGCTCTCCCCCTGCTCTCTCTCCCTGCTCTCCCCCTGCTCTCTCTCCCCACCTGCTCTCTCTCCCCCTGCTCTCTCTCTCTCCCCCTGCTCTCTCTCTGCTCTCTCCCCCTGCTCTTTCTCCCTGCTCTCTCTCCCTGCTCTCCCCCTGCTCTCTCTCCCCACCTGCTCTCTCTCCCCCTGCTCTCTCTCTCTCCCCCTGCTCTCTCTCTGCTCTCTCCCCCTGCTCTTTCTCCCTGCTCTCTCCCCCTGCTCTCTCCCCCTGCTCTCTCTCCCTGCTCTCTCCCTGCTCTCTCTCCCCACCTGCTCTCTCTCCCCCTGCTCTTTCTCCCTGCTCTCCCCCTGCTCTCTCTCTCTCCCCCTGCTCTTTCTCCCTGCTCTCTCCCCCTGCTCTCTCCCCCCCCTGCTCTCTCTCCCCCTGCTCTCTCTCCCCCTGCTCTCTCCCCCTGCTCATCTCTGACACTCAGAACTCTCTTGGCGACCATGGAGCAGAGTCCTTAGCACCATACTTACAGGCCATGACCCTTCTTGGTCACTTAATGGTCTGGGTCTCCTTGTCCTCGCACACTTGCCAGCCTGTCTCCCTGGGAATGCCTTCTCCTGACTCCTCCCTCGGGGCCTGGCAGCATCTCTGGTCTCTGACAGCAGAGCTCCTGGCACGCCCTGGTGCTCCATGGGGCTCTGGAGCAGCCCCCAGTGCTGAATCCCTCCCAGGCCCCTGCTGGTGCTGTGCTGTGCCCGCCATGTAACTGAGCAGCCTGGGCACAGCATGCAGGAAGGCACCGGTCCACAGACACCTTGCAGCCGAGGCGCGTGCCCCTCTGGCCAGAGGAAGCACCAGGACCCACACGCACACGCACGCATGTGCACCCACAGAAGGACTAGGCTCCAGGGCAGCAGTGTACTAGCCTTTTACTTCATTTTGACTCTCTTCTCGTTTCCTTTCCAGTTCTTTCCGGTCATAGTTTAACCTCCGCAGGCACATGATTCCACACTGGAAGCTGTTCCTGTGTACACAAGAGGGTTACATGAGGACGGTGCCCACCCCTCGGGCCCTCGACGGCAGCCTGCGCCACTGCCCACCTATGGAAGCTGTCCACCATCTTCAGCTGGCCCCGCAGGTCTTTCTTGGTGAGGTGGTCCAGCATGCGAGCGTCCACCAGGCACTCCATGAAGTAGCTGCGGTACTGCGGAAGACCCAGGCTTGGCAGCCACTCGTTGCCAATCCACTCGTGGTTCATGTCCCCGTAAGCTAGCGTCTGCTTGGAATCAAACAGGGTGGTTAGTTCCACCTTCTTACTCCACTAGGCTCTAGCAACAACAGTATCCTTTATGATGACAGCTCTAAACACACCAATAAAACTTGACACGAAGGGAGCCACATCACTGAACTACAGACTCCGTTGCCGCAGAGGTAACCACGCCGAAGCGAGTCACTGTGCACTGCCTTCCCAAGGCTGTCCTCACAGGACAGCAAGACAGCTCATGGCTGCTAAACTCTGTGGCTGGCGGACAGGTGGACAGACACAGCCGCATGTGCTGGGACAGTGGGAGAGGCCTGCTTCACTGCCCTGCTGGCCTGCCTAAGAACACAGCCCAGGACCCCACGGTGCCCCTCCACGGGGGTTGCAGCTGGCTGCCGAACCCAGCCACTCTGACATCAATGTCTTATCCAGCATGCCAGGAGCACCGGAGAGAAAGTGGGTAAACTCACCCTCACTCAGTCAGAGTCCCAAGAAACTGAAGGACTGAAAACAGAAGTCAGCAAGACACGGAAGACCTAAGCGACACCCGCGATGGGCTCCCTCGCAGCGCAGCAAGCACGCACCCAGCACACACACGTGGGAGGGCCTCTCTCTAAGACTGAAATCACAGGGCCAGCACGATGGCTCAACTGGCTAATCCACCACCTGCAAAAGCGCCGGCACCCCTTATGGGTACCGGTTCTAGTCCCGGCTGCTCCACTTCCCATCCAGCTCTCTGTGGTCTGGGAAAGCAGCAGAGGATGGCCCCAAGCCTTGGGACTCTGCACCCATGTGGGAGACCTGGAAAAAGCTCCAGGTTCCTGGCTTCAGATCAGCTCAGCTCTGGCTGTCGCAGCCTCCTGGGGAGTGAACCAGTGGGTAGAAGATCTTTGTCTCAGAATCTACCTTTCCAAATAAAATAAATAAACCTTTAAAATAATAAGAGCACTAAAATCAAAATTCTCTGACTTGAATAGACTGGACTTCAACAGGAAGTACCCACCCAGAACCCTTTCCACGAATGAGCTGCCACACTTCCGAATCCAAAGGGGGATGGGAAAACACTTCAACTGGTCTCAAAAATCATGAAAAACGGCTGAAGAGGTATCTGGAGAAAAATTCACAGTACCAAAATTCTCATACTGCAAATGTAGAAATACCTCATCAAGTCAGCGGTCTACGATTTTACCTTTAAAAACTTGAAACAAAAATGAACACCTGTGGGTCGAGCACGCGAAGCGGAACTCCACCTCATCGGCCGGCCAATCCTGGCTGATGAGTGGAGGAAGCAGCCCCCTCCCCTCGGCCTCGTTTTAAGCAGCCGGCACCATCTTTACTCTAAGGCGGCCAGTGCACCCACTGGGCACCAGGCTTTGCCCGCTGGCCACCCACCGATGAGCTCTGGGGATTTGGGGGTGACGGAATATTGCCTAGGGACATCCATGGATACAGACACTCTGTGTGCAAGTGAGGAATGAATCCTGAGGGACTCCTAACAACAGGGCCACTGTACTGGCTGGCAAGTGAGGGGACTGAGCCCACACGGGAGCCCCGAGATGGGCTTGTTAGCACAGAACATCACTGACCACCACATGCCATACCACATGAAAGCTATGGCTGGGGGCCTGTCGAACAGACCTAGATCCCAGTTCCTGACTGTTGGAACAGGGCACAGGTCACATTAGGCAGGGCCATGTCACTAACCAGGTCCGGGGGTAGATTCTGTGGAAGTCCCACTGGTTAGCTCAAGAGTTGGGGCGGTGAGTGGCTGAACTAGGTGTGCGCATGGAACCGGCCAACACTCACGGGTACTGGGGCTGAGAACAGGCTGGGCAGGTCCAGGCTGCAGCACCTGCATGGACATCCTAAAACAAGGTGTAGTGCGGGCCGACCCGCAACATCCACCAGCTCATACAAAGGCCAAGATGGAGGGGCAGGCTATGCTGGGCAAGGGCCTAGCACCTGCTGGAGCCTGTGAGATCTGGATCCGGTAGCGGGCTGAGTGGGGGAAGCTGAGAAACTCCACTACGGGGCCATAGCTCCCACTGGTGAGCATGTGTTCCAGACGTAGGGGTCAGGCAAGCTGGGCAAGGTAGCCCCACCCATTGGCAAGTGTGTAGGTTGGTTTTGGAAGGGGGCAGAGTCGAGCAGATCCCAGCCCACTGGCGAGTGCAGAAACCAGGTTGGAGTGCAGGTCATGCTGGGCTAGCGTATCACACCTACTGGTTCACATGAGCCGGGGATGGGAGCAGACTGACTGAGCAGGGCCAGGTTGCAGCACCTGCCAGCGAGAGCTGAGACTGGGGGCTGGCTAGGTCAGGTCAGGCTACAGCATCCAAAGGCAAAGGCTAAGACAGATGAGGGGCTATGCCAGGCTGGTACAGGACAGACAATCATTGGCAGTGAAGATCTGGGCAGATGGAGACACTGAGGTGAACTAGAGCAGCTGGAGGATTCAGGAGAGATCTCATCGTGATTGGAGTGGCAGGATCACCAGCAATTCGGGACTGGCGAACTATGAAAACCTCTCGAGAAATTCACGGTGTTGTAAATTTCTTATTTTTCTTCCTGTTGTTGATTTTGTATTGTGGCTTCTCATTTAAGAGCCATGTGAGGTGACTGTGTCATGCCCAGATGTGAGGATGCAGTGCAGCGTGCATCTCTACTTCCAGATCAAAGATGGACCACTAATGAAACTGCTAGCTGCATGTTGACGATGGGAGGCTAGACTCTGCCATCGTCCATGCAATGATGAACATGTGACTGCTCATGAAGAGCTATGCTGTGGTGATAATATATGGGGGGGGGGAGGGCTATGGAACTGTATCATAGAATGATGATTATAATTCAAAAAGAAGTTTAAAAAATACGTAGAGATATACAGACATATATAAGTGACTAAAACCCACTGCAAGAAGGGGCAGGTTCCGGCACAGGCTTCAGGGCCGGCACCCACGTGGAGCATCACGAGTACCCGGCTCCCCCTTGGGACCTGAAGCAGCCCTGGCCACGTGGCTAACTAGCAGACAGGGCAGGCACACCCACACGCCCTCTCCTTCACTCTGCCTTTTAAGTGTATGAATGAATGAACTTTGAAACAAAAAGTCCATAGCAGGGAGAAACAAGAAAGTGATGGTGCACAGATCAGGAGAGAAGCCAGAACAACAACAACAAAAAACACCCGGGCCCAGCGGTGTGGCCTAGCAGCTAAAGTCCTCGCCCTGAACGTGCCGGGATCCCATATGGGCGCTGGTTATAATCCCGGCAGCTCCACTTCCCATCCAGCTCCCTGCCTGCTTGTGGTCTAGGAAAGCAGTCGAGGATGGCCCAAGGCCTTGGGACCCTGCACCCGCGTGGGAGACCTGGAGGAGGTTCCTGGTTCCTGTTTCCAGATTGTCACAGATACGGCTGTTGCACTCACTTGGAGAGTGAATCACTGGATGGAAGATCTTTCTCTCTCCTCCTCTCTGTATATCTGACTTTCCAATAAAAATAAATAAATCTTAAAACAAAAACAAAAACAAAAACAAAAAAACACCCGAGTCTTCCCAAACGCCAATGACATCAGCACGCCCTCCTCCCTGACGGGGAATGAGCAAGCAGCAATCCCCCAGGGCAGGGGGGAGAGAGGCCATGGGTGCAGGCCCACTCACAGTCCCACACCCCAGAACACCAGGCATGCTCACACCAGAACGAAATGGCCACAGTCCGCCCATTCTTATGCAAAAGGCAGAGAGCTCTCCGATCTGAAGGTTCACTCCCCAGACGGCCAGCATCCGGGCCAGGCAGAAGCCAGGACCAGCAGCCTCATCTGGTCTCCGCATGCACTCAGGTCTCTTTCCTCTGCTTTCCTGGGGCATCAGCAGGAAGCTTGGTCAGAAGTGGAACAGCCGCGATTCAAACTGGTGCCCTGTGGGATGCTGGTGCAGCAGCTAGCGGCTTTACCTGCTATACTAACTGGCCCCTCGGAGGGGTTTCTTCAGGGGCAGCCCCTAAGGCCACGGAGGAAGAGACCCAGAACCACATCCACCGGAACCTGTGCTCAGTCTCTCGTCTCTCTCACACACGTGTACTCCAGCAGGCTTACGGAAAAAGTGGAATTCCACCACTCACCAAAACAGATCAATGCAGCCCCACGATCCTACACAAACAATTTAAAGAAGAACACATCCTACCATCCGTGATGGCCACACCAAAGATCTCATGAGCAAAGCAGTAGACCAGTACGCCATGTGGGCACATGAGCACAAAGCCCCGTGGAGCTCACCAAGCACCGATGTGCAGAAGGAACAAGTGACCGTCCACGCTCATGGCCGCCAGGACACAGCAGGCTCAGCATCTCAAAGCCAGGGACACCCAAACGCTCACCCTCAAAGTCACGGAACACTGCGGCCAAGCACTGCACTTGGCACGGAGGAACACTGCTCTTACCCGACACACAGCACCTGCCCACACAGAGCACCCAGCACACAGCACCCACCCAACACAGCACCCAGACACACAGCACCCACCCAACACACAGCACCCACAGGACATACAGCACCCACCCAACACACAGCACCCACCCAACACACAGCACCCACAGGACATACAGCACCCACCCAACACACAGCACCCACCCAACACACAGTACCCACAGGACATACAGCACCCACCCAACACACTGCACCCACCCAACACACAGCACCCACAGGACATACAGGTCTCCCACCTCACCCTTGTCTTCAGACGGAGGACAGGGAGGAAGCTGACCCTTGCCAATTTTACTCTCTATTGCCACAAAGTCCTGGACACTGTAATAGGGCGCAAAAAGAAAGGTACAAAAGAGAGAGCCCTGCCCCACAGACGGCCATGAGCACAGAGAGAGCCCTGACCACAGACGGCCATGAGCACAGAGCCCTGACCACAGACGGCATGAGCACAGAGCCCTGACCACAGACGGCATGAGCACAGGGCCCTGATCACAGACGGCCATGAGCACAGAGCCCTGACCACAGACGGCATGAGCACAGGGCCCTGACCACAGACGGCCATGAGCACAGAGAGAGCCCTGACCACAGACGGCATGAGCACAGAGAGAGCCCTGACCACAGACGGCATGAGCACAGAGCCCTGACCACAGACGGCCATGAGCACAGGGCCCTGACCACAGACGGCCATGAGCACAGAGAGAGCCCTGACCACAGACGGCCATGAGCACAGGGCCCTGACCACAGACGGCCATGAGCACAGAGCCCTGACCACAGACGGCATGAGCACAGAGCCCTGACCACAGACGGCATGAGCACAGAGCCCTGACCACAGACGGCCATGAGCACAGAGCCCTGACCACAGACGGCCATGAGCACAGAGCCCTGACCACAGACGGCATGAGCACAGAGCCCTGACCACAGACGGCATGAGCACAGAGCCCTGACCACAGACGGCATGAGCACAGAGCCCTGACCACAGATGGCCATGAGCACAGAGAGAGCCCTGACCACAGATGGCCATGAGCACAGAGAGAGCCCTGACCACAGACGGCCATGAGCACAGAGAGAGCCCTGACCACAGACGGCCATGAGCACAGAGCCCTGACCACAGACGGCCATGAGCACAGAGCCCTGACCACAGACGGCCATGAGCACAGAGCCCTGACCACAGACGGCCATGAGCACAGGGCCCTGACCACAGACGGCCATGAGCACAGAGCCCTGACCACAGACGGCCATGAGCACAGAGCCCTGACCACAGACGGCCATGAGCACAGAGAGAGCCCTGACCACAGACGGCCATGAGCACAGAGCCCTGACCACAGACGGCATGAGCACAGAGCCCTGACCACAGACGGCCATGAGCACAGAGAGAGCCCTGACCACAGACGGCCATGAGCACGGAGCCCTGACCACAGACGGCCATGAGCACAGAGAGAGCCCTGACCACAGACGGCCATGAGCACAGAGCCCTGACCACAGACGGCCATGAGCACAGAGAGAGCCCTGACCACAGACGGCATGAGCACAGAGCCCTGACCACAGACGGCATGAGCACAGAGCCCTGACCACAGACGGCCATGAGCACAGAGAGAGCCCTGACCACAGACGGCCATGAGCACAGAGCCCTGACCACAGACGGCCATGAGCACAGGGCCCGGACCACAGACGGCCATGAGCACAGAGCCCTGACCACAGACGGCCATGAGCACAGAGAGAACCCTGACTACAGATGGCCATGAGCACAGAGCCCTGACCACAGACGGCCATGAGCACAGAGCCCTGACCACAGACGGCCATGAGCACAGGGCCCTGACCACAGACGGCCATGAGCACAGAGCCCTGACCACAGACGGCCATGAGCACAGGGCCCTGACCACAGACGGCCATGAGCACAGAGCCCTGACCACAGACGGCCATGAGCACAGAGCCCTGCCCCACAGACGGCCATGAGCACAGAGCCCTGACCACAGACGGCCATGAGCACAGAGAGAGCCCTGACCACAGACGGCCATGAGCACAGAGAGAGCCCTGACCACAGACGGCCATGAGCACAGAGTGTCCACCTCGTGATGTGGTAAACTGGCAGGCAGACACAGGAAAACAGCCTCTACTCCTGACCCTCAGTGTCGGCTGGGGATGAAATTTTTAAGGGATAGCCTTGAAACCCATTCAGCCGTTAGAGAGGGGAGCGAGAGCTCATGGCGGGCGTGCACAGAGACCACAGCATGTGGCTATCCATGAGGGCGACAGCTTGTTCCTGGGCACCGTGCCCTCCCCCACTGCCCGCTGCGCCTTCAAATGCGCTGCCAGCAGCCTCAGCGACTGCGGCTTCCAATCAAACTTAACAACACTGCTTGAACTCTGGCAGGAAAAACCCATTTCACTCTTTCCCCCAAACAATCACAACTTAGAAACCCACCAAAGGTTTGGGGGAGTCTTTCGGGTCACCTGATTTCCCTCTTACAAACCTTCACCTCAGTGGCCTGACGCTCCTGGTCTAACTACTGGGCATGGAATTCTTTCTGCTGGCCGAGCATTCTTCCTTTTTAAAGACTTATTTGTTTTTGGACTCAGAGGAACACGCAGAGACCTTCCAGCACTGGGCCGTTGCTCAGAGGGTCGCCGTGAGCAGTGCCGGGCCAGGCTAAAGCTCACCCTGCCCCCACACAGCGGGAACACCAGGCCTGAGCCCCTTCCTCGGCTCCTCCCAGGCCGTTCGCGAAGGGGAGCAGCCCACACATGAACCAGTGCCCACGTGGGGTACCGGCACTGCACAGGATTCAGGACCAGGTGACCCCCTGGCACTGCAGGCACTCACGCCCCCAGTCACGACCGGCCTTGCATAAGCCGGGGCAGGGGCTCAGGACCAGGTAAGTCCCCGGCACTGCAGGCACTCACACCCCCAAGTCCTGCACCTTCTAGAAGGGGGTGAGGGGACGTGGCAGGAGCACCAAGGAGGCCCGGGGTCACCGCTGGCGGCTGTGCTTCGGTGCGACCAGCACATGCTCGGCTGACTTGCCAAGCAAGCTCACAGCGAACGCCGACGCTCCACTGTGTCGTGTCCACGCTCTGCCAGGAGGCCTGAGCTGCAGGAGCTGGGGGCGGGGCCCATCTAGAGGGCCACGGGACGCCTTGCCCCTGACTCGGGTGGGGACACTCCTGCTGCATCAGACAGCTGTGCTCTGACAGGCCACGCCAAGTGCAGACAGAAGGCCATGGGTCTTCCACCCACCCTCAGGAAAGCTCTGCGACTCGGCCTTTTGCAACGTCCCTCAACACCACACTGCACCACACCACACCATGCCACGCCACTGTGCCGTGTGGCGGGGCTGGACAGGCAACCGCCACCTCACCAAGAGGACTGGACACACAACCCTGGTGAGGAAACCCAGACGCGCAGCGAGCACCGAGGGTGGACGGCTCCTCGGTGCCGTGCAGCCCCACCACACCCCACGCCCATAGACACCGTGAGCAAAGTATTAGAGAAAGACTCCAACCTGAGCCCAGCTCCCCTCCTCATCCTCCTGAGGTTACGTGGTGAGGAATGCAAAAGAACAGAACTATTAGTATCGGTGAGCTTCGGGAACACAGGTGGGCTCGCTGCGGGGAAGGCACGGTTAGCCGGAACACGCGACGCTGGGCAGCATGCAGTCATGCAGGGCTGGCACCACACTCCCTCATGCATGGGGCACACGCTGGCCATGCCGAGCACACCCAAGGCAGGACGGGTGGGGCGAGACGGCAGCACAGGCACGAAGCCGGGCTGTCCAGGGAGCGAGGAAGTAGACGCAGCAGAAGCCGAGCAGCTCCAGCAGCACACGATCCGCCCCCCCCACGTCCTGTTTTACAAAGTTAACTGCAAGAACCCCAGAGGAGACACGTCCCACACAGCCAGGGGAAGGGGCTTTCTGCCAGTGAGCAGCCGGCACGCCGCGAGGGCGCGAGTCGGGCGACACTGACCGTTTGCGGCGTGGCTGCGAGCGTTTCCATCTCTTCGTGTGTTAGCCAGACATTTCCTGTGGTCTAGGGTGACCCCAGGGCAGCGGGAAGCGTGACAAGAGAGGGCACACATGTGAGCCATGGGCACAGACGGACGCAGAGCCAGGCCCACCCTGTCCTGTCGCTCCGTGTCCTCAGCACTGACCACGTGCTACGTGAAGCAGAGAGGCTGTGCCCTTCTGCGGATCCCAGCACGCCCCAGCGCTGCCTGACTCAACGTCCTGCCTGCAGTCCCACCCAGGAGAGGAAGCTACACGAACACGGTGAGAATCCTGGAGCTGGGAAGCAGCTCTCCCCACAAGCCGAGCCAGGGGCAGCAGAGCGGGCCAGCAGCGGGCGCTGTGCAGCAGACACGGACTCGCTGACAGCAGAGGGGGCAGGCTCGGCCTTGCTCGCTCCTCCTAGGACAGCGGAGGGTCTTTGTAGGAAGGCCACACCACAGAACGGCTCGGTCCTGTTTACACTGAGCCCGCACAGGACACACAGCTCAGCGCCCTGTGGGGCAGCCCGAGCCTTGGCCGCTGCTCGGAGCACGTCCAGCAGGCCTGCTGCCGCCCGCCGGAAGCCTGCTCTGTCGGGAGGGACTGACGGCAGAGCTGCATCCTGTCTCAATCTACAAACGAGAAAGAAGCTGCCCAGCCCTTCAGCTCCGGCAGTTTTGAACTCTGCGCCTCCACTGCTTCCAACGACTGCACACAGAAATCCTGCAGTGGACCAGGCCCTGCATGGGGAACCCAAGCAGATGTGGGAACACAGCCCAGCAGGCAGGGCACGCAGCCCGAGGTCCCCACTCCTTATCTCCAGGACTCGCAGGACGGTGCTCAGGGAGCAGCCACGCGCAGAAATGGCACCCTGCAGAGAGCTGCTCACACAGGCCCCAACAGGGACGCACTGTAAACAGCCAGGCTCTGAGACCCTGAACCGCACCACCTCACCGCGAGGACGAGACAGGCTTTCGGGGCGGGAGCGGGCCTGGCCCCCGGAGAAGGCCCTGTCCTCGGGTGAGTCTCACGAACTCGCTGACCTGCTGACCTCACACATGTCCCCCTCCGGGCAGCTCACGACATGGGCAACGGGCGCCACTCGGGCGGCCTCAGTGAGCACTGTCCATGCAGTGACAGTGGGCAGCAGGAACCGTGAGACAGGGTTAGAAAGTGTAAAGCCCTCACATTTAGATTTATGTTAACTACCGTTCCTTCGTGGAAAAGGCACTCCTACTTCCGTATTATAAAGCCTTTCTTATCAAGCTTCAGTAAAAGCTTTCCCTGGAGTCTCAGGGGGACCCAGCTCCACAACTCAAGGTTCTAACGTAGCCGGATTCTGGGGGGTGTCTCGGGACCGCGCAGGCCGCCCTCCTCCCCGGAGCGCCCACCGGGCACGGACCGTTCTGGAGGTGGGCGGCGCGGACGGGCTGGTGAGGGACATGATCTCCTGGATGGCCAGGCGCAGCTTGAGCCGGTGCAGCGGGTTGCTGATGCCAATCTCACGCTGGATCTCCGTGTCCGACAGCGCTGACATGATGGCGCCACTCTTGACGTTGGCCCGGCACGCGGCCACGTACCAGGCGGGCATGCCAACCCAGAGCTGGAGACGGGAAACAAGAAGGCCAAGGCATCAGGTGGGGTCCCCGAAAGCAGCAGCAAGCTTACCCACCGTGACGCCAGGGACACAGCAGGGCAAGGACGCACCTCCAGCCAGACCACCACCGTGGGCCCGTCCCACTGTGCGAACGGCAGGCCTTGCCTCCGGGCCTCCTCCAGCAACTCGTGCCTACGAGCAAGAAGACACACACCATCAGCTGCACAAACAGAGCCTGCCTGGCACCCCCGATCTGCAAGCGCCCAGATCCACATCACTTCCTTGCACGTTCAGCTTAAATGCCAACATGAGACACTAGATAATGCTGGCTGACCCTGTGCCTCCGCTGAACCGCAAGTCCCTTCTGGAATTCCAGAAGCGCCGGATGCTTAGCCAGTCAGGAGTCCCTAGGGAACAGCCCAGTCAAAGACAGGATGCCACTGTGACTGTTTAAACAGAGTGGAACATTGGAGATCAGAACGGGAGTGGAGCGCAGACGCCTCTCTCCCAGAGCCCGGAAAATAACAAAGAGGCCGTTCTGTGGCTGCCGCCCGCAGCACCGCATTCCATGTAAGTGCCAGCTTGAGTCCCGGCTGCTCCACTTCCCATCCAGCTCCCTGCCACCCACGTGGGAGACCTCAGTGAGTTCCCTGTTCTTGGTTTAGGACCAGCTGAGCCCCATCTGTTGCAAGCATCTGGGGAGTGAACCAGTGGATAGAAAAGCTCTCTCACTGTAACTCTGTTTTTCAAATGAATAAATAAATATGTTCAAAATTTTAAAATAGAAACAGAGCAATGGTTTTTCAATATTGCTCTATTCCTTCTGCAAGTCAGATTTACAACGGGAAAGCGCACGGGCAATCTCCCAGCGCTGACTCACTCTTCAGGTGGCCAGAGCCGGGAGCCTCTTCGGGGTCTCCACATGAGTGGGAACGGCAGCACCCCAGTTTCTTGGGACGCGACACACTGAGCTCCCAGGCCGTCCGCACAGAGACGGACTGCAGGTGCAGAAACCAGGATTGGAACCACACAGGAATTCACGCAATCAGAAAGCCGATGCCAAAGACGGCAGCTTTATCCACTTTAAAACAACACTGGTAACTCAGGTGCAGGCTCCCTGTGCCGTCCTCGGCTGCTTTCCCAGGCCACAGGCAGGGAGCTGCAAGGGAAGTGGGGCAGCCGGGACATGAACTGGCCCCCGAATGAGATCCTAGCACACGCAAAGTGAGGACGTGAGCCACTAGGGTACTGTGCTGGGCCTAGTCCCTACCCCCGCCCCTTTTATGCAATTTTATTCATAGATGTGTAGATGCACAGAATGTTAAAAGCATTGATCCCATCTCGAAGGGATCATCAAGGGATACAACTGATTAAAATTGAATTTAAAACATGCAAACATATGAAAATAAAATGCCCATGGTATCACAGAGGTGGGTTACTGTGCCTTGCGACGAGTGTCCACGGGCACAGATTCTAACATGCAGCCATCGGGCACACCGGCCTTGATAAAAAACAAAGCTCTACTTATTCATTTATTTATTCATTTGAAAGGCAAGTTCCGGAACAGGAGAGACAGCGAGGAAGAAGACCTCTGTTGGTTCACTCCCCAAATGGCTACCACAGCCAGGGTTGGAGCAGGCCGCAGCCAGGGCTTTATCGGGGTCTCTCACCTGGGTGCGGGGGTCTCAGCTCTGAGCCAGCCTCTGCTGACTGCCACATGTGTTAGCAGGGAGCTGGACTGGAAGCGGAGCAGCTGGGACATGAACGGGTGTCCATACGGGACGCTGGCTGCCCAGGTGGTAGCTTAACCAGTGGCACCACAACGCCGGCCGCAGCAGTGAAGCACCATGAGACTAACAATGCTGTGTCTAGCACAAGGGTAAATGACAGGGGCCTGTCTCGACCTGACACTGCTGTCGCGAGTCTCTGTAGCCCTGATGTTGGACCCTTGGCACAGAAGCCCAGGAGGTCTGAGCGCAGAGATGGTGCGTGCCAGTGCCCGAGGGGGCAGGCGGAGGGTCCAGCCGCTCGTCCCTTTAGGTCTCAGAAACAGTCCATTCCTGACTGGAACAACAGCATCCGTGAAGATGAGTCTGTCACACAGCTTGACTTTTTCACTACATGTTTGCTGAGTCTCTGTAGTGCAAGGTGGAAAAACAGGAGGCCAATCTGCTGGGCCGGGCCCGGCGCCATAGCCTAATGACTGCAGTCCTCGCCTTGCATGCGCTGGGATCCCATTAAGGGTGCCGGATCCAGTCCTGGCTGTTCCACTTCCCTTCCAGCTTCCTACTTGTGGCCTGGGAAGGCAGGAGAGGACCCTGCACCCATGTGGGAGATCCAGAGGCTCCCAGTTCCTGCCCCTGGATCGGCTCAGCTCCAGTTATTGTGGCCACCTGGGGAGTAAACAGTGGCTAGATCCTTCTCCGTCTCTCCTCTCTGTAAATCTGACTTCCAAATAATCATAAAAAAAACAGATGCTGGTCCCCAAATGCCTAGAGTAGCTGATGGCAGGCCAGGCGGAGCTAAGAGTACAGACGGGAACCCCACCGCTGCAGGGCCCCGGACGGGAACCCACCACTGCAGGGGCCCGCACGGGAACCCACCGCTGCAGGGCCCCGGACGGGAACCCACCGCTGCAGGGGCCCGGACGGGAACCCCACCGCTGCAGGGCCCCGGACGGGAACCCACCGCTGCAGGGGCCCGGACGGGAACCCACCGCTGCAGGGGCCCGGACGGGAACCCACCGCTGCAGGGGCCCGCACGGGAACCCACCGCTGCAGGGGCCCGGACGGGAACCCACCGCTGCAGGGCCCCGGACGGGAACCCACCGCTGCAGGGGCCCGCACGGGAACCCCACCGCTGCAGGGGCCCGCACGGGAACCCACCACTGCAGGGGCCCGGACGGGAACCCACCACTGCAGGGGCCCGCACGGGAACCCACCACTGCAGGGGCCCGCACGGGAACCCCACCGCTGCAGGGCCCGCACGGGAACCCACCGCTGCAGGGGCCCGGACGGGAACCCACCGCTGCAGGGGCCCGGACGGGAACCCCACCGCTGCAGGGGCCCGCACGGGAACCCCACCGCTGCAGGGGCCCGGACGGGAACCCCACCGCTGCAGGGCCCCGGACGGGAACCCACCACTGCAGGGGCCCGGACGGGAACCCACCACTGCAGGGGCCCGCACGGGAACCCCGCAGCTGCAGGACAGCGAGTCCCTGTCCAGCCCCCACACAGTGTGCACACTTGTGTGCTCACAAACCTCACGCAGCTGACCACAATCCTGGACAAGGATTCAAAGCGGATCCCGCAGCTCTGTGCTCAGCCACAGCCCTGACGAACATCCACGTTGTGCCCGACTCACTCTGTCTGTTTTCCGATCCATGAAGCACAAAGCTTCTAGAATCACGAGGCGGGGCAACTAGACTGGTTTTATCATGAGGAGTTAAGGCTGCGCTGGGCGGGGTGTTGGACCCAGACAGCCTGCAGGCCCCGCTCTGATCAGGCTCCCCGCTAACACTCCAAGCTGCGCCCCTCAGGCCGGGGACCCCGGAAAGGGGCTCCTGGCAGACCCAGAGCAGGCACAGGGGCCAGCTGGGAAGTGCACTGGCAGGCAGACACACAAACACACCCGCCCGTCACTCTAACACGAAATCACACACAAGTCTATAAGCAAAAAGCTACGAGGGTTTGGAATGGAACATGTCAACGAACCAAGGGACGCAAATTCCCTACAAAGGTTGTAGGAATGCGCTCTGACCCAAGTGAAAGAGCAACCACGCAGCTACAAAGTCCTCACACAGCACCAGCAGACTGGGCCACTCACACAGTCAGTCCTCACAGCACCAGCAGACTGGGCCACTCACACAGTCAGTCCTCACAGCACCAGCAGACTGGGCCACTCACACAGTCAGTCCTCACAGCACCAGCAGACTGGGCCACTCACACACAGTCAGTCCTCACAGCACCAGCAGACTGGGCCACTCACACAGTCAGTCCTCACAGCACCAGCAGACTGGGCCACTCACACAGTCAGTCCTCACACAGCACCAGCAGACTGGGCCACTCACACAGTCAGTCCTCACAGCACCAGCAGACTGGGCCACTCACACACAGTCAGTCCTCACAGCACCAGCAGACTGGGCCACTCACACACAGTCAGTCCTCACAGCACTAGCAGACTGGGCCACTCACACACAGTCAGTCCTCACACAGCACCAGCAGACTGGGCCACTCACACACAGTCAGTCCTCACAGACACAGCACCAGCAGACCGGGCCACTCACACACAGTCAGTCCTCACAGACACAGCACCAGCAGACCGGGCCACTCACACAGTCAGTCCTCACACAGCACCAGCAGACCGGGCCACTCACACACAGTCAGTCCCCTTTAGCCCTGCTGCTGTGTGGGAACTGTGTGGGTGGCTGAAGGTGGAGTTGTGTACACTTGTACCCTTCAGCATCCAGTGTTTGTGCTTTTTTTAAAGTCATCCCAAAGATTATTAACCACTTCCAGAGCCAAAGCTTGGTCTAGAACTACCATTTAATACAAAAGCCCTAAAGCAAACAATCTGAGGGCAAGAGCGACAGGGGCAGAGCGCCAGGGAGCGCACAGTGCCACAGTGTGTGGGACGGCCACATGGCCCCGCCACGGGGCAGAGCGCCAAGGAGCGCACAGTGCCACGGCGTGTGGGACGGCCACATGGCCCCGCCACGGGGCAGAGCGCCAAGGAGCGCACAGTGCCACAGCTTGTGGGATGCCCACACGACCCCACCACGGGGCAGAGCGCCAAGGAGCGCACAGTGCCACAGCTTGTGGGATGCCCAAACGGCCCCGCCACGGGGCAGAGCGCCAGGGAGCGCACAGTGCCACAGCTTGTGGGATGCCCACACGGCCCCGCCACGGGGCAGAGCGCCAAGGAGTGCACAGTGCCACGGCGTGTGGGATGCCCACACGGCCCCGCCACGGGGCAGAGCGCCAAGGAGCACACAGTGCCACGGTGTGTGGGACGGCCACATGGCCCCACCACGGGGCAGAGCGCCAAGGAGCGCACAGTGCCACGGCGTGTGGGATGGCCTCGGCCCCGTCACTGCACCATGCTGCAGAGCTCCCATCTCAGACGACGGAGCAGAAGCACAGCACACCCACTCTCCTGGAGCCGCGGGGCGGGGCTGATCCGGGACTGGGGTGCTGATGCCAAAGCTAGTGACGCAGACCCTGCGTCTCCCCCTAAACACTTTCCAAGGTGGTTGGGGAACCTCATAGCTCCTCTAGGTCCTTTGAGAAAATGGAGCCACCAAGGGCTTGGCCTCTTTCAGGAAAGGGGCCTGCGCAGTCACCCCGCCTGTCTCAGGATCCAACAGGACCCACTACCCTCCTCAGTCACAGTCTCCCTCTGCAGAGGACGCAGGAGAACATGATCAAGCTGTAGGCAGTGCAACGTGTTCACTGCACGCCCAGTTAAAGGAAGTCCTTGGCATCCGTGCTGAGCGGGATCCGGGGCCACAGCCTGCATACGGGGCTGTCTGGGCACAGCCGGGCCACAGCCTGCACACGGGGCTGTGTGAGCACAGCCAGGCCGCAGCCTGCACACGGGGCTGTGTGAGCACAGCCGGGCACTACATGACAAAGCTGACTCCGAAATCAAACACACGCAGAAACTGCTCCATAAGATGGAAAGCAACACAGGCTTACTTTTTCTGGAGCTTGCGGTTTTTCTCGGCCTGTCCTCCCAGCTTGCTCAGGCCCATGGCATCTGGAGATGAGCCATCTGCCTCCGAAACACCTGCTGTGAGGAAGTGGGCAGAGGGAAGGCAGAGCGTGAGCACGGCGGGCACACCTGCGGGAGAGCTCCCACACCAGTGCCACAGTGCCACGAATGTGTGCTACGCTGCTGGCTTGACACGGACAGCCTGGGGAGAAGAGAGGCCCGTGCTGTGTGGACCATGGGGCAGGCGCCGGGCACCCAGAGGACACTTCCCGTTGTTTCCAAGTTCCCTGGACACCAACCAACCTTGACCTGGCGCATCCTTGCCAGTGTGTCCAGGCCGGCCCTTCTCTTTCTTGCCGAACAAGCGGCCGATGGAGGACTTGATGCCCTTCTTCTTGGGGGCTTTGTGCAGCGAGTCCTGGCTGCTGCTGCTGCTGCTGGGGTTGCTCACAGGGCCGTCCTGGGAACCTGTGGAGCTTCGAGAAAACAAGGCTGATATCCACGGCATGCTCTGACCGGGACCCTCGCACCAGGGGGCTTCGCCCTTCTCCAGCTGCCTTTGCCTTCCTAAGCCACCTCTCTGGTGTCTTCTCACCCCTTGCCTCGTGCTGTGCCCCGCAGCCTGTGCAGGCTCCCAGTAGGGCCAGCACAGAGCCCTGCTTCTGGGGAGATGAGAAGCCCCCTGCTGGGGCTTCCCCATGCAAAGCAGGCCAGCCTCCAGAGTCCCAGAGGGCATCGTCTCTCTGCCAGGGAGGGCCAACCCTCGGCCAGGGACGAGAGGCAGCAGCAGAGAGGTCAGCCTGGAGGCCCAGAAAAACCTGAGTCCCCATCAGGAGCCCCCACAAGCCCAGAAAAACCTGAGCCCCCCATCAGCGGCCCCCACAAGCCCAGAAAAACCTGAGCCCCCCATCAGCGGCCCCCACAAGCCCAGAAAAACCTGAGCCCCCCATCAGCGGCCCCCACAAGCCCAGAAAAACCTGAGCCCCCCATCAGCGGCCCCACAAGCCCAGAAAAACCTGAGCCCCCATCAGCGGCCCCCACAAGCCCAGAAAAACCTGACCCCCATCAGCGGCCCCCACAAGCCCAGAAAAACCTGAGCCCCCCATCAGCGGCCCCCACAAGCCCAGAAAAACCTGAGCCCCCCATCAGGAGCCCCCACAAGCTCTCTGGCTGCTCCCCTATTTCACAAGACCACCAGTGCCCTCCTCCGTGGGCTGCTGGTCCAGGACAGGAGCTGCTCAGCACGTGGCCACGGGGTAGGAGGGGGCTCAGCTCTCAACAGCTTTCCGCTGAGGGTGCAAGAGGGCATCCCAGGGGCCATAAGCCTCACACGTCTCTGCTCGGTCCACTGAGAACAGCGAGCTTTTCCAAAGCAGCTAGCTCACCTGCCGATTCAGAGGGATGGGGCGTCGTGGTCACGGCCCGCATCGGGCAGTCGTGGGTCTCCCCGGGGTCTCAGACAGCCCGACAGCCCAACATGGGAATACTGCCCCGTGCAGCAGGCTGCCTCGGGCTGCTGGGGGCAGCCACTCCTTACTTGCGCATGTCCCTGACGTCCTCGTGGCTGACCGAGTGCGGCGCCCCTCTGTGCAGCCTGTCGAGCCGGAGTGACCTCGGAGAGGAGGGCGGGGAAGTTTCACATTTGATGGTCGTCTTGTCATCTCGTACCTCGTCTCTGGAAGCTGGTAACTGCGGGTGAGAAGAGCACACGCTCAGGACCACGCAGGGCTTGGTGTGCAAGCACTGCTGTTCTCCGAGAGCCCCGAGTGCATGGCCGGCGTGTCACCCTCAGGCCCTTCCGGAGAGGCTGCAGGGAGCACCACAAGCAAGGGTGCCAACGGGGCGAGCACAGGGACGCCCTGGAGCTGGGCACCAGGGCCCACAGCTCAGCCCTCCTTAGTCCTGGGGCCACATCGTGAACAAGCACAGAGCGGAGAGCCGGGGGCTGAGCGAAGCCTGTGGCTCTGACAGAATCCGCAGCGGATGGTGGCAATTCTCACTGGCACAGACTGCACCTCAGGGTGCCACCCTGAACCCTCGGCATGACTGCCAACGGACTGGGGTGGGGGTTCCCAGGGAGCCAGGCCCAGGACTTCTCCCTGTGTGGGTGGCACGTGGGCGACTCTGCTCTGACCGGGCCAGCCACATGTGGGTCAGGAACCTTTCCCGCAGTGGGCTTCAACACAGTAGCCCTGGCTGTGCGTCACCAGGTGCCCTTGGCCCCCACGGCCCTCTCACGGTGTCACCAGGTGCCCTCGGCCCCCATGGCCCTCTCACGGTGTCACCAGACGCCCTCAGCCCCCATAGCCCTCTCACGATGTCACCAGGTGCCCTCGGCCCTCTCACGGTGTCACCAGGTGCCCTCGGCCCCCACGGCCCTCTCACAGTGTCACCAGACGCCCTCAGCCCTCTCACAGTGTCACCAGACGCCCTCGGCCCCCTCAGCCCTCTCACGGTGTCACCAGACGCCCTCACCCCTCTCACGGTGTCACCAGACGCCCTCGGCCCCTCTCACGGTGTCACCAGATGCCCTCAGCCCTCTCACGGTGTCACCAGGTGCCCTCGGCCCCCACGGCCCTCTCACGGTGTCACCAGACGCCCTCGGCCCTCTCACGGTGTCACCAGGTGCCCTCAGCCCCCACGGCCCTCTCACAGTAAGGGAAGTGGGAGATGAAGCCCTCAGGGGCACAGCGGGACTTTCCAAGGTCTGGCTTTGCTGGCTCTGAGGGAGGACTGGATGGAGACCTCGAAGCTTCCCTGGCCAGCGTTCCCGTAGGGAGCAGCCCTGTGCTGCCAGCCTGCAGCCATCGGCCCCATGGCAGCCACTGGTGCAGAGGGAGTGAGCTGGGCTCCTGAGCCAACGCTGCACGCTCTCCCCAGGCTGCTCACAGGAGCACACTACTGCGGCTCCACGTCACCAGGAGACGTCAGGTCAACATCCTGATTAAAGCTCTCGTTCTTTTAAGGGACAAAAACCAAACATGGCAAGCTGATGAGACGACCTAAGGAAGCCCTGCAGGCAGCCTGGCATGGCTGGCCTCTGTCCTCACTCTGCTACAGCCAGCAGCCCCGGAACCGGCCGCCCTGTCCTAGGCACGACCAGACAGAAGCACCCCGAAAGCCGCCAAGTGCTCTTCGGCCACAGCAGCAGCACTGAGGAGGAGGAGGGCCACAAGTACCCAGGGGCTCTGCCCCGCCCCTTCTGTGCCCCAGTGTAGCCTCACAACCACCTGGGGCAGAGCGCCCCCAGTGGCCAGGCTGCACCCCACGGTAACCAGGAACCATTGCACCGAGTATACATCAACACACCCCATCTTTCAATAAGAAAATCTCCCCATCAAAAGCTTGAAAACAAAGGCCAACGGCACAGCTCGGAGCCCTGCTGCTGTGGGCGAGCCGTGAGAGCCGCTGTGGGCCTCCGTGGGCAGCTGTGGGCGGGCCGTGAGAGCTGCTGTGGGCCTCCGTGGGCACTTGTGGGTGGGCCATGAGAGCCGCTGTGGGTCACTGTGGGCTGCTGTGGGTGAGCCGTGAGAGCCGCTGTGGGCCCCTATGGACAGCTGTGGGCAGGCCATGAGAGCCGCTGTGGGCCTCCGTGGGCAGCTGTGGGTGGGCCGTGAGAGCCGCTGTGGGCCTCTATGGACAGCTGTGGGCGGGCCATGAGAGCCGCTGTGGGCCTCCGTGGGCAGCTGTGGGTGGGCCGTGAGAGCCGCTGTGGGCCTCTATGGACAGCTGTGGGTGGGCCGTGAGAGCCGCTGTGGGCCTCTGTGGGCAGCTGTGGGTGGGCCGTGAGAGCCGCTGTGGGCCTCTGTGGGCAGCTGTGGGTGGGCCGTGAGAGCCGCTGTGGGCCTCTGTGGGCAGCTGTGGGTGGGCCGTGAGAGCCGCTGTGGGTCACTGTGGGTAGCTGTGGGTTATGTGAGCCTCTGTGGGCCATGCGAGCGGCTGTGGGCTGCTGTGGCCACTGTGGCCACCGTGGCTCTGTGGCAGGCACCACTGTGTCATCCTCAGAGAGCAGGCCAGGGCAAGGATGGGGGAGTGACGCCAGCCACTGACAGCAGTGCCCGTGGTAGAGCAAGGACACAGGACACCTGAGGCAGGCTGACACGATGTGCAGCACAGGCTAGAGCCTGGCAGTCAGTTCCAGGCCAGATCTGCTCCTGAGGCACTGTGCTCCCGGCAGGACAGGGAGGCCCAACTCCACGGACCTCCAAGAAGGCCCTGGAAATGGTGGCCCCATCCCCTGGGGCGCGAGCATTCCAGGGTGGCACCAGTTCGAGTCCCAACTCTCCACTTCTGACACAGCTCCCTGCTAACGGCCTGGGGAAGCATCAGAGGATGGCGTGCGGGGTCCCAGGCACCCGCATGGGCGGTCTGAAGGAAGCTCCTGACTCCCGGCTTCAGATCAGCTCAGTTCAGCTACTGTGGCTTTAGGGGAATGACCCAGAGGGTGGAAGATTTCTCTGTCTCCCCTTTTCTCTGTAACTACCTTTCAAATTAAAACAAAAAACATCTTTTTTTAAAAAGAAGAGCCTACATTTCCCTGCGGGGTGCTATGGGACCAGGGCATGTAGAGAAAAGGCAGGCTGGGTGCGGAGTGGCCAAAGGCCCAGGGCTTGAAGCAGACACACGTCACAGTCCACCCCACCGGTCTCGGCGAGAGCAGGAGCCTGCGCCTCCCACGCCACGGACGTGTCTGTGATGTGGCCAACGACACCGGCCTTCCTCGAGTCTCACGTCCTTGTCCCTTCCCTGTGACTCCTGCTGCTGCACGAAGGCAGAGAGCAGGCACAGCACGGCTGACACAGCGCCCAGCTCAGCACGGCGCAGCGTGCCAAGGCCGGTCCCTCCAGCCGCTCGGACACAGGGCACGTCAGTCATTCACAACTTACCTTCCTTCGGTGCTTCCTTAAGTCACTAGGCTGACAGACGCATGCAAAGAAATGAAGAAAAACCCGATTTACTGTGCACTTGGAAATGAAGAATTCAAGGATCAACACACGCAAACAGAAGAGACAGGACGGACATGAGTCGGACGGTCACAGCAGGAAGTCTCTCATGACAAACACTACAAATCTTTACTCTAAAAGATCCGATTCTGGTTGAACAAATTCATTACTGTGCGGTACTCAGTATAACCAAGGGGCCTGACAACGATCCACTCCAAGCCAGATCTAATCTTCAACAGGAAGCAAGCAAGTTGTAATTTAAGATGTCACCCAAATAGAAGAGCAATTTATCAAAAGAGGTATTATAAAATTGAACAAACCTACGTTTAATCATCCACTGGGCGTCAATGTAAAGTCCCTAACTAGAATTTGACTTGCAACTTCTTAAAAATAAATGTATTGCTTAAAGCAAGGCACCTGTGAAAATGCGTAACAACAGAACCGAGCGCAGCATCCGGCAGGGTATTTATGGAAGCTCGTAACTGCAGCCCGTTGACCACAGGGACCAGCTGGGTGGGCAGCTGGGTGAGCTGCCCCGTAAAGCCACTCGCAGTACTTCATCTGTGGATTACACAATCCCACGAGGTCTGGGGAGGCACACCCTCACCCACCTGTATCATGCCTGCATCCACACACATTACACAGCAATACACAGTCGTTTATCACTCCAGAGAGACTATTAACCCTCTCAGAGACTCGTCTCCATCAGCACAGCTGGCAGGCAGCTGTGCACCCACAGAGGCACCGGGCAGGGATGGCCAACAAAGGACGGCACCCAGAAACAGCCATGAAAACTGCAGAGCCAGCAGACAGGTGAACAGTATTTTGACAAGCTCTCTACAAGGGAATGAGTGGGAACCCACAGACGCCACTGCCGGACTTGAACACATGGGCTAAGCAGCTGCTGCCACGCTCCTGCACAGCTGACGCCCCTCTGCGCCGGCCAACAGTGCCACAGAAGAACAATGGACGGCCAGCACGAGGGCAGCTGCCAGGAGCCGTGCCCATGATCCCACAGGACCCAGTGGGCGCCCTCTCCACACCTGGACTGGACACACAAGCACCCCGAGACCGTGGGCTGAGAGTGGCTTCCTGGCCTTGGTTTGGACGCACCTAGCCCCATCTCTGCAGAGACTGTGGAGTGCCCCTGGGTCTATGTCCTCAGCCATTGGCGCCCAGAAAACAGAAACTGCCTGTCCCTCACAGTGGCCTGAGCCTGAAGTCCTAGACACAGCTGGGGGCCTGCTGACCTGGCTGTCCAAACCTTACTATTAGCTGGACAGAGTGGACTAAATACTAGATAGTTCTCAAACTCTGGAACCTTTCAGAATAACCAATGTACTTGACTTTGTTCTAGTTGGGACACAGAATCATGTCAGCGGGCAGCAGGAGACACGGCAGGGAGGCCAGAGGGCAGCAGGAGATGCGACAGGGAAGCCAGTGGGCAGCAGGAGACACGACAGGGAGACCAGTGGGCAGCAGGAGACATGGCAGGGAGGCCAGTGGGCAGCAGGAGACATGGCAGGGGAGGCCAGCGGGCAGCAGGAGACACGACAAGGAGACCAGTGGGCAGCAGGAGACATGGCAGGGAGGCCAGCGGGCAGCAGGAGACATGGCAGGAGAGGCCAGCGGGCAGCAGGAGACACGACAGGGAGGCCAGCAGGCAGCAGGAGACGCGACAGGGAGACCAGTGGGCAGCAGGAGACACAGCAGGGAGGCCAGCGGGCAGCAGGAGACATGGCAGGGGAGGTCAGCAGGAAGCAGGAGACATGACAGGGAGCTGAATACTCACGAGTGTCATGACACCCAGGCGGTCCACTTCTCGGGCAGGGCTGTGCGGCATCCTCCTGGGAGTGGAGCGGCCACTGCTGGGTGGGGAGGAGCCGGCCAGGGAGGACACAGGGTAGGGCGGAATGGAGCTCATTGATGTAAAACGACCAAGATTGTCTAAACTCCCACTGCCAACTCGGCTTTCAATCTCCTCGGCCCGCTGCTCTGTGCTCTCCTTCTCCTCCTGGATCAGCCTGAAACACAGACAAGAGTGGTCACCTCACTGACCAGCGGACCAGCTGCCTGGGCTCTGCATGAACTGCAGCTTTCCATCTTGCGAGAGTTAGGCTGGTCCTGGCCGCTCTCACGTTCACCTTCACTTACGGACATGAGCGCTCATTAAGTAGCAGACTGTCACCCCAGGGTTGCAACTATCCGTTTCCTTACTAAACAAACAAACAAAAAAATGTTTCAGCTTTGCGACTTTTATCACCTCTATTCTAGGAACAAAGCTGTGTGTTTATCCACAGATTTTTTTTTAACTGAAAAACTAGGAGCTCTTGACATTAAAAAACAAACAAAAAACAGCTGACCTGCAAAATATCTGGGGTTTCCAGACACGCAAGAATGCTCAAGTGCTTGGTGTCTTAGGGTTAAATTCCAACACAAGGCTCAGCTGACTGAATCCTCTCCTAGCCTCACTGGATTTCTGGGTTCAGGTCAACAATTCACTTGCGATTCAAATGAACACTCCTCTCTCCTGAAGTGTGAGGGATGACTGAACACACAGTCATTGCAAGAGTGTTTCAGAGGCCAGTGACGTCACGCAGAGGGCTGAGACCCAGGCAAGCCCAGCATCCGAGTCCCAGCTCCCAGTCAACAGGCATCGAGAGGCGGATGGCCCAATGCTGGAGCCCCTCATGGAGTTCCTGGATCTGCTCTGGCTCTAGCCACTGCAGCCATCCTGTGAATCACAACGAGCAGCTCTCTATAAACACTACCTTGGTCAATATATTTTTTGTAAAACAGTATTTCAAAAAGTTTATCAAGGTACATGTTATCCCCCACTGTAGGCAGTTGTCTAGGCCAGTGTTACACTCCTGGGAGAAGAGCAGCCAGGAGCTGGCAGGCACTCTGGGCCTGGTTAATGCCAAATGTGTGTTACCAGACCAGTATGAGACCACAGCTTTATTTCTTTTAAGAGATAAGCTGGGAAGATGGGAATTGCCTGGCCAGAATATGCCACTGTGGCTCCCATGAATGGAGATCTGCAGACTGCCTGAAGAAGGGAGACTAGGGATGTCCTGGGAGTGGGAGCGGCTGAGGGGATGACTTTAGGTGCTTCCATAGGTCATGCCATTAGACTAGCAGGTAGACAAGGGAGCTGAGACCAGATGATTTAGAGGGGGAAACCTGGGCTGGGCTAAAAAACCTGGGCTGGGTTAAATAGCATCTCATGCTGCCCTCTGGTGAATGCAAATGTTGGGGTCGGCAGTCATGCCTGGCCGGGCTAGGCCACAGAACCAACCTACAAGTGTCGGGGCACGAGGTAGACCATGTCAGGCTGGGCTGCAGCACCAACCAAATGCAGAGGAACTGGATCTGGGGGCAGATTCGTAGGGGACTTGGGGACTTGCGTCTGTGGCAATGCAGCATCCACTAGTTTGCAAGGAAAGCTGGGAGTGATGTCAGGGTGAACCAGGCAGGACCAGACAATTCACGTCTTGACACTTGCAGGAGCCAGGACTGGAACAGGCTGCAGCACCTGCCGACACATTCGAAGGCCAGGACTGACAGTAAAGCTTGCCAAGCAAGGTCAGGGCAGCTACCAGCATGTGTGGTAGGGAACCTTGGGGAACTCCCCTGCTAGGCTGTGCCTGCTGGAGAGCACACCATCCAGGCTTGGGGTGGACCAGGCCAGACAATGTCGCAGCACTCCTCAGCACCTGTGTGGACTAGGTCTGGGAGCAGGCTGCCTGGGCCAGGTCAAAGCATCCGTTGACACACTCAAGAGCCAGGAAAGGGTGTGGCCTTGCCTGGCTGCAACATTTGCCAATGAGAGCTGAGACTGGGCAGGATGTGTCAGGTTGGGCCGCAGCAGCTTGGGAACAGGCCTGGCAGGGGAAACTGTGGGAACTACCTTGGTAGGCTACAGCTTCCACCAGGGAGTACAAGAGCCAAAGCAAGGGCAGATCAGGTTGCATAAGGCTACAGCACCTGTCAGCAGGTGTGTGGCCTGGGCCTGGGGGTGGACCAAAGAGCCAGAACAGGTATGGTACAAGCGAGGTTAAGCTAGGCTGTAGCATCCTTTAGTGGAGAGCCAAAATGGGTGCAGGCCAGCCTGGCTAGGACACAACATCTGCTGGACTGGGTGCAGGCCAGCCTGGCTAGGACGCAGCATCTGCTGACATGTACCGGGGCTGGTGTGCAATGAACCATGTCAGGCTGCACCTCAGTACTTCCTGGCAAAAAGTACCAAGGCAGGAAGTGGGCCTGGCAGGGAAACTATGGACACTACCCTGCTGGGCTGCAGATCCCACCAGTGAGCACGAGAACCAGGGTGGAGGGAGGCTGGGCTGGACAAGACAACAGCACCCATCAGCATATGCGTGGGCCGAGTCTGGGGTTGAGTCAGGCTGAGCTGTTGCAGGCAGCACAAATGGTTGTACCGAAGAGCCAAATGGGATGAGGGACAGATTGGGCTAGGATGCAATATGCTGCCACATGAAGAACCAGGGCTAGGAGCCATGGGGGGGTGTCACTCTGACCAGGCCATGGTACCCTCCAGTGTGCATGAAGTCTGGCCTGTGGTGGGCTGGACTCAGGCCTCAGTGCCTGTCACATGAGAGATGGGGCTGGGGCAGAACTGACCAGGTGGCTGTATTCACCAGCACGGGCTGGCTGGTGCAGACCAGAGTCAAGTCTGAGGTCATCCCAAGCAAGATTTTTTAGGGGAACTCTCCAACTGGACCGCTGGACTCAGACCCAGGCCTCAAGGAAAACCACAGGATGTGTTGTTTGGCCTTGGAGAACATGTATCGGGACCAGGTCTCCGAAGCTGCTGATGCCTGTGCAGTGGACAGCGTGTCCAGCACATGGGGACATGGGAGCCAGCCCTTCTAGGCCAGCAGGGAATGCCGACTGCCTCGTCAGAGGATGGAAAGCAGAACAGGTTGGACCACTCTCCCGGCCAAGCTTTGTAGCGTGTTCCTGGGCCTGTGGATGCACTAAGGTGGACCTGCTCAGCCGATCAACCTTGGACTTTCTCAAGCTGACATCTCAGAACCGTCAAACCCCTCAACATCCTGGGAATACTCCTCCCCACATCGGGGTCTCTAGGGCGTCATCACATGACGGCTTGAGCACCCTCGGGTGCTGATGAGTTGGACAGCAAGGAGAGACCCCTTCTCCTTCCCCCACTGTGGACACGTGAGAAAAAACTGAGTCATCTGTCTCCTCCTCCATGCCTCACCCCTCCCCACCCTAACTGGAGGCCCACATGGGCAAGCATTCCTCCCAGCTACATAAATATTTAAAAATGAAATCTAAAAGACGATAAAAATGAATTTCAAAATACTTTGCAACAAAATAAACATATCATTTCATTCTATTCTGCCTTTTTTTAAAATCTGAGGTAAACAGAATTCCAATCTGCTGGTTCTTTTCCCAAATTCCTGCCCTGGCGAGAACTCGGCTGTCTTGGAGCTGGGATCTTGGGCTGGGTCTCCCATGAGGCTGACAGCGATCCGACTGGTTGAGCTGTCATCTGCTGCGTCTCTGGCAAACGCAGGAGGCCAGGACGGGCCCCAGCACTCTGAGCCAGCCTCACAGCAACCTCATCGGCCTCTCTGACTATGCCCATAGTCACTGTTCTAACATGAACACCCAGAAAAGGCACCATGACCATCACGACTAAAGCCCTGCTCCCACTGCAGCTCATGTAACAAAACCCACGTATCAACAGAGCCGCCCACCACACCGGGTCAACTTACTACATGTTTTTAAAAAGTCCTTTTCACCTTATAACATGCTGTCAAAACTAAAAATAAGCAGTTTTGAAGCACTGTGCTGCTGTAATAATACAGGAGAAGTCAGTGGGCGGGGAGAAATGGGAGAGGAGGGACAATCCCCGAGCCTATGGAACTGCCAGAAAAAAATTAACTAATTACAAAATAAAAACTAAGACAAATTAAAATAACCAAGCGGTGAACAACCCGTCCAGGCAGAGCCAGCCCTCACGAACTCTCCCAGCCTCACAGAGGCTGCCCTAGCCAGGAGCTGCTACTGCCCCGACCGACTTCTCTTTGCTGCCTCAGCACGTCCACCTGTCTGTCCCAGCCTGACTGTCCAGCACAGGGCCCAGTGGCCAGGCCTGGCTGTGTCAGGACACCCTCTGTAGCCCCTTCTTGCTAAACAGGCAGTCCTGGAGTGGACTCCACCACTGGCCCACTGTCGTGTCAATCGCTCATTGTAACAGCCACACTGGCCCACAGTCTTTGTCCTGAACATCCCCTCCATCCAAGTCAGAGAGAGACAGTGTGGGCGTGAGCACACACTGCTGAGAGGTGAGCGTGGGCGTGAGCACACACTGCTGAGAGGTGAGCGTGGGCGTGAGCACACACAGTTGAGAGGTGAGCATGGGTGTGAGTACACACTGCTGAGAGGTGAGCGTGGGCGTGAGCACACACTGCTGAGAGGTGAGCGTGGGCGTGAGCACACACTGCTGAGAGGTGAGCGTGGGCGTGAGCACACACTGCTGAGAGGTGAGCGTGGGCCTGAGCACACACTTCTGAGAGGTGAGCGTGGGCCTGAGCACACACTTCTGAGAGGTGAGCGTGGGCGTGAGTACACACTGCTAAGAGGTGAGCGTGCCTGAGCACACACTGCTGAGAGGTGAGCGTGGGCCTGAGCACACACTTCTGAGAGGTGAGCGTGGGCCTGAGCACACACTGCTGAGAGGTGAGCGTGGGCGTGAGCACACACTGCTGAGAGGTGAGCGTGGGCGTGAGCACACACAGTTGAGAGGTGAGCGTGGGCGTGAGCACACACTGCTAAGAGGTGAGCGTGCCTGAGCACACACTGCTGAGAGGTGAGCGTGGGCGTGAGCACACACTGCTGAGAGGTGAGCGTGGGCGTGAGTACACACTGCTGAGAGGTGAGCGTGGGCCTGAGCACACACTGCTGAGAGGTGAGCGTGGGCGTGAGTAGACACTGCTGAGAGGCGAGTGTGGGCGTGAGTACACACTGCTAAGAGGTGAGCGTGCCTGAGCACACACTGCTAAGAGGCAAGCGTGGGCGTGAGCACACACTGCTGAGAGGTGAGCGTGGGCGTGAGCACACACTGCTGAGAGGTGAGCGTGGGCGTGAGCACACACTTCTGAGAGGTGAGCATGGACGTGAGCACACTCTGCTGAGAGGCGAGCGTGGGCGTGAGCATACACAGTTGAGAGGTGAGTGTGGACATGAGTACACTCTGCTGAGAGGTGAGCATGGACGTGAGCACACTCTGCTGAGGCGGGCTCCTGAACGCACAGGCCCCGCATTGCTCACAGCCCCCTGAGCGCTGGCAGAGCGCAGAAAACAGTGCAGGGCTTCTGTCCAGCTCACTCTACTGCTCTCCCCTCGCTGCCCGCCACACCATGGCCTGGTGAGGGCAGATGGACAGGAAACCATGCTTCTCACCCACACTCCACTCAGGCCTACTCGCTCTACACCCACGGTGCCTATCTTTTCTGCACGCCGGGCAGGCCAGGCCAGCAGCGCTTCTCAGCTCAGTGTCATTTTGGGAGCTGCTGCCGGAGGACACTCCTAGAAGGACGCCAGCCGAGGGACCCCCTCCCACACACCCACTGAAGGATGCCAGCCTGGGACCACCCACCGAGGGATGCCTGCCGAAGGACCCCCTCCCCACCCACCGAGGGACGCCTGCAGAAGGACCCCCTCCCCACCCACCGAGGGACGCCTGCCGAAGGACCCCCTCCCCACCCACCGAGGGACGCCTGCAGAAGGACCCCCTCCCCGCACGAGCGCACACCTGATCTCCTTGTTGATGGCGTCCAGCTGCTCCTGCAGCATCACGGCCAGCGTCTGTGCGTCCGCCTGCCCGCTGGGTGACCACAGGTCCACGGCACTGAGCACGGTGTCCCTGTCGTCCTCCCCATCGGAAGCGTCCACATCACTTTCGAAGGCCTGCGCCACATTGGCCAGGACGCTGGCTTGCTGGGCGCGCTCCCAGTCCTGCTCGTTCAGAGTTTGTACCTGTGAACAGGCAAGCCCGCTCTCAGACCAAGGCAATGGTAACCGGAACCCAGAACGTTCTAAATGGAAGCCCAGAGACCTGGGGCCATGTGAGCACACTGCTGACCCCACTTATGCAAGCGGTCTCTGAGCAATGGGAGAGGGGACCAGCCGCCGCCAGGCTGCCCTGGGGTATTCGGTAGCGACACTAGCTCATTCACCAGGTGGCCAGCCCACAACACGCCACGCTAACTCCGTGTCAGTCAGGGCTGCATATGTCACCAAGCACCATGCCACTGAGCTGAGCTAACCCCTCCCGGCTGGGGCTGGCAGCAACATGCTCTGAAAACAGCAGAGGGGAACCCAACCAGAGCCAAGAGTGGGCGCAGGTACACCAAGCAGGGTTCCCCAGGCTGCCTCCTCCATGCCAGAACACACACAAGCCTGGGCGTGGGGCCTGTGCGCCTGTGCCTGGCCCGGAACCCAAGGTCTCCACACTGCCCCTCCTTTCCTGGACCCCCTAGCAGCCCCGCCAGCCCTTCTCTGGTCCTCCCACCTCGGTGTCAGGGAGTGTTCTGCCATCTGCCCACTGTGCCCAGGCTCCTGCACCCCACCTTCCCTGCCCGCTTGCTCACCTCAGCAGCCAGCAGTAGGCCCCGCTCCCCCACAGCATCCTGCCCATCTGGTCCAGAACTTTCTGCCTCCTGGTCTCACTCCTGGTGTGGCCACCCTGCCCCGTGCTGGCTCTCCGCAGCCTCTCCCACTAAGCATGTCGGCTCTGCCACAGGCACCCACGTGGAGCCTGCACCCAGTCTGTGCCACAGCCCTGCTGCTCAGCGCCCTTCGCTCCTGTTGCTGATGCCACGCTGCTCTGCTGGGTTCCAGACATGCTCTGTGTGTCACATGGCAGCCCTGTACACATCACACCTATCTGATTTGGCTTTCTCCCCTGGGTGGGCACTCATATCACAGTGACTCTGCCCGGTGTATGCCCTGCTGCAGTTCTGTCTGAGGCAATGGCTGACCCAAGCCGCCCTTCAATCAGTGTGTGTCACAGTGTGGGGAGCCGTGCAGTAGGGTCGGACGGCACGGGTGTGCGATGAGCACCGCTCCTCAGTTAGCAAGGCTGCGAGGCAAGGCCCAGCAGAATGTCTCTGGTCACCTCATTGCTGCCTCACCCATTGTATGGAACTCAGTCACCTCTCTGATGTTTCATAGAATTCTTTTGAGGGTATTGTTGTTGTTTTGTTAATGTGAAGTGATTCCTGTAACTGGTATGACACCTCAAATTGATCAATCATGTTACGATAAAAACACCTTTGGTAATGTAAGGCTATATATGACACACAGCCAAAAGTATACAATAGTACAATTGAGCCCACTATCTTTCCAAACATCCTGTTATGTGCCCACTTTTGTCCTGAAGTTTGCCCTAGTATAAGTAATGTTTTCCTTAAGAAACGGCTTCATAATATACTGGAATAGATGGCAATCATGGAGGTACAAAGAGTTTGTTTACCATGCACCTCGAACTGTTACAACACATGATATGACACATTTTAGTTTCTTACCACAAGAAAGCAAAATATGTGGAGCATCTTCTAAAAGGAAACAAAACAAAACCCCCTCAAAATGGCTTAAATCTCAATCTTATACTGGCACTTATATTTAGGGAAAGAAAATAGTTTACATAGATGAAAGGAAGTTTCTTGTAAAAGCCCTCCATTTGTAGAGTGGCTGAGCTGCCTTGATCCCTTTCACTGCCCTTTAACAAAAGAATAAAAAACAATTGAATCAGCACTAGGTGAAGGTGACCGTAATTAATGCATGATTTGATTATAAGATTTAGCAAAGAATCTATGTTATATGCTTTTATAAAATTCTTTCATTTATGATCTTTTAATTCTGTATTCTTAACATTTTAACCAATATTAGTTTGTGTTTAGTAAAAGTTGATTTTGAGTATAAGCAAACTACTTGTCACTATGTAACTGCATGCGCTGCCAACCGTGGAGTTCCTGGCTTCAGCCAGGTGATTGCAGGTTTCAATGAGAAATGGTTTGTTGAAAATGTTTTCTTTGAAATAGAAAAATATTTTTTAGAATTGCTTCTTGCATTTTCATAACCATGATGTAATGAAAAATGAAACAATTGGATGTTGTGCAAAAGCTTGTGATGATTTGTATATAAATAAAGAAGGCAACTTCGCTGAGTTGTCCATTATGAGCATCAAGCCCTGGTGGTCCATGTCTTATCTCTTCCTATCATCTCGCCGATCCATGCATCGTTTGCAAGCTCTCAGTCAGCTGGAGCTGGTCTCCGGCAACACGGGAAGTAAGCTGAGCTGGGTGTGAGTTCCCCGGGTGGGTCAGCATGGATGCATTTCCTCAAGACCCAGCCTGGATCCAGCCGACATCAAACCGACAACTAGGCTATGACCTGAATTTCTGTTGCTTAAAACACAAAGATAGGGCCTGGCACAGTAGCCTAGTGACTAAAGCCCTCGCCTTGCACGTACTGGTATCTATGTAAAGGTGCCAGTTCTAATCCCAGCAGCCCCATTTCGCATCCAGCTCCCTATCTGTGGCCTGGGAAAGCAGTCAAGGACGGCCCAAAGCCTTGGGACCCTGCACCCACATGGGAAACCTGGAGAAAGTTCTGGCTCCTGGCTCCGGATTGGCTTAGCTCTAGCCATTGTGGCCACTTGAGGAGTGAACCAGTGGGAAGATCTTCTTCTGTCTTTCCCTCTCCCTGAAAACCTGACTTTGCAATAAAAATAAATACATACACACACAAAAAATATCCACTTCCCTATAGCCAACTCTGTGCCTAAAAAGGAGCATGGCAGGAGGCTAAAAGCATGACTCACAAATTCTGCTCCTCACAGCGGCAGGGCCGAGGACACGGGAGCAGGGGAGCCCGCCCTACCCCCACAGCGGCAGGGCCGAGGACACGCAAGCAGGGGAGCCCGCCGTGACCCCCACAGCGGCAGGGCCGAGGACACGCAAGCAGGGGAGCCCGCCGTGACCCCCACAGCGGCAGGGCCGAGGACGCCGTGACCCCCACAGCGGCAGGGCCGAGGGCACACGAGCAGGGGAGCCCGCCCAGAGGGCCTTGCCTTTGATGGCTCATCCCGCAACGCCGCCAGCCGGCCTTTCTGGGGGCGCCGCAGCACAGCGCTGGTGCCGTAGGGCTCTGCATGGCCATCGGCAGTGGGAAACCGGAAGTCTGGAACACTGCCCAGGTGGGGTCGGCTGAAACAGGAAAGAACAGAAGGACTTGCTTTTAGAAGAAAAGTAAATTACCTTCAGGACTTCCATTCCCACCAAGTGCACCCGCTTGGGCCTAAGTTCACCTCACAAGGGCGGGTGTCTGAGGGCAGCTCCCTGTCCTGACCAGCACCTGCTATTTCTGCAGGTCTCGGGGACCCAGGCACAGCCAGGCAGATGCTGACAGCGTAAGAGACTCTCAGATCTGCGATCGGCAGAGAACTAAGACCCATCTTGGCCCGGTCCCTGGACGAGGACCCCGGCCTTCATCCTGCGCAGTCCTCCCAAGTCCGCAGAGGCACCAGCTGGAGGCCTTTTCTGACATCCACCTGCTCTATGGTGCTCCCACTAATGCCAGGATGTGCAGTGGGACAGCCACGGTCACAGACACTCTGCAGTGGCCAGCATGCAGCGCCCCAGCTCAGAAGCCGCCTCCGCACCTTCTGCAGGCAGTCATGGACGACAGAGGCCGGCTGCTGGGGTAGAGCACTGTGGGCCTGGGTCAGCCCAGTACCAGCCCGGGAGAGGGGGGCCCAAGCAGCCACTCTACACGAGCTGAGGTCCACGGGCTGGCCCCACGCACACGGCCTGTGGAACAGGCAGAGCCACCCCAGCTGCCAGCCGACTTTCCTGTGTGATCAGCATCCCAGTAACCACTTCAGGACCCGGTACTGGAACTTAACTCACTCAACAAACAAACGATGCTGAGGCCCTGCTCCGCCAGGAGCGCGCAGGGCCGGGCAGCGCTCGGTCCTGACAAGCCACGAGCCATCCCATGCCAGCCAACCCTCGGCCACAATGCAGCCTGACAAATGTCAAAACCAAGTGTTTTCATTCTAGAGTCTCTTAGAGATACACAAATCTCCAACTCGGGAGTGCTCTCGGGGTGCTCAACTCGGGAGTCCCAGGGGTCCCCCACACCCCAGTACTGCAACTGCCCCCTTGCAATCCAACCACACACATCCCTCCCCTCGAGAGAAGGTGCCCTCCTGCTGGTCCACACTGCAAATGCCCTCAGCTGCCAGGGCTGTACTGGGCACTCAATCCAGGCCTCCTACGGTGTGCAGCCCCAGGGTCTGCACTGGCAGGAGGCAGCTGGTACTGAATCCAGGCATTCTGACAGGGGGCAAGGGCGTCCAATTGCTACACTGCACCCTGACCCAGACCTTGCCCCACCCACATCATGTCCTGCTCCACTGGCTGCCTCCCCACCACCCGAGCCTCTCCCTGTGCCAGGCACAGAGGCCAATGTCTGGAGCACTGCCCTTCCCCGAGGCCCACTGTGAAGCTGCAGGTGCCCTGGAGGCAGGCGGGCCTCCCTGCCCACACAGCTGGCACAGGCCCTCGCACACTCCCGGAGGGGGCTGCGGATAGCATACCCATGATGGAGGGAAGCACCTCTTAGTGTAATCTGGTCCAGCTCAGCCCGCAAAGCTTCGATGTTCAGGACAAGCTGATCCTGCAGGAGTAAACAACCAATGGCGTCGTACTGAAAGACCCGCTGGGCTCAGACACGCTCCAGCATGGGCACACTGCAGCGGGGTAAAGCAGCAGTGAAAGAGCCCCCAGATCCTCACGGCAGGAGACTGTCTCCAGAATACTCGGCTAACAGAATGCTCTGGAACTCTCAGAGGCTGTGTCTCCCTTGTGCTTGTCCCGGCCCTGAGCATGGCCCAAGTACACCTGCGATTTCCTCACCGTTTAAGGACACATTATAGTTTAAAAACACAAACAAAAGTTATGTATGGGCCCAGCACGGTAGCCTAGTGGCTAAAGTCCTCACCTTGCACCCATATGGGTACCGGTTCGAATCCCGGAGGCCCCGTTTCCCACCCACCTCCCTGCTTGTGGACTGGGAAAGCAGTCGAGGACAGCCCAAAAGCCTTGGGACCCTGCACCTGCGTGGGAGACTTAAAAGAGGCTTGGGATCGGCTCAGCTCCAGCCATTGCGCTCACTTGGGGAGTGAATCAGTGGATGGAAGATCTTCCTCTTTGTCTATCTTCCTCTCTATATATCTGACTTTCCAATAAAAAATTAATAAATTAAAAAAGAAATAATAAACTATGTCATGTCAAACATTTCGGGAGGAGCCCAGCCAGCCACGAGCAGGGGCTCTGCAGAGGGCAGCCGAGGGGCGCGCCCGTCACGCCGAGGGTCTCCACGCTGACCCCAGCACGTGCTCGCTCTGCGTCTGGGTCTCCACGGCCACACGTGGCGACGGCACCAGGGCAGGAAGCAGGACCTGCCGGCACGGTGTGGCAGAGGGCAGCAAGGCGCTCACCGTGCTTTATGGAAACGCGCTGGCACTGGAAGCAGCCATGGCAAATGAGCACACGTTTCCAGTCTATGTCAGTTAGTTCTTCAAAGTAGCATTCGTACATTACAAAATGCTACTTTGGATATATTAAGTTAAAAATTACAGTTTTAGCTATTCATTTTATCAGACACTGGAAAGTCACGCCTGTGGTGCCCGTGACGTGCCAAGGCTGTGGCTGGAGGGGGGAAGGTCACACGCCCACTGGAGCTGGAAGTGATCCCACAAAGACCTCCGGATCCTGAACCGTTTACACTGGCAGCCAGAGAAGGCAGGCCTGATTGTGCACACCAAGGAGTGTCATCAGTCAGTGGGCCAGAGGGCGGCCTGCAAGCTCAGCTCAGCCTTCCCCCGCAGCCACCCGCTCCATCACGCAAGCTCACCTCAGCCTTGCCCCGCAGCCACCCGCTCCGTCACACCTCAGCTCAGCCTTCCCCGCAGCCACCCGCTCCGTCACGCAACCTCACCTCAGCCTGCCCCGCAGCCACCCGCTCCGTCACACCTCAGCTCAGCCTGCCCCGCAGCCACCCGCTCCGTCACACCTCAGCTCAGCCTGCCCCGCAGCCACCCGCTCCGTTCGCTTTAGCTTCTGACATGTTCAAACACAGTGGAGAAGAGCCAAGTACCTTGTCATGTTGCGCTTCTTCCAATTGCTTTTTTGCATTTTCAACTTCTCGTATTAGAGAATTCTGGGGGGAAAAAAAAAAGTCCTTAAAGGCCATGCAAATATTCCACGTCATACAGTCTTGCTGCGCCCCTTCAAAAGCCCTGGACCTCAGCCAAGGCCCAGCAGGACGCCTGTGCCAGGGAGCCAGCTGCAGAGCCAGGCAACACGACAGTCGTGAGGCCCTTCATGGACAAAGGTTCGATCAGGCAAGTTAAGGTCGTGACGAGGTTCATTTCCATCGGTTAAGAAGGTAGACACTGACAGCTTGCAGCTCCCTGGTCACTCGGGCAGCCTGACATGAACTTTACACAGAGACACTTAGAAAAGGATAAAACCCTGCGACACGCAGGCCGATCCTCTGGCCACTCGTGTGGTCTCTCAGGGTGCCCCACACGGGTCTCGTGTGAGGTGACAGCGTCCCGCACGAACAGCACCAACTCGAGCCACCAATCTCAGCCCCCACGCTTCCCCGAGGACACGATGCCTGGAGAGGCAGCCGGGTCTGCACCTGCCCCAGGCACACTCCTCACAAGCGGAAGCAGGGATCCCTCTCAGTGGGGGGCAGCCATGCACCCCCCCCTCAAACAGAGCCTGGAGTCCACGGGCGGAAGTTTGCGGAGAGTGTGACAAGAGAGGGCTGGTGGCCTAGCTGGCAGAGCCACCACACTCTTCACAGACAATCAAGGGGGAGGGCCGAACAGCAGCCAACCCGTTACCAGGGCAATGCCAAACCTAGGGGACTGCCTCTGTCTGTACCCACAATGTTACGGGGACACAGCCACACCCACCCACCAGTGTGTGCTGAGCACTGACAGAAATTATTCCAGTGATACCCAATCATTAAAAGCCTCAAATATTCACCAGCTGGTCCTCTGCAGGAACCCTCCACCTGCTCGCGCATACACCTGTGCGAGGGCTCGGCGCACAGCACGTCCACCGAGGGCCTGGGCAGCAGCGGTCAGGTCCCCACATCCACACTGGCCCCGACGGCCTCCCCCGGGCAGCAGATGCACCCCACGCGCCCACGCTGTCACCCCGACCTTGTCTTCCAGGGCGGCCATTCTCTCCTTCAGGTGGAGCTGGAGCCTCTCGTTGGATTCGGAGAGGAGCTTGTCCACAGTGTCTGACAAGCGCTTGTTATGTTCCTCGTTCATTTGTTCTCTCTGCCTCGCCTAGACAGAAGCAGCGAAGACCTGTAGGCTTCCGGGAGCCCCTGTGAGCCCTCCACCAGCCCCAGCTGTTGCTCCCCCAGCTCTGGCTCACAGGAGTGAGCCGCTCAGGGGCAGGGCGACGAGGGAGCAACGAGCAGGGCCTCTGCAGACCAGGGAGGTACCCACAGGGCCCTCGACGGCCAGCGGCCATCACTGCCGCACGCGCATGGGGACCAGCAGCTGGCTATCTGCATCTGGGTACAGCAATGTCCCCTGGTGTTAATAAAAGCTGGGGTCTGGATTCAGGGATACAATTAATTTAAAAACCGTAAGTTAAAAACTGTTTTGAAAATCTTAGTAAAGAGAAGACTTTCCAGGCACTCTTCACACCCTTGCATTGCTTCAAACGACCATGGAAACTTGTGTTCAAAAATGACAACTCATTACTTTATGCAACTTTAAACTGTGGTGACAACCTGACAAGCGTGGACTTCATAAAACCACAATCAATGTCACGGTTCCAAAGCTCCGTGCCTGCCCAACCGCTGCACAACCAGACAGAAGAGGACGGGTGGCCGGGGCAAGGGGGCTGCGGGCAGCGTGGCACGGCCTCCCTCCCAGCACATCGGCCGGCTCCGCCACACCCAGAGCGGGCAGCGGGCAGCGGAGCCGCTGGGCGCTCGGTCCCCAGGGCAGGCTGCAGCAGTGGGGGGCGGCCCCCTGTCCCCCCAGCCGGGGCCCCGACACGCACCCGCTGCAGCTCCTGATTCTTCTCCTCCAGCTGCGCCTCCATCTGCCGCAGCCTTTCCTCGATGTTGCCGTGTCTCTCTTCAGCCTGTCAGCACAAACACGGTCAGCGGCCTCACCGCCCGCCAGTGCGTGCCACACCCTACCACAACAGCCGACAAGCACCGCATGCTCGGAGCACCAGCATCCCCGCCAGGAACGGGGGCGCTGCTCACATCCAGCACAGCCCCGAGCTGTGTGTGTCGGGCGTGACAGGCTCAAGCGGGGCCTGCTGCCCATGCCCCACCTCGGCGTGCTCGGACCAGTCAGCGGGGAGAGCGGGAAGCAGCAGGCAGAGAAAGGAGTGAGGGGCACGCTCTACCTTCCTAAGCTTGCAGGTAAGTTCCAACAGCTTAGCTTCCTGAGCAGCAGAGCTCCCAGCAAACAAAAGATCAGACTACAGAGCCGACAAGGAGAGGGACAGAAGAGACTGTGAGAGCGACCCCGGACGGAGGACTCTGCCAGCAGCCGGCAGCACGCCTGCGTGCGGACAGAGCGAGTCCAGAACGCAGACAGGCCCGAGGCCACCTTCCTGCAGGATGTGTGCCTGGCCATGGAAGCACCCAGCCGGGAGGCTGCTGGCCGGCAAGGTCTGTGTGTCTGCCCCTTCCCCGGGAAGCTGCCTTGTCACCAACCCTAAGGAGGACGGGGCTGCATGTCACACAGACCTAACCAACAGCGGCCAAACCAACGAATCAATGTGACTGAAATAGAAAACCACTTAAAATTCTATTACATTTCTTCTACCATCTTTGAAAGAGAAGAACACATTCCTATTTCTGAAAAAAATGCTAGCCTTCTGACCTATAAGCTTTTCTCCTAGGCCGGGAGGTGCTGATCGCACAGTCCCAGTGGCAGCACCCGGCCTGTGTCCTGAGGACAAGCAGGAACTCAGGGACACCACGTGCAGGGTGACACTGAAGGACATGGAAGCCGCCTCACGGACACAGGAGACCTGGGAGGTGACGGACGGGGCGGAAGGAGTCATGGTGGCAGGCACCCCTAGGTGCCTTAGACAGGGCTGCAACCCACCTTAGACAGGGCTGCAACCCGCTGGGCCAGCTCGGCCTCCACCTCGGGCAGCGTCTCGGCCTTGCGCAGTGTCTGCTGCAGCTTCTGCTCCGCCAGCTCCAGGCGCTCCTGCAACTGCCGGTTCTTATCTTCAGTCTGCAGAGCGAGAGCATCGTGTCACCGACAGCAGCTCTTGCCGCCACTTCCACGACGAGGACACCGCAGCAAACCCAGACGTGACACAGACCCCAGGTTCATACAACAGGCTCAGGGCTGCTCTGGGAGCGGCCAAGGGGGGAGACTTTTCCTGCTCTAAGTACTGCACACCCCCTTGCTGGGCTTGAGTTCAGTATTCAAAACCCTCCTGCCTCAGCACCTGTCCTTCCCACTGATGGGGGCTTCAAACGCTCCTGGGCCAGCACAGTGCAGTGCCGAGCACAGCCACCGCCCATGATGCCAGCATCCCCGAGGGACACTGGCTCGGGCCTGGTGGATCCACTTCACATCCAGCCCAAGTTGTTGGGGCGGTGCACCCACGTGGCAGACCTAGACGCTCCTGGCTTCAACCTAACCCAGCGCTGGACATGGCTGCCACACGGGGTAAACCACTGAAAGGAAGATCTGTCTCGCTTGCTTGCTTTCAAATAAAGAAACAAATCTTAAAAGGTTCACTACATAATTGTTTTAAAATTCAGAGAGCTCCTGTATGCTGGCTTACTTCCCACACACCCACAACAGTCAGGCCTCGGCCAGTACCAAAGCCACAGCTGAACATGAGTGACAGCAGGCCACCTTCCTGGGCCATGGACACGCCTCCCAGGGCTGCATGAGCAGCAGGCAGGAACGCAGTCTGAGCCGGGATGCAGTGGGCTCAGGTGCCCTAACTGGCGTCTTACCTGCCAAGCCAAATCTGTCCCTGCATGACAGACAGACAGATAGGAAGAAAGGAAAGAACAGGAAAGAGAAAGAGAAGGAAGGGAGGGAGGGAAGAAAGAGAAAGAGAGAGAGAGAAAGAAAGAAAGGAAGGAAGGAAGGAGAAATGTAGGTAGGTAGGTAATTTTTAAAACTTGGAATAGCAGATTTACAGGGAGAAGGAGAAACAAAGACCCTTCCCAAATGACTACAGCAGCCACACCAAGCCGATCTACAGCCAGGAGCCTCTTCCGGGCCTCCCATGTGGGTGCAGGGTCCCAAGGCTTCGGACCGTCCTTGACTGCTTTCCCAGGCCACAGGCAGGGAGCTGGGTGGGAAGTGCAGCTGGGACATGAACTGGTGCCCATATGGGATCCCAGGCGCCTGTCGGCAAAATATCGGGCAGTTAAGCCGTCACGTTGGCCCCAGCGTCGTCTTTTACCTTCATTTCTCATGCTTTTTTAAGATCCCTCCACGTCTTTAAAGAAGTGTTTTGAACAGCTGCAGGTATGACACAGTCTAGACTGACCCCAGCTGAGGCTAAGCCTGCTCACCGCACAACCCCAGGGCGCTCACGTCCCTCTGACCCGGAGCTTGCAAGAGTATACTGACCAGTATACTGACCGAAATGCTGTCAGCTTACTTCTTCAGTTAATGCCCGGCCTGTTTACAACGTGGAAAATTTAACCAACGTGTTTAAACGCCAAGCAGCACCTCTGCACTTAGCCCCCAAGGGCCCTGCCCAGGCTTCCCTTCCCCCTGGTCCTGTGCACACGCCGACACACGCTGTAACACAGAGGCGTCAACCCTCCCGCTGACACTGTGCCACCTGCCACCCGCTCAGCTTGGCTCGTCCTCCAAGTGACCCCCAAGTCTCCCGTGGGACTCTGCTGTCTTTTGCTGCCTCTCAGCCACATCAGCAGGGAGCTGGACTGGGAAGTGGAACAGCCACGACTCAAATCAGCACCCATGAGGTGCTGGCACCTCAGGCAGAAGTTTAACCTGCCGCACAGCGACAGACCCTCCTGCCCCAGTCTCATTTCATTTCTAAATTCCACTGATCACCGTTTCCAGGTACCAACATGTGGCCTCTGCCTTGAAGTCATTTTGCCACAATCCATTCTTTGGAAGAAATGCTGAAAACAAACACCAGGTTCCTCTCCGACCAAGAACCAGGGAGCACAGCTCCGAGTTAAACCAACAAACACTCAAACTGGGCACAAGGCCCATGGCGTAGCAGCCTAAGCATTGGCATTCCTTAGGGAACAGCAGTTCGGGTCCCCGCTGCTCCACTTCCCATCTAGCTCCCTGCTTGTAAACCATCAGCGGATGGCTCCAGTCCTAGAGCCCCTGCACCCACGTGGGGACCTTGAAGAGGCTCCTGGCTCCTGCTCAGCTCCATTCTGGCTGTTGCAGCAGCCGCCGAGAGCGTGACCAGCGACAAGAGATTCCTCTGAGTCTCCTTTTCTTCAGGACTCCCCTGCCCCCACTGCCCTCCTCTCATTTCCCCAGAGATTCATTTTTTTTTAAAAATCAGAAAGACAGATTTACAGAGAGGGGACATACAAGAGGCAGTCAGGACACAAACTCATGCCGGATGGGATTCTGGCACTTGCAGGCAAAGGCTCAGCCACCGTGCCCTGTCACCATGCAGTCACTCCACCCTTCAAATAAAAATAAATCTTAAGAAAAAAAAAAAAAACCCAGCCCTTAAGCTGCACTAGTTCACACTCTCCAACCACAGAACCTTTCCAAAGTTCGAGGACAGCGCCCCAGCCTCCCGGTGGCCGCGCAGAGCCCGCACCTGCCGATGCATGGAGTCCTTGTTGGCGATCTCGTTCTCCAGCTTGTCGTTGAGGTCGTGCACAGACGTGGCTTCACGCTGCGCCGCGAGGTAGCGCTTCTCCAGGGTGGTGATCCGCTCCTCCATGTCCTCCTTCTGGGCCATGGCCTGTGCGAGCGAGCGAGCGAGGTCAGAGTGACCGCGAGCACGCAGCGAAGCCCACGCTTCCAGCCAGCACTCAGGGAGGCCAAGCTTCTCAAACGTCAAAAAAAGTATCAAAGTACAAACAACCACTTTTATGATAAGGAAAGTTCTGTCTGATCATTCGGCTTACCAAGTTTACCCTTTTCTGCATAATATTACAAAGACAAAATAGTGTCCTCTAACATTGCAAGGGTGCGAGCGGGGCAGGTCCCCACAGCGAAGCAGCAGGCCTGTCCCCTGAACGGGCTGCTGGGACAGCGCACACCTCTCAAAGGACAGCAGACGCCACTGTCTCGGAGAGCTCAGAGGACACTCACACAATCACCAAATTCAAGCATATTAATGGAAACACGGTGAAAACACAGCGCATTGTGCCAGCGCTGAGAGCGAGGACTCAGCACGCAGCTGTGTGGACTCGTCCTCCGCCCAGCACTTCCACTCTGAGGGTGGCAGAGACGAGACTGGAGCAGAGCCGCCCTCTCCGTGCCTGTGGCAGGGCTGACAGCCAGGAGCCTAACGCAGGTCTCCCACTCAGGGCCTCGCCATCGCCTGGGCCTGCGCTGGTGGGAAGCTGGAGTCAGGAAATGGAAGCGGGTCCTGAACCCAGGCCCTCTGAGCCAAGACACATGTACTTTAACAACTACGCCAAATGCTTGTCCCTGAAGGCAACAGGTTTCAAGAGAATTTAAAACTGCTTGCCACAGAAATCATGTCCCATCTAGCCACACACTGTAACCTAGGTTATACAGCACAGGTAAACACTGACTCCTGCTGGCCACTCTTATGTAGAGCAGGCAGTACACACCTGCCGCACTCATGGTCACAGGGTGAAGTCCGCTGGGGGACAAAGGACAGATTCCAGAGCAGCTGCAGAAGCAGGTCCCAGCCTGGGGCTTATGCACCAGCTCACGGTTCACAGGGCCTGGACTCGGGCGCTGGCCCTGCACTCCAGCTGCCCGCTAACGCAGACCTGACAGTCAGAGAGGGCTGCTGCGACCCCCGCAGGCCTGGGTGGAGCGCCAGGCATCCCTTTGGTTCTTGAAGAAACTGACTAGTGGAAGGAAGCTCTGTTTCTCAAATAATGCTTTTTAAATTACTACAGGAAGGGCAAGACAGAGTGGCCAGAACTCATTTTTTTGTATTAAGAAAAAAACAATGGGGGCCCTGCGCGGTGGCACAAGTGGTTAAGGTCCTCACCTTGCACGCCCGGGATCCCATATGGGCGCCGGTTCTAATCCCGGCAGCCCCGCTTCCCATCCAGCTCCCTGCCTGTGGCCTGGGAAAGCAGTCGAGGACAGCCCAAGGCTTTGGGACCCTGCACCCGCGTGGGAGACCTGGAAGAGGCTCCTGGCTTCGGATCGGCATAGCATTGGCCGTTGCGCTCACTTGGGGAGTGAATCATTGCATGGAAGATCTTCCTCTCTGTCTCTCCTCTCTGTATATCCACCTTTCCAATGAAAAAATAATAAAAATAAATCTTAAAAAAAAAAAGAAAAAAACAATGAAACAGCTTCCCGTGAATAGTTAAAAAGGCAAAAACGTTAGTGAGAAACAGGGTAGCTGACGTGTTCCCACACTCACTGCTCACCTCAACATCATCAGTCGGCACCCCAGTCACGCTCACCTGAGCTGCAACCCCACACGGCAAGGGACAGATGTGCACAGAGCACGCAGCTGCACATGCAGGCCCCTCGTGGGGAGCGGGGCCACACCTGCTCAGAACCGGCCGAGCCCTGGCACACGCTCCACCCTGCAAAGGACCTAGACTGCTCACGCGACGTGCCCACCTGCTGCGAGAACACGTTACACCGTGCTGCCAGGGAGTGATGAGGCTGCACGTGGCAGTGCCACCACAGCGGGCCAATCTGCAGCTCTGGGACCCGTGGGCAGAGCTGCCAAGGGCAGGCTGTCAGAAGACCTCCCACAGTCTTCCCTTGGGCTGCACCAGCGGCACAGCCCATCAGTACGCATCAGAGGGCACCTGAACGTCACCAACAGCGATGCCACGGAGAGGCGTCTGGCCCTCCGATGCCCGTCAGCCACACTTGTGCTGGGGTGGCATGGCGGCACTGCTACTGACACAGGCCCCTGCCAGTGGAAAGCAGCTGGGGGAACAGGGAGCAGAAAGGAGCAAACGCAAGGACAGGCGCACAGCCCTCACTCACTTCGCGGACGTCGCGCTGCAGCTTGGTGTTGGTCTCCTCCGACTTGATGAGGTCCTTCCTCGCCGTGTCCAAGTCCTCCTCCAGCTCGGCCACGTGGCTGCACAGGGCAGCCAGGCGCTCCTTCATCTGGCTCTGCTCTCGCGACTGCCGGTCAATGACCTCCTGCAGCTCCAGCACCTTGGCCAGGTCTTCCTCGTGGCCTAGGGAGTCGTCAGAGGACCTCTGAGGGAAAGGAGCCAGCTGTGAGCGTCCCAGCGAGGAGGGCTCTGGAGGGGACGCCCAGGGAGCCGGTGCCAGCACCGAGGTGGGCTCTGGAGGGGACGCCCAGGGAGCCGGTGCCAGCACCGAGGTGGGCTGCAGAGGGGACGCCCAGGGAGCCGGTGCCAGCACCGAGGTGGGCTGCAGAGGGGACGCCCAGGGAGCCGGTGCCAGCACCGAGGTGGGCTACAGAGGGGACGCCCAGGGAGCCGGTGCCAGCACCGAGGTGGGCTGCAGAGGGGACGCCCAGGGAGCCGGTGCCAGCACCGAGGTGGGCTATGGAGCAGGGGACGCCCAGGGAGCCGGTGCCAGCACCGAGGTGGGCTACAGAGGGGACGCCCAGGGAGCCGGTGCCAGCACCGAGGTGGGCTACAGAGGGGACGCCCAGGGAGCCGGTGCCAGCACCGAGGTGGGCTGCAGAGGGGACGCCCAGGGAGCCGGTGCCAGCACCGAGGTGGGCTGCAGAGGGGACGCCCAGGGAGCCGGTGCCAGCACCGAGGTGGGCTACAGAGGGGACGCCCAGGGAGCCGGTGCCAGCACCGAGGTGGGCTCTGGAGGGGACGCCCAGGGAGCCGGTGCCAGCACCGAGGTGGGCTATGAAGGAGGGGACGCCCAGGGAGCCGGTGCCAGCACCGAGGTGGGCTACAGAGGGGACGCCCAGGGAGCCGGTGCCAGCACCGAGGTGGGCTCTGGAGGGGACGCCCAGGGAGCCGGTGCCAGCACCGAGGTGGGCTACAGAGGGGACGCCCAGGGAGCCGGTGCCAGCACCGAGGTGGGCTACAGAGGGGACGCCCAGGGAGCCGGTGCCAGCACCGAGGTGGGCTGCAGAGGGGACGCCCAGGGAGCCGGTGCCAGCACCGAGGTGGGCTATGGAGGAGGGGACGCCCAGGGAGCCGGTGCCAGCACCGAGGTGGGCTACAGAGGGGACGCCCAGGGAGCCGGTGCCAGCACCGAGGTGGGCTACAGAGGGGACGCCCAGGGAGCCGGTGCCAGCACCGAGGTGGGCTCTGGAGGAGGGGACGCCCAGGGAGCCGGTGCCAGCACCGAGGTGGGCTATGGAGGAGGGGACGCCCAGGGAGCCGGTGCCAGCACCGAGGTGGGCTACAGAGGGGACGCCCAGGGAGCCGGTGCCAGCACCGAGGTGGGCTACAGAGGGGACGCCCAGGGAGCCGGTGCCAGCACCGAGGTGGGCTACAGAGGGGACGCCCAGGGAGCCGGTGCCAGCACCGAGGTGGGCTCTGGAGGGGACGCCCAGGGAGCCGGTGCCAGCACCGAGGAGGGCTCTGGAGGGGACGCCCAGGGAGCCGGTGCCAGCACCGAGGTGGGCTGCAGAGGGGACGCCCAGGGAGCCGGTGCCAGCACCGAGGTGGGCTGCAGAGGGGACGCCCAGGGAGCCGGTGCCAGCACCGAGGTGGGCTACAGAGGGGACGCCCAGGGAGCCGGTGCCAGCACCGAGGTGGGCTACAGAGGGGACGCCCAGGGAGCCGGTGCCAGCACCGAGGTGGGCTCTGGAGGGGACGCCCAGGGAGCCGGTGCCAGCACCGAGGTGGGCTACAGAGGGGACGCCCAGGGAGCCGGTGCCAGCACCGAGGTGGGCTACAGAGGGGACGCCCAGGGAGCCGGTGCCAGCACCGAGGTGGGCTGCAGAGGGGACGCCCAGGGAGCCGGTGCCAGCACCGAGGTGGGCTACAGAGGGGACGCCCAGGGAGCCGGTGCCAGCACCGAGGTGGGCTGCAGAGGGGACGCCCAGGGAGCCGGTGCCAGCACCGAGGTGGGCTATGGAGGAGGGGACGCCCAGGGAGCCGGTGCCAGCACCGAGGTGGGCTACAGAGGGGACGCCCAGGGAGCCGGTGCCAGCACCGAGGTGGGCTACAGAGGGGACGCCCAGGGAGCCGGTGCCAGCACCGAGGTGGGCTACAGAGGGGACGCCCAGGGAGCCGGTGCCAGCACCGAGGAGGGCTGCAGAGGGGACGCCCAGGGAGCCGGTGCCAGCACCGAGGTGGGCTCTGGAGGAGGGGACGCCCAGGGAGCCGGTGCCAGCACCGAGGTGGGCTATGGAGGAGGGGACGCCCAGGGAGCCGGTGCCAGCACCGAGGTGGGCTACAGAGGGGACGCCCAGGGAGCCGGTGCCAGCACCGAGGTGGGCTACAGAGGGGACGCCCAGGGAGCCGGTGCCAGCACCGAGGTGGGCTGCAGAGGGGACGCCCAGGGAGCCGGTGCCAGCACCGAGGTGGGCTACAGAGGGGACGCCCAGGGAGCCGGTGCCAGCACCGAGGTGGGCTGCAGAGGGGACGCCCAGGGAGCCGGTGCCAGCACCGAGGTGGGCTATGGAGGAGGGGACGCCCAGGGAGCCGGTGCCAGCACCGAGGTGGGCTACAGAGGGGACGCCCAGGGAGCCGGTGCCAGCACCGAGGTGGGCTGCAGAGGGGACGCCCAGGGAGCCGGTGCCAGCACCGAGGTGGGCTACAGAGGGGACGCCCAGGGAGCCGGTGCCAGCACCGAGGTGGGCTACAGAGGGGACGCCCAGGGAGCCGGTGCCAGCACCGAGGTGGGCTACAGAGGGGACGCCCAGGGAGCCGGTGCCAGCACCGAGGTGGGCTACAGAGGGGACGCCCAGGGAGCCGGTGCCAGCACCGAGGTGGGCTACAGAGGGGACGCCCAGGGAGCCGGTGCCAGCACCGAGGTGGGCTACAGAGGGGACGCCCAGGGAGCCGGTGCCAGCACCGAGGTGGGCTGCAGAGGGGACGCCCAGGGAGCCGGTGCCAGCACCGAGGTGGGCTCTGGAGGGGACGCCCAGGGAGCCGGTGCCAGCACCGAGGTGGGCTACAGAGGGGACGCCCAGGGAGCCGGTGCCAGCACCGAGGTGGGCTACAGAGGGGACGCCCAAGGAGCCGGTGCCAGCACCGAGGTGGGCTGCAGAGGGGACGCCCAGGGAGCCGGTGCCAGCACCGAGGTGGGCTACAGAGGGGACGCCCAGGGAGCCGGTGCCAGCACCGAGGTGGGCTGCAGAGGGGACGCCCAGGGAGCCGGTGCCAGCACCGAGGTGGGCTATGGAGGAGGGGACGCCCAGGGAGCCGGTGCCAGCACCGAGGTGGGCTACAGAGGGGACGCCCAGGGAGCCGGTGCCAGCACCGAGGTGGGCTACAGAGGGGACGCCCAGGGAGCCGGTGCCAGCACCGAGGTGGGCTACAGAGGGGACGCCCAGGGAGCCGGTGCCAGCACCGAGGTGGGCTACAGAGGGGACGCCCAGGGAGCCGGTGCCAGCACCGAGGTGGGCTACAGAGGGGACGCCCAGGGAGCCGGTGCCAGCACCGAGGTGGGCTACAGAGGGGACGCCCAGGGAGCCGGTGCCAGCACCGAGGTGGGCTACAGAGGGGACGCCCAGGGAGCCGGTGCCAGCACCGAGGTGGGCTACAGAGGGGACGCCCAGGGAGCCGGTGCCAGCACCGAGGTGGGCTGCAGAGGGGACGCCCAGGGAGCCGGTGCCAGCACCGAGGTGGGCTATGGAGGAGGGGACGCCCAGGGAGCCAGTGCCAGCACCAAGGTGGGCTATGGAGGGGATGCCCAGGTTAACCGCTGTCAGCACAAGGTGCCCAGGCACTCTGTCGTGGGCCGTGCTCGCAGCGGGTTGGGGTCCTACAGGAGACCCCCAGACAGCCCCTCTCCCACGGCAATGCCCCCCCCCGAGACCGCAGCAAGGCAGAGCGTGGAACTTGCCTTTCCATTCGTGCTCGGTGTATTCTCTTGTTCGTGGTTTACATCGAGCACACCGTCCGCCAACGTCTTTTTCTGATTATTCTGTTCTTTAAGGATCATTAGCTACAACCAAAAAACAGAGTATGAGACTAAAATACCTCCCAGCAAATTACATACCCAAACTGCCTCTGCACAGCACAACCACAAACTGCGAAACATGTAGAGAAGCCCCGGGCCACGCATCCCGACGGCAGCAGGGCAAGGGCACTCCAGGGACCCGGCCCCGCGGCTGCACCACCTCACGATGACCCGGCTGGCCTGGGGCCACCGCACAAACAGCAGCACGCGGTCCTCGCGGCGACAAGCACCACACAGAGCTCGAGCTCACCTCCTTGTGCGTGGCACCTAACTCTTCTTCCAGCAGGCTGCACCTCTCCAGCGCGACGCGCAGCCGCTCCCGCACCTGCAGGGACACGTGGGGACCGTGGTTTGCACGTGTCTGTCACACTCTCACACGTGCCCCCTGCACTGCCACAGTCAGTCCGTCAGAACACCCTCAACGCCTCGTGGGTGACACCTCCTTCTGAACGGCTTTCCACCAGAGGAAATGTGAGAAAAATCCTTCCCCTGGATAAACGCTGTTAGCCAACCTTAAACCCACATGCAGGTTAACCATTTTGACACATTCATGCACTGAGTACTTCCTAGCCATACAGAAGCCTGCAGAGAGATCACCTCTTAGCAAGAATTCAAGATGTTACTAACTCCCAGCCTCCAGACACACGCTCCCCGTCCGACACCTGGCTAGCCACAAACCCGTGATCCTGGGGCGGCCGGGTGTACCTGAGGCGCCTGGGCAGGTGAGGGGCCGGGGACCTGAAGCACCTGGGGGTACCTGAGGTGAAGGGGTACCCCAGGGGCCAGGGTACCTTTTCATCCAGAGCTTTGTGGTGTTCAAACAAGGACTTGAGCGCCTTCAACACCTCCACCTCGCTGGACACGCCGGCGGGAGACTGCGCCTGCCTCTTGACCACGGTCATGCGCAGTGAGCGCTCGTGTCTGGAGACGAGGCACTCCAGGTGCTCGAGCAGCAGCTGCGGCCAGCCACGCACACGGTTAGCGAGCCGGCCCAAGCCCCTGCACAACCTCGCACTCTGCAGCCCGAGCCCCACAACCCCAGTCAAGGCCGAGACGCCCTGGTACACATCACAACGGCCGTGTTCCTGGGTGACACCAGCCCTGACCCCCACACGGAGCCCCCCGGCGGCTGGCTGACCCCCCCCCCGTGGCTGGCTGAGCCCCCCGGCAGCTGGCTGACCCCCCCCCGCAGCTGGCTGACCCCCCCCCCCGCAGCTGGCTGACCCCCCCCACAGCTGGCTGAGCCCCCCGGCGGCTGGCTGACCCCCCCCCCGCGGCTGGCTGAGCCCCCCGGCGGCTGGCTGAGCTGCGAGCTCCCCACTCACCCGGGTGTTGTTCCTCTCCGCCTTCAGCTCGGCGATCTCCTCTTCCCGCTCGAGGAGCTGTTCCCTGCACACATTGAGCTCTTTAGTAAGTGCTGCAAACTCCTAGGAGACAGCAAAGCAGACATGAACGGACGAATGAACAGCGCCTCTCCAGTCGGCCTTCCGTGAAGTGTGCCCGGGGTCACCACCACACGAGTGTGTGCTCTCGGCTCCCTTCCTCCCCGTCGGGCCTGTGGTGGTGACGCTGGGCACACTTCATGCAGTGAGACCACCACAGGCCCGACGGGGAGGAAGGGAGCCCCGAGTGCATACGGCTCCCCGAGTGTGCACACAGCTCCCCAGGAGTGAGACCACCACTCGCCTGGCTCAGACTCCCCTCCACGCCGTCCCGACGCCCCACATGGTTCCCTGAACAGAAAGTGCATCAACACGTCCTCCCTGGCTCCCGGGCACCAGCTGCCCAGCGTCCCTTCCTCTGCTCGCTGTCCTCTGGGCAGAGCACAGGTCTTGGCAGAGTCCCCGGGCACAGGCTGCAGGCACAATCCTGCCTTGGGTCCAGTGGCTGGTGGCTGCCCTTGGTCGCTGTCATGTTTTTCATGATTGCATGCGTGTAACGAGGTACTGGATTAGAGTGACTCGGGTGCTTCCGCCCAGTTTAGGCTCCCACAAACAGCTGTGAACTCCAAGTTCACTGTGTTTATAATGTGTATGTTTGCTTAGCTAGTTTTGTGGATGGCTCCTGAGTGCCCCAAGGAGCAGCCCTCTACCCGCCACACCCCCAGGCCCCACACTCGGCCCCAGCCCCTCACCAGCCTTAGTTTCTTATCCAGTTCAGACCCCTCAGCCAGCGCTAGCCCCAGTTCCTCACCTGGCCCCTCACCTGTCCTCCGTCCCTCACCCTCTCCTTCTGGAAGCCTGTTACAACCGGACAACCCCTCCTCCCTGGGCTCCACCAAGCACACTCCTCTCTGCCGGGATGAGGAAGGCATCCTTGGAGGGACACCACTCAGCCGGAGAAGGCAAGGCGATCCACCAGGAGACCGCCAGCACTGCAGGACGGTACCAGCACCGAGGGTGGTCCCACGAGGGAGAGCCACACGCGCACGCTTGGGAGGGGCCTGCGTTAATGGGGATGACCAAGCTCCAAGGGCAGATGGGTGGTGGTGATGGTGGCAAATCCACACACCCGGGCTCAGTCCCACGGCCTCTGCTGGTCCAAAGGGGGCACGCCCATCTCGTGCCATCACTCCCCCCGGCTTGCAGGAGCCTTGTGGAACCAAGACCCCAGTCACACACAAGACTGCTGCTTGGCAGGAAGACAATGAGTGGCACACGTGGGTGGTGGTCAGGCTGACCCCACCAGCCCCACAGAGGGGGCCGGGTGTCCGTGGCTGCTCCCACAGCACACCTGCGATGGTGGCATTAGGACACACTGTAAAATGAATCACTCAGTACCACCCAACATCAAACCCGTTTTCAACAGCACCACCGTCTGCAAGGGATACAGGATAAACTATTCATTCTTTATTTTGAAATTTCCAGTTTCTTTTTATTTTTAACCATCAAAAATGATCCTGTGAGAAAAGGTAAGGTAAGAGGACAGAGAGGTAAGGGTAAGGACAGAGAGGTGCCCATTACTGCCCATCTGCAGTCTACTCCTGGAAGCCCGGCACACCACCAGCCTGCCTCGCCATGGCACGCCGCCAGCCCACCTCACCCACAGACGATTAGGTTTATAGACAGGAGAGACAGGAAGATCTACTATCCGCGACTCACTCCCCAAATGGTCACAATGCTCTGAGCTGAGACAATGAAGCCAGGAGCCAGGAGCCTTCTGCAGGTCTCCCATGTGGGCATAGAATCCCAAGGCTTTGGGCCGTCCTCCTCTGCTGCTTTCCCAGGCCACAAGCAGGGAGATGGACGGGAAGTGGAGCATTCGAGACATGAACCCACACGTGCCCACATGGGATCCTGGCTGGAAGCAGATGTGCCCAACTGAATCATAACCTCAGGCCCCCTCAGCACCCTGCAACCCACCCACCTTTTTCTGAGAAAGTCTTCACTGGCTATTCAGGGCCTGTTCCCCTCCCAGCACACAGCCCCGAGAACCCAGCCCCAGGCACACTGTTTCCAGACCTACAGTGAGCTTCCCAACGGCCACTTCAACATTATCCCATCGAAAATTGAACATCAGGGCCCATCCTGGGATGCAGCAGGTTCAGTTACCGTTCGCAGCGCTGGCATCAAATATGGACATAAATGCAAGTGCCAGCACCTTGCTTTTCAATCCACCTTTCCAGCTAGTACATCTGGGAAAGCAGTGGTAGATGGCCCAAGTGCCTGGACCCTGCACCCATGTGGAAGAGCTGGACGAAGCTCCTGGCTCCCGGCTAAGCTGGGAGGTCCTGAACCCTGGAGGCCGGCACCCATGTGGGAAAGCTGGACGAAGCTCCTGGCTCCCGGCTAAGCTGGGAGGTCCTGAACCCTGGAGGCCGGCAGGCATGTGGGGACTGAGCACAGGGTGGAAGGTCTCTCCCTCCGTAAATTCTGCCTTTCAAATAACTAATCACATCTAAAGTAACTACACAGATAAGTACACGGGTGAGCAGGTGCGACACGCACCCCACCGTGCCTCCCTCCTACCCCAGGCTGCGTTTCTCATTCAAACCAGCATCGCCACGGCTAAACCAGGAAGCCTTGACGCAGGACCAGCTCTACCTGGCCAGGGGCACTGCCCAGGAGCAATCCCTCAGCCACCGGCCTGCCAGCTCGGGAGCTTCACATTCTGGACCATCTAACTTGTTCTTCTGAGGAAGCCACACTACACAGTAGCTGAAATGCTGGCAAGGACATTTGCTCCCCGGATGTTAAGTCCACACCACTCCCGATGGCGGCAATGGTCAAGCAGGAGCTGGAACGCCGTCCAAGTGATTGGCGTGTTTCCCGCTGCCTCTCCAGGCACATCAGCAGGACGCTGGATGGAAGTGGAGCAGTCAGATATGAAATGCCAGCACCCAGGTTGTGCCAGCAGTGTCTGCTTTGACGGTCAGAAATCTCTATTTAGGGACCTGGCGTTACAGCACACAGTATGAAGTCACTGCCAGTGACACCAGCATCGCACAGATACCAGGTTCAGTCCCAGCTGCTGCACTTGCAGCCCAGCTCCCTAACGAGACAGAGAAAGCAGCTGAGGACAGCCCAACTGCTTGGGCCCTGCCAGCCGCGTGAGAGACCTGGCTGGAGTGCCAGGCTCCCGGCTTCGGCCCGACTTCCTGATTTCCCATGCCCAGTCCTGCAATGACAGGTCCACTTGCAGCGGCTGCAGGCCCTTCTCTGAACAGAATCACACGGCCTGGCCTGCCCGCTCCTTCCACCCAGCACACCAGGTCCACAGCCACCTGTGAACATTCGTGCCACTTGGTCCCTTTCTCTTACCATTTCCTCCTGCAAAGGCATTCCTTTCGGGAAAAACTGGGCTTTCTGTACAACAGCTAAGGCCAAGTTTCACCTCACTTATTTTTATGTTTCTGCCAAGGAGCACACCAACCTGGTTTGGGCTGGTTACTAGTATTTCAGTACTTAAACACAATAACCCCCAGCCATAAACCAGAGAATTTAAATCACAGCGTGTACGCATGTTTCAGGATGACCCAAAGAACTAGCGCAAATGTGTGACACACACACCGTGACTGAGGTGTCAGTGTGAATGTGTGTCACACACCGTGACTGAGGTGTCAGTGTGACTGTCTCACACACACCGTGACTGAGGTGTCAATGTGAATGTGTGACACACACCATGACTGAGGTGTCAGTGTGAATGTGTGACACACACCATGACTGAGGTGTCAGTGTGAATGTGTGACACACACACCGTGACTGAGGTGTCAGTGTGAATGTGTGACACACACCGTGACTGAGGTGTCAGTGTGAATGTGTGACACACACACCGTGACTGAGGTGTCAGTGTGAATGTGTGACACACACACCGTGACTGAGGTGTCAGTGTAAATGTGTGTCACACACATCGTGACTGAGGTGTCAGTGTGAATGTGTGACACACACACCGTGACTGAGGTATCAGTGTAAATGTGTGTCACACACATCGTGACTGAGGTGTCAGTGTGACTGTCTCACACACACCGTGACTGAGGTGTCAGTGTGAATGTGTGACACACACCGTCACTGAGGTGTCAGTGTAAATGTGTGTCACACACCGTGACTGAGGTGTCAGTGTGACTGTCTCACACACACTGTGACTGAGGTGTCAGTGTGAATGTGTGACACACACCGTGACTGAGGTGTCAGTGTAAATGTGTGTCACACACATCGTGACTGAGGTGTCAGTGTGACTGTCTCACACACACCGTGACTGAGGTGTCAGTGTGAATGTGTGACACACACACCGTGACTGAGGTGTCAGTGTGAATGTGTGACACACACACCGTGACTGAGGTGTCAGTGTGAATGTGTGACACACACACCGTGACTGAGGTGTCAGTGTAAATGTGTGACACACACACCGTGACAGGTGTCAGTGTAAATGTGTGTCACACACATCGTGACTGAGGTGTCCGTGTGAATGTGTCACACTCTGAGATGTCAGTGTGACTGTGTCTCACATTTTGTGACTACGTTGGGTGACAGCACTGTGAAGAAGCCAAAGGCAATTCATTCCACTGAAATGCTGGCAGCTCGGCCTCGAACGACGGTGGTGTTTTGATCAAACAATGGAACCCAGCCCAGGCGCTTGGGCCCCCGCATCCACATGGGAGAAGCAGATGGAGCCCCAGGCTCCAGGCTCCGCGTGCCGCAGAGCCGACTAAGGCAGCCATGTGGACCGTGTGCCAGCGATGGAAGGATCTGTCTCTGGTCTCACTCTGCCAGGCTCAGGGCACAACCCGGCACAGCCTCGGGCCACGGGCACATGGCCAGTCTCAGCTCAGCCAGCACCAAGGGCAGCCGCCTGCTGCTTCACCTGCCCACACGCACCGGAAGGACCTGCTCCACGACAGGAAGCTGAGCGCAGGGACAAGGTGCAGGGACCGCCCGGCTCTCGTGCTTGGCTCACGGGCAAGCAGCTGAAGCAGAGGTCTGAACACAGC